CAATGATGAGCTACCAAAAGGCACAGAGGCTCAGTATGCTCATATTTTACTTCTACTCTGTCAAAATGTATATACTGTACTTCTACTTAATTTGGTGCTCTACTTAATTTGGCAGACTTGCTATATTGAAATGTATATACCATACTTTACGATTGAAATATGAAATATTGGTGGACACACAAAATTAAAACAGTTGCCAAATTAAGTAGAAGTACAGTACATGGACCTCTATCCCCTAGATTTACTGACCAGTGATCTCCCCAGCATTAAAGCAACTGGATGCAGCACCCACCTGAGATTTTTTGAAATAGGCTTACACCCACCTGAAAATCCATTTGCACCCCCTTGAAAATGAGAAAAATCATTAAAAATTGGTATATTTTGACTTTGGGCTGAATTGTGAAAATGAGAATTTTGCACCCACTTGAGAAAAAATCCTGGAGAGATCACTGCTGATACTTCGAGTTGCACAACTAATATTATACATGTATCTACAATAAAATGTTTTAACTATGAGATACCAAAAAGGCACTAAGGCTCGGTATGCTCATATTTTACATCTATTATAAATGTACCTATATTAAAGCATTTCAATCATGAGATACCACAAAGGCACTAAGGCTCAGTATGCTCATATTTTACTTCTACTCTATTAAACTGACTTGCCTATCTGATCTTATAAATGTACCTATATTAAAGCATTTCAATCATGAGATACCACAAAGGCACTAAGGCTCAGTATGCTCATATTTTACTTCTACTCTAAGCTGTCAAAACTATTACATTACAGATTTACTAACTCTTGTTAGTTAAAGGCCCTATGATAATTTGGAGTAATTTAGATTTCCACAAAATAAAGAGGGTATTAATGTAAATTCTTTGTTTATATAATGAAAAAATGTGATTGTACATACCATTATGTTTTAATAAGCAAAAATTTAAAAAATAAATGAAAAGTAATTATATGAAATTGTCAAAATAGGGCCTTTAAAACAATTTATAAGACTTACAACTACTTGCTGTCTACATGTTTAGGACAATACATCTTCTTTGAAACTCTCTTTAATTCAGAGCACTGCTTATTGTACCATGAATCACATGAATCTCTGCCCTTATTCTGAAACTCACATCCAATCATATCCTGAACTACATCTGCTTGATTACATGGGCAGAAGCAACTAATTTGAACCTTTGTCGGTTTTACAACTTTCCTGAACTTGGACTTTCCTAAATGACATTTTGGAAATGCAGAAAATTTTTTTTCTTCTAAACACTTGATCAAATGAGGTCTCAATTCAGCTACTTCAAATTCAAGCCTAGTTGTACCATTGAAGCCATTAAAGCAAAATTCAGTCAAAAATGCTATTGCAAAAACACCACAATCATGACCATTCATTTGATTTTGAACTTTTGGCACTAAAATTTCTAGTTGCTTCTGCTCATGAACTTTATATATCTGTACTAATTGAATCTCTAGCTTGCTACTTATATCCTTATTTCCTAAGCTATCTAAGAAGTACACCTTGCCCAGAGAATCTCTAACTGAAGCCACCCAATGAACGTCCCCATCATGATGAATTTGACCAGTCAAACCAGAACATGGGACCATAGGTGATCCCGTTTTGAAAATTTTTTCTTTTTTAACATACATTGGAACACGAGTGCATAGTTGAAACCCATTTATATTTGGAAACTGTTCAGCTAGAATATTCTGGGCTGCAGTGACAATAGTATCATCTAACCAACCTTTAGCATTTTGAATGAGCTCAAGGTGGTATATTTCACTCCAACTGGATTAGCATTCTATAGGCTACAGAGGCTCACCAAACCATCAAACGCAAATAACCGTAAAATGTTGAAATCAAGGAATAATTTAGTGATTTTTTTCAAAAGAGTGCGCCATGTTGTATATTACAAGGAAAGAACATTAGAATGTCATAAATAAAGCCAGCGAATGATTTTGGGTTAGAGCCGTTTTTTCTGTTTTGAATATTTTACATTGATTTCAGTAGGACCGATCCCTAAAATTGATTTTCTCTAAGCTGCATCTTCCAAATTGTATATTGTTTTTGAAATCAAATTTTATAATACCTTTCTTAACAAAGAAAAAGGAAAATCAAAGTTGAAAAATGATTTTTTTATTTTTGTTATATTTCACTCCAACTGCATTAGCATTCTGTAGGCTAAAGAGGCTCACCAAACCATCAAACGCAAATAACCATAAAATGTTGAATTTATGGAATAATTTAGTGATTTTTTTCAAAAGAGTGCGCCATGTTGTATATTACAAGGAAAGAACATTAGAATGTCATAAATAAAGCCAGTAAATGATTTTGGGTAAGAGCCGTTTTTTCTGTTTTGAATATTTTACATTGATTTCAGTAGGACCGATCCCTAAAATTGATTTTCTTGAAGTTACATCTTCCAAACTAAATATTGTTTTTGAAATCCTTTTTATAATACCTTTCTTGACCAGGAAAAAAAAGAAATTGAAGTTGAAAAATGATTTTCTTTATTTTTGTTAACTTGCTTATGTTTGATGACATCAAAGGATTATATTATATCCTACCTCTAGTTATTTTTGAGACTATTGTTGTCTGGTTTAAATGAGTCAGCACAAACCACTGTTCATCTTTCTTGTTCTTTGTTGTGGTGTCCAAAACATTGCATTGCTCTTCTGGCTGAAATAACAGAAAACTCAACATGTCTGTTTGAAAAGGTTTCGACCACTGGGTTATATTTTGACAAAGATAGTAATGATACTTTTAGGTGCATACTCACAAATTATCATTAAACATATTATATTATGATTATTACAAAATATACATAATAAAAAGCTAAGCTACATGTTATACACAATTGCTGGAATTACACAATGCATTTTATTAACCTATTAACATTTTACAAAACTGCTTTTCCAAAACTCCAAGGACCCTAGTCACTAAAAATGCCTTAAATCATTAGGCACTTTAGAGTGTAGTGTAATAACGATTGGTTTTTGTAAAACCCCTTTCCCCGGTTCTTACCAATTTGCCCTAAACTAAATAAGACGTATTTTGAATGCTACACATTTTGGCCACCGCAAAAATATAGGAAATGATGGATGGGACCCATAAAAATGCAGTAGGTCATCAAATTTTATCTCAAAAACTGTAACTAAGTTCACATCACTGGCAAAAGTCTCGATTACATTTTCTCTTACTGTAGATGCTAAAAGAATACATTTATTGAAGATGTACACATCTGCTGGATATTCACCATATCTACAAAGTTAAAAGTGCACGAAAGGCGTTTTAGAAATGACAGGTGCAATTCCTATGGCGCTTCAGATATGTTGGTGTAATCAGGATGGCGATAGCCCTTTCCACTAAAGCCCTTTTGTGTTTTTTCTGGTGTAATTCAAGCAAATGACACCATTAGGCATATATCAGCATTTACAAGAGCAAAAAAACAATTTGACTATAAACTTATAATAAAATATTGAGTAAATCTGTTCAATCAAATGAAATCCATTATTAGAACAATTTACATAGATACTGATAATTTCTTTTAGTTTATATCTGGAACTAGTGACAATAATTATTTGAACATTAATATCAAACCTGATGATGATTCTAGTCTTGTAGAAGCTTGGGTGGAGGCAAGCTTACACTTTCACACAGCCTTTCACTATTTCAGCATCATTTGGATCAGATTTTGTACAGCACTTTGATGGCGACTTGTAATCCTGAAAGTGAACATTGCATGATTAGGATACACTAATACTGAATTATTTAAAAGAATGATGACTTAATGAATGAGAATGTACATGTAGATCTTATCAAGGCACTCATGAATGGACAATCTTGACTTGGAAGTGGTCGTGGTCTCCGTAGTAAAATGATATATAACAATATTTGAGCTTTAAAGCACTCTCATAATCATCTAGTTGAAAGCCCATGTCATAATGTATGTATAAAACTGAGATGTTGGGATCACAGGTGACACGCATGTGTTTAACATTTAACTGACTTGATCGACAGCAGCTAGCTTCTGTATTTTCCCCTAAATATTCAGTTGATGGCAGAATAGCTATAGCTGCTCTCGTTTCTCATCCAGATGCCTTCAGAACAAGGTATTGTGCCTAGTCTAGAGAGATATCTTCTCAGCTGAATGCTGAAGATGTAAAATCATAATGCACAAATTTTCTGTTCTAGAATTATTGAATTTACTTATAGACTACTGTGCATGGGTTCAAAGTCATGTACTTTTTATTGCTCAGTCTACATATACATAAATTTTCCTTAGTACTACTACTAGACTTACTCTCTGACTTACATGTACACTGGCTGCCTAGTCTATGTCGGAATCAGACCAGAGGATATAGTCTAACTGCTGGCTACCACTACCAACTGATATCTGGCCTTTGGCCATTGATTGAAGAAAATCTGTAGGGCCTGGGTCATCTTTGACAAGACAGTTGAATCTTTAGAATTGTTGTTAACATCTCATATAAATGATATTAAGATGAACACATACAACAACTTTTGTTTTTGTAATAACAAAGACCAGTGTTGGAAATGCTGATAGAAAGTTGAGAGATTTTTGTTTTCAGAAAGCAACATGGCGTCAGAAAAAATTCTAGAAAAAATACTTTTTTCTCTTAAATTTGTCATAAAACTACTTTTATTCTTACCTTATCAAGTGAAGAACAACTCCATGCATACCCTTGTACCATTATTTGACTTATATCAAGGTCTAATCGACCTATATTTCCATATATTCCAAGCCCCATGCCGCCACCTGAAAAGGGACACCTGGAAAGGGGCACCTAGGTGCGGGACACCTAGGTAGTATTTAGTAACACCCAATATTCTCGACATACCGAGATTTGAATTGAATTATTTTTCTTTATAGTTTATTTATTATTGTTTAAATATTTTATTGTTTATTTATCGAATTGATATTGTAATTTGCATCTTGACAATGAATGGGGCCCCGTTCGTGATATAATTTTATCTAATAGATGTCGCTGCTAGCATAGCAACGTCCATAGCAACCAAGAAAATATTGAAGTGAGAAACAATTTTGTGAGTTCTCAGAATACAGCAATATTTCGAAGATTGAACACCGTAATCTACATCTAGACATCATCAAGGATATTATGGAACAAACAGCTCAACCACAAGTATGTATCTGGTTTATACAGAAGTTGATTAGACAAGAGTTTTGATGTTTTATTTTTCACTTCTATTTTCATTGACAAAAACAAAACCAACACAGAACACATCTGATTGAATTTTCACTTTCAAATTTCTTTAGGGGAGGCATCAAAAGATCAATGTCTGATAGAAAACTAAATAAATCTAGTTTGGGGGGGAGGGGGTCAAAGCTATTTCAGTTTGCTATCCGACAAATTTCAACATTTAATTTTGTTGCAATTTCGACTCAAAATGCCTTGGAATGTTTTATAAATAAAGACTTTACCAGATGCCTTCTTCACCAAGATACATGGAATTTAATGCCTATTGTTGGCACACATTTTAAGAATTATGAATAACTTATAGTACTACCCCCATGAAAGTCCAAATTGAGTCGCTTAAACATGTGAAAAAGCCGCGAACAACTTTTGTTGTATTTAGTTTTGAGGGGGAGGGGGGGGGGTCCAACTCAAAACTAGATTTATTTAGTTTCCTATCAGACATTGAACTTTTGATGCCTCCCCTTAGACTGCTCTCATAATACTAATCTGTTGTTCTAATTAGGTTATCTATTTGTCTTTGTTTTTTAAGGAATCTCAGCCACAAATGACTCCAGAGAAAGAACTGGCAGCTGGAGGAGTCCCCAAGGATGCCAGAACATCAGAATTTTACAGAACAGAAAATATACCTAACAGATTTGATAACCCAGGTAATTAAAGACTGTTTTAAGTTTCACGTTTAATTTATCGCGAGCAAGTAGCAAAACTTAATTTATATATTTGCTACCTTAAAAAAATGTACTGGTTGTTTTTAATTGGCGATTTTGGGAAATCAGACATACAATGTATTGGCGTCTATTTATGTAGACTATGCCTTTAATGTAGACTAGACTAGCCCTAAGCTATATTTATAGTATTAATTACTTTTACTATAAACATTATTATTACATTGAGATCCAAACATTTTTCAGTATTATGACTCAAAGTATTTTATATTATTGTATGTCAGTCTTTTAATATTTTACTGAACCAAATAAAGGTAATATCATTCCTTGTAATAAGAATGATTCACATGATTATTTTGTTTTTTAGAATGGTTCAGCAAGGGATACAGTCAAAAACAAGTGCACCCATGCTATAAAACAAGTGCACAAACATATGGGGCTATGAAACCCTCTGTCCACACAATGCCTACTAGCTTTCACTGCAAATCTCAACAGTTTTCACAGGTAAGAATCGAAATATTGAACTAATTTGCAATGTATGCACTGACGATTAGACTCTATTAATTTTTGAAATATCTGGCCTACGACTGAGTGAATCCAAGCATCAACTGTTAAATTTATGTTTGTCATATATTTATAAATATTAACACAGTTTTGATACATAATTTGTAGTTGTTTCCGAATGTTTCCTCCAATCCCCTACCTAACCAAAAATTCACAAAATATAAATATTTTACTGTGAATGCATAATTAAAATTTGTCATCTTTTCTTTCAGCACTTAGGAACATGTGGGATGTACAGGAATCATTCGCTAAATACAGCAAAGGACCAGAGCAATGTCTAGAAAAAGGAAACATAATACAACTATTATATAACTGTGATACACCATCCTCACAGACTGAAAAATATGTGAGATAGAGACTCACTAAAACATACTGTACTTACATGTACAGTCACAATATATTTAAAAAATAAGTAAAAGTACAAGTACATTGATAAGAAAATATTTTACTTCTCAAAATGAGGAATTCTCTAACAAAGAGATACTTAACACCGAAACACTAGAAGCAGATGTTATGGATAGCCTTTAAATCATCAAAGCAATTGAAGTTTTTGGAATCCCAGAAAGATGAAAGATACCTTTAATATTTTAATCATAAATTATATATTGATGATTCTTAGATTTTTAAGCATATTCTTAAAGATACACAATCCATACATTTGTTGTGAAATTGTTTTGCATGTTATTGTATATTTGGTAAATGCAGAATAAAAAAAGAATGAAAAACATGACCTCTATGTCAGATTGTGTATGTAACTTTTTTCAATTTTATTTCATTGGATGATTGAAAGACATCTTCAATATGGATACCATGTTTACAGTATTTGGCTGGGAAATGTTGAACAATACAGGGAACAGACAAAATTATCCTTATGACATACGAGTAATAAAAAGTGCATGTATGGTTTCATTCATCAGGGTCATCCATCTATTTTACATGCATAGTAGGCAGGGCTGTCAACTTGGGACCACCTAATATGAGTGACTTACAAATGTTGGACACCGAAGTCCAAATCTGAACACTTTTGTCCAAATTTTGAACACCTTTGGCCAACTTTTAAACACCTTTGGCCAAAGTTTGAGCACCTTTGCTAAACTTTTATCACCTCAAATTGTTCGCGCTCGCTACGCTCGCGATGTCGTCAACGGGGGGGGGGGGGGGGGGGGGGGGGTAGGTACGAAAATTTCCAATGAACATGCGTGACATATACGGGATTCGCGTGACAAATCCGAACAAATTGCGTTCGTTTTTTTCCGACGTTCGTATCTTTACCGTATCATAAACATATTTTGAAAATTTTTTTACAGAAACATATTTGCGTGACAATTACCAGGTAAAATGCGTATTTGCGTGACATTTTGTGTCACGCAAAAAAAACTGACGTGACTTCAAATTCTTCAGCAAATGCGTGACAAATACGCAAATTGCGGGACAGTTGACAGGCCTGAGTAGGTCCAGTATTTTTATATACTGGAGAAAATGAAATCATCAAATTGTCATCATCTTCATCCTGTGCTGAAGTCCCTGGTTGATGCAATATTTAATTTTCAATTCCCAAACTAACTAAAGTTTTTTATGTGTGTGGGGAGGTAAAGTTTATCTCCTTGAGGAGGGGATCCAACATGATATAGACTAAGAGGGGGAGTACCCCAGAATAAATAGATGACCCTGCTGTCTCAATGCATATGTAAAGATGAACCTCTCAACACTGGTTCATCTTTAGGGGGCTCCCCAAGGGGTATGTGATAAGGCGACCAGAGGGGTCATTCATCAAGCTATCGCAAGCACGTCGCAAGCCTGCGATGTCGCAAGGGCCCTTTTTAGCGATTACGTCCTATTCATCAATCTCGTGCGACTGCGATCGGTAGAATTTTCTGCGACGTCGCAGTGAAATACCCCTAAAATGGCCCAAATTTAAGCGACCGGTGGTACCCAGTCGCAGTAATTTTAGTTCACGAAAAATGTCTTAAATTAGTTGAATTTCTTTATGAAATTATATAGAAATTCTAGGACATATAGTTCGATATTCGATCCATGTTATGATAAAATTGCAGAGCATATGCGTTATGTTTAAAGGAATATTCCTTGCCAAACCATCTCTCTCCTCATATGGTAGCTATAACCATATAAATGCTTGCCATGTTTAGCAAAACACGCAAAAATGTTTTGATATGGTCAAATTTGATCACTTAGAAATGTGATGCTCAATTCCAGTAAGCTGCCATCTTTAAAATTTCACACAGGAAGTGATGTCATCGACTCTCAACTTTGCATATAGCATTAGGTGAGGAGCTATTAGGAATTACAAAACCAGCTAAATATTCTTTTTCAACTTTGTATCTTATTTAATCCTTCTGAAAATCTCTTCTTTTATTCTAAGTTGACAAGCCCTGAAAATATTTTTGCACAGAAAGTAATGATCACTTGTCTAGAAGTGATTTTGTGCTACTTTCCTATACTGTTATGGACAAGGTTATAGAAGTTGAGAGTTGATGACATCACTTCCTGCAAGAAATCTTAAAAGATGGCAGCTCACTGGAAATAAGCACTAGATTTTTAAATGATCAATATTGACCATATTAAAACATTTTCCCATGTTTTGCTAAATATGGAAACTATATATATGATTATAGCTACCGTATCAAGAGAGAAAGGGTCTGGCAAGGAATATTCCTTTAACATGTTTGTGATGCTACCAAAAACAGCTAGTTTTCGGCTTGTATTTTTAAAGGTACTTCACCGTGCGACTGGTCGCAGTGATTGTGCGTTACACGTGGTTTTGACCCACGTGGCTGTGCCCACTCAGTATCCATATTGTCAATCTTGCATGACACGTTAATCGTCCGTTGGAAGCGTTTATTCGTTCGAAATGGCGCAACTGATGGTTGATTTCAACCGTAATGCTCTGCGTAGAAAACGCGTACTTAGAGATCGTACAGATCCTCTTCAAATAAACGATGATACAGACCTTATTTTGCGATGTCACATGCCCAGGGTTAACTATTATAAAAGTTTACGAAATGATACAAGAGGATCTCGAAAGGATAACTAACACGTGTACAAGCACATCCACGTGGTAATCACTGCGACTGGTCGCATGGACATCGCAGACTGCGATTTGTTAATGAATAGGTCGCAGTCGCAGTCACTGCGACCTCGCACGGTGGTCGCAGTGTCTGCGACGTCGCAGTGATTGCGATAGCTTGATGAATGACCCCTCTGGCCTCTAAAAATGGGACTTCGGGGTACTTAAAAACGAACAAATGTGACAAATCAATCCTTGCAAGTGACAATTTTGCACATTTATCAGACTGACAAGTGTTTTGAGAGTGACAAAAATAGATAATTCGTTCTGAATGTATTTGATGCTAGTTAAGATGACTTATTCTAACCAGCAATCAAACAATGGAACATAACAGACTATTTAATGCATTAAATAGTTTGACTGACTAAAAAGGAACGAATCTGACAAAATATGACAAGTAAATTTTAAATGTGATAAAGTGAGAATTTTGAAATCTTAAAAGTGACAAAAGCGACCCCACTACCCCCTCTTGGGGAGCCCTCTTTAGACCATGGCTCATCTATGCATTCCATCTGGTGTTACAGAGTCTAACCTTCATTTTGCTCTAATTGACCTGTATTGGCACAAAAAATCATAAACATATAATTTACAATACCAATTCAGGAATTTCAATGATTATTTAAATGTTGATTATAGATAGTTTTAGGCTAATGCTATATAATTAGATTATTTGATTGAATATTGAATATTAATGAAATAATTTATATTGGAATATGCCCTTTACTAGTTGAATGCCCATGCCTTTAATAAGTTTTACATATAAAGAGTTTCAAAGACAAAACTAAATTGGCTGAGATTTTCCTTCACATCATAAATCATGATAGAATAACAAATAACTAAGTTCTAAAACAACATTACCAGATCTACTTTATTCCTATATGTGAAATGGTGGACAATGAATAAAGTTTTTGAATTTATAAAAGCATGACTTGTGTCAAGATTTTGAGAGTAGGTCTGCATCTTTAATTCTATTTTCCCCACAGATATTGGCCAGATCGTTTTGTAGTAGGATCATAGGCTCAAAGAATAATTAATAAGGAAATATTATTGAGCTACTGATCCTACTACAAAACTTAAAAGAATCTGGCCGGGATCTATGATTTTCCCGGGGAATCTTATCCCCGGTAAACCCCGGGGAATCTTATCCCCGGTAAACCCGGTTATGACGTCACGTGACCAGAAGTGAGTCAAATCCAATATGGCGGAATAAAAAAAATATTTCTTTGAAATTTTCTCTAATAAAACAACTTTTTAACTACTTTCGAGAGAAAATCTGTAAATAAAAATAAGATGTCGGATCCAGCAGAGTCCAATCAAATTGTAGATGAACTTAGATCTGAGATTGCTCGCTTACAAGCCGAACTAGAGGAAACTTCTGAAGAAAAATTACAAGCGGCTCAGTATGGATTGGCCGTCCTCGAAGAAAAACAGAATCTACAGGCCCATGTTGATGAGTTGGAGAGTGAACACGAGGCTACTAAACATGAACTTGAATGTGTATCTAAGGTAATGAACTTTGCTTTATCAAATAATTTCTGGTCGCCAAATACACACTTTTTGGCCTTTCGCAGGTAATCAATCATATTTGGATTTATTTGAATCACAATCGAGTTTTGGTCTTATTTTCAAACAAAAAGTTCCAAAAACACACAAGAGTTGATCGACGTGATATTGGTTTGAATATTTTGAACTGTTGATTATGATTTATAGTCAGTTAAAACACAGGCATCCAATCTCTTGAAAGCCTATGGTTAAAATTTCAGAAAATAATGACACTCTCGACATTCTCTCTTTGTTGGGAAATATTGAATTGTGCTCCTGGTAGCCAATCCTCCTTGCCATGACGAGTGAGGTGTGAATTATGAGGTCATGTCCAAATGTATGTTATGTCTTGGGGTTCCCAAGGGGTATGTGACAAGGAGACCTGGCCTCTAAAAATATGACTAAATGTGACATTGCATTTAAAAATGAAGGAATGCGACAAATAAATGTTTGTGATAATTTTGTACATTTGTCTGACTGAAAGGGGTTTCGAAAGTGTCAAAAATAGACAATTCGTTTGAATGTAAATGGATGCAAGTAAAGGTGACTTATTCTTATCAGTTATCCAACAATGAAACATTTAAAGACCATTGTGGCATTAAATGCTTTAACCGCATTCTGATTTATCAGAGCCCCTCTTTACCTAACGCTTTTGAGAGAACTTCTTTCTGAACTATTCCAAAAGGATAGTAAAGGCTGTGGATCCCACAATGCTTTTACCGACTAAAAAGAAATAAATCTGACAAATGTAACAAGTAAATTTTAAATGTGACAAATGACAATTTTGGAATTTTAAAAGTGACTAAAGCGACCTCACTACCCCATATTGGAGAGCCCTCTGCAATTTGCATCATATTTTACTCACAACAATAAACTGACTATGTTCAGAATCATATGAGTTCAGCACAACCAGAGCGAGGTCATGGTACTTGTTTTCTCAAATCACTATAAATTGTCACCTCTGATCAAGCTACATGGGGCTCTCTTTTGGTACTTCTAAGTTCAATAGATGAGAGTAGTCCAACTACTCTCACAATTCTAACCTATCCAAATCCTTACCTGTACAATGCAACTTTCAGCTGTCAGCTACTGGATTAACCTACTTTTTTATGACCAACCCATTTAAATATGAATGGAATAGTGACAGGTACTCAGGTACAGGTATTCATATTTAAATGATAAAAAGTAGATTAATCTGGTAGCTGACAGATGAGAGTTTTTTGCAAATACAAGCAGAGTCTGTCAAACCTAAAAAAATAAGCACTCAAAGGACTGCAGCGCGATATTATGTGGAAAACAATCAAACTTCGAACATTTCACATTCTCTTTACTAAACCTCTGGCCCCTTGTAATTGTTAGCCAAGCTACAAGCAATCCAAGGTACTAACATTTTGTACATAAAGTAAGGATATAATACATAAGTTTGATACAGGAAAACTTTTCTTGAAATGAGACATCAGGATTTTGGTGAGGTTTGAATTATCAGATATTTTGGAAATACATGTACATTAATTGTAGGAGTACCTTTAGAATCATATAGTGAAAAGTTTTCAATGTTTTTTGAAATCCAAGATAGCCTTATAGTAAAGTGTTTGAAACTTATCACCAACTGATCATATAATCAGGATTAAGAGCCAGCCCTGTCATAGTGTAATCAGTCATGTTCAACAATGGGCAAGTGATGCCTGATGTATTTAGGTAAGGTTGAATGCAATATCTGATTAGGTTTTGGGCATGCCAGGTAAATTACATGGCAGCCAAGTTGAAGTGTAATATTTATCACTTATGGCTTGTTAAACCTATGGTTAGGGCTCTTTTGCCTTATTTTTGTAGACTCCTCTTCGACTCTAATTTTTTTGAATTTATGAGCAATTGGGCTATGAAAAATAGTACAGTATAATTGTTATGCGAGATGAATAGGGATGAGACAAAAAATGAAAAATTAAACACAAAACAAGTGCTTTTTACTTCAAGGTCTATAATATAATTTTTCTCCCCATGGTTTTCCATATCGTTGGGTCTTTTGATAACTGAGAAGACATACTGGTTGCTATCATCTATCTAGATGGAATTATCATCATTTCTGATAGGGACTGTGCCTGTAAATAGATGAAAGGTTATCACATCAGTTCAGGAGCTAAGTTACTATCATCCACAATCTTTGGAACACTCATACTTATCAAAGGATCTTCGATAAGGGGAGGCATCAAAAGTTCAATGTCGGTTTGGAAACTAAATAAATCTAGTTTTGACTCTGACCCCCCCCTCCCCCCAAAAACTAAATACCATGAAAGTTGATCGCTGACTTCCGGTTTGAGAATTTGAAAAATTATTGCTAAACACGATCTAATTTTTGTTAATTCCTATCGTAATTTGCTGCTTTTAACAACTACTGATAGAATAGAATCCTTTGGAATGATCTTGACGGAGAAAGCATCAGGTAAAATCCTTATTTTTAAACCTTTCCGAGGCATTCTGAGTCAAAATTGCCAAAAATTTGAAATGTTGAAATTTGTCGGATAGCAAACTGAAATGGGTTTGAACCCCCTCCCCCCTAACTAGATTTATTTAGTTTTCTATCCGACATCGAACTTTTGATGCCTCCCCTAAGCCATGACATTCCAGCTGTAGCATCTTAAACATATAAAAGCATGAAGGGCCAGTTTGTTAAAATGACAAAATGGATTTGAAAATGGATTTGAAAATCATGTGGGTCATTCAATCCATCAATCAAGCTACTGTATTTTAACAATTTTTTAGTGGGAAGATATATTCTAGGCTAAACATGAAATTATATCTCAGATCACCTAAAAAGTTGTCAATGGGATTTATGTCTTTTATATTAGTTCATTTTACTCTCAAGCTAATATTTTGTTTGAATAACACCCAATGGCATATTTCACAATGATAATAAGGGTAAATGTTGAATCTGATGAAAATTAGATGACCATGATTGAAACCTGTACTATACCCTCTGTTCAGTGAAATATGGAGTTGGCTTAGAGGCAGATTAACCAATACTTCCATTGGTTTGTTTTTATTAGGACTACTGTACTTATATCAAAATAGAAATAAATGTGGTAAATATGCTGTGCCAAGTCTATAGAGGAACAGGCTATGGTGTATTTCCTGTAAATATTGTAAGATGGTATATTTTTAAGTCAAGTTGATCTCTTCTGTTCAACATTACATCATTTAACATGAAGTTTGTTCTTGCTCCCGAGGGTGCCCTTGGTAGAAGATTTTTAGGTCAGCTTTTGAAATCAGCTATTTATTACATAGGTTTTGGCCCAAATTACCAATTTTTAGACATAAAATGAAAAAAATCTTTGTTTCCTCATTTTTTTCCAAACACCTTCTAACTGCTGTAAAATCTGTCCAAGTAGAACATCTGTTTTAAAATGTTACTGTTAAAATGTGCCATACTGTTAAATCAGTGTATTCCTTCAGTCACACTTAATGCAATATTGCTTTGATGGATCAAGATGATGTGTCCCTCAATCATCCTAATTTGACATGGCATCCAGATCCAGTTATTCAAAATCCACAAGGGCTTTTGTATGCTATTGTCTGTATGGGTGCCAATCTAGTCAATATACAGGGCCGAGCCTATTAAATCTTTGATATGTTTTTTACCTAACTAGTCTTGCTTCAAGACATTGCACCCCCTCTCCCGTGTTCTTCACCTTCCAAACACAACACAAATATTGGGAAGGTGAAATACACGGGAGAGAGAGGTACAAAGTATCGAGGCAAGACCATTCCCTGACTCACATGTTGTGATGTTAAAACTGAGGAAGTAGAAAGATTGCCAGTTTCACTGAAATAGGAAATAGTTACAGTGAGTGTGATATTTATGAATGAGAATGTACTTGGTATCAGCAACTATCAGCTGTTCCAAAAGAACCTTAACGAGCAAGTGCTCCTCAAAATGATCGCAACAGTGAATGTGTTATTACAATATAATTGAAATAAAAATGAAGTGAGAACATAGGTATAATTATGTAATTATATGCAATTATACAAAGTGATTAATTGAAAAATTAAAATGCTATAAATAGAAAATTAGATGTAACTATTGGGAGGGTTGATTTCTAAAAATAGAGATTTTTTTTATCTGAGTCACTTATCTAGATGCATTAGCACAGTGCATACACTGTACATTATACTTTTTAGTTGAATGCATCAACTTTCTCTATGAATTAAGTATTTTTTCAATAAGCCTATTTATTGATTAAATGTGTTACAGACTAGAGTTAAGTTGAGATCACATCACATTTTGTGAATATTTTTCATTTTACGAACATCTCATTATGATTTTACATTCTAAAAAGTCAACAGTCCTGACTTATTTCAGAATCCTTTGATTTTTGAGGTTATCTGGCAAAACAAACCTGAAACATTTTCAATTCTGATCGAATCTGTATATTTCTGCATCCAGTATCTTCAGTTACTTCCTTTTGTTACCAGCTATCTCAATTATTTTTCAGAAATGAATTTCAAATTGTAAGGGAAATGCAGCATGCTTTTTGCAAAGATTTCCTCTGACAGATACTCTTTTTTAGTCTAGTCTCCGTTACCATGCTTTTTTACTATTTTTTCATTATGTTGTGTCTCAAATCTCCATTCTCCCTATTGTGTGTATTATGGTTGCTTTGACACTCTACATGAATCAGTATACTGTAATCAATATTATTCCAGAGCCAGGGCATACTGTAAAGTAATTTGATTATCCTCCTAGACATTCTAAGTACTTAGTGGTTAATTTAGTAATGTTCAACAAGCCACCAGTTTGAGTCTAGTCCTGTTACAGTAGTTATCTTACTCTTGCCATTGGCATCAAATGATTTAATTCAATGCCTAATCTTTAGAGCTGTTATGTCGTCAACAGAAGAAGTAAATCGATGATAAATCAATGGATGACTTTCTAATCTTTCAAACCCTGTTTTAGCTAAATGAAAGAATAGAGGCTGTGGTTACCATGTAGTTAATCAAGATGCATGAATGACTGAAATTTCTCTAATTTTATTATGATAAAATTTGAACTCTATTTGACATGTGTTTGATATCCCTACCCCTACCCCGCTCCTGCCCCTCCCCTTGAAAACAAATGAAAGACCTCAACATTGTAAAAATTATAGAATTAGAAAATTAAAGAGGCAGTGACTGCATTGATTAAGAAATTTTGAAACAATCAAAGATCTTACATTTATAATTATATTATCTTCTTTTTTGTTCGTTAATTAAAATTACTTCTCCTCCATCTGTAATATAATTTGATTTAAACCATTCTTAGCCTAACTTTCCTAATCTTGTATTTATGTATTTTCAGGCTTTGAGTCGATACCAAAGATCATCAAAGCAAAAGAGCGCAGCTGGAATCCAACATGAAGATCATCTCCTTGAAGAGACCGCCACCAGGGAAGCAGAACAAGGAGAACAAATCACACACCTTGAGAATGAATTAAAGAAGTCCAAGGATGCTAGTGATAGACTATGCGCAGAAAATGACCGATTAAATGCTTTCGTACAAGACTTAAACTTGCAAGTTGATACTCTTGAAGAGACAAGAAAACAACTAAAACGTGAACTAAAGGAATATAAAACTCGAGAATCTAGGAGTTTAACTGATTACGCTGACCTAGAAGAAGAGAATATCAGTCTGCAAAAACAGATATTAGGTCTAAAGCAAAACCTGGTGAACTATGATGCTATCAAACTAGAAAACAGACGCCTCGAGGAGAATCTTGAGATTATGAATGGTCAGTGCGAGGAACTGGTTAATCTCAGGAAAATAGTGGAGAGAAATTTAGAAGAAGCTTTACAGTCACTTCAGCAGGAAAGAGACCAAAAACATGCCTTGAAAAAAGAACTAGATCAAAGGTTAACCAGTGAATCTGTGTTCAATTTGAGTAATCTAGCCCATCTTGGTCTAGGTGATCTGATGGGAGCTGATCATAATCACTCCCATGATGATGATTCCCATAATCACCCTGCTCTTAAACAAATCGAGGCTGACTTTATATCCTCTACCCCTAAGCATGATACCAAACCTGCCCCTGGGCTGGCTGGAGACCTGTTCAGTGAAATCCAAGGTGGTGAAGTGGATAAAATGCAAACTATTATTGATGAGAAGGATCAGGAAAACTTTGCCTTACAAGAACTTGTTGATAAATCCATTGTAGAACTACAAGAGGCTAAGAAAGAAATTGCAGCCCAAAAAGATAAACTTGATCTTTTGAAATCACACATGAAAGCGTTAGCTACAATCAGTGATGCTCAATCAGTGTGTGATGATGTTAATGACATTGATGAGGAAGAACTTGCAAATGGTGACCTCGATGAAAACCAACAGCAAGTGCTCCAGCTCAAGCGAGCAATGCGCCAAAGAGAAAAGCAATACAACAGCGCATTACAGCAAATTGTTGAATTACAAGAGCAAATGGCTAAGTTCAAAGATGAGCGTGTACTCAATGGGTCTCCAGATGATGTGAAAGATGAGATCACAAAACTCAGAAGTAAAGTCACTGAGTATGAAGATACGATTAAAAATCTTGAAACAGACTTAAAAACAATGACACAAGTAAGTGGCGAGACCCAGGGTACATTAAGCACTGCCCAGGATGAACTACTGCGAGTCACTGATGAACTAGCCCAACTCTACTACCACGTATGTGAGGTTAACGGAGAGGCCCCCAACAAGATAGTTCTGGGGCATATTCAGGACACCAAGCAGTTTGTACAAGGTGGGGATGGGGATGCTGGAAATTCCAAAGCATCGGAAGAACGAGAAAAATCCAAAGAAAGTGAGGCTCAGGAGGGTACTCAAAAGCCAGCTGAACCTATGACAGTGTATAAATTAATTGAGACTGTTAATGATCAAGTGAAGTACCTCAAAAGAGCAGTGGCTCACACCATTGATAGAGCCAGGGAGCGTGAAATAGACACCAGTCAAAACACAGATGTAGAGGAGCTTCAAGAACAAGTCATTAAACTCAAAGCAATGTTGGCCACCAAACGTGAACAAATTGCCACATTGCGCAGTGTCTTAAAAGCCAATAAATCTACTGCTGAAGTTGCTCTTGCCAACCTGAAACAGAAGTATGAAAATGAGAAAGTCATCGTAACTGAAACAATGATGAAATTGCGTAATGAATTGAAAGCTTTGAAAGAAGATGCGGCTACATTTGCGTCACTTCGAGCTATGTTTGCACAACGATGCGATGAGTATGTTACTCAACTTGATGAACTACAGCGTCAGTTATCAGCAGCGGAGGAGGAGAAAAAGACACTGAACTCACTTCTGAGAATGGCCATTCAGCAAAAATTGGCCCTTACTCAACGTTTGGAAGATTTGGAGTTTGATCGTGAAAGGAAAAATATGCGTGGCCCAGCTCGAGGCCCCCGATCGAAACCAAACAACCAAAAATCAAGTTTCAATTCATATGATGAATATAGTAGGTACCCCCAACAACGTCATCAAAAGAGGGACTACTAAGATAGGTGACTACAGTACTTAAGTGGATATATGCAATATGCTGTCATAATCAGGCAAAAGAATGCCGTAAACAATTGGCCAACCCTTTACACGTTGATATCTCGCTGTCAAAAAATACCATGTTAGTTTGAAGATCTAAAAAACAATTAAAGCTATTCCTTGACTGCTGCGATATCAATGATGTAAAGATGCATTCCTGCATAATCTTTCATAACTCAGTTGCCATGGTCACACAAATATATGTGCTGGGGTGTCAACCCACCTGGCAGTCTATACCAAAAATCACCCACCAATAAAACATAACATAGCAACTGATAATTTGGAATTATACTGTGGGTACACGATAATTGCATATGATTAAATGTGCGATGCAATACTCTGACTCAATATGGGGTAATAACTATGAAATCCAAAAATGTTTGTTATGAAATATATATAAACATAGGCAAAGCCTATCAAATGAGACCCCTAATTAAATGCTATGCATGATTAGTCTCAGAGATGTACAGTGTACTTAGACATGTCTAGCCTAAATGGCGATGGCATAAGACATTTACAAATAGGCCTATGTCACTGGTGATCCACTCGATTACGCTGGTTACCAAAACGAACCGTTTTGGTAACAAAATGTCGGAACGTCGAAGGCACGATTTTTCTTTTTTCCTTATTTCACGCGTTGTAGGCATAATCCCCACGACGTTTTTTCTCACAACGTGCATCAGTATCATATGTTTTAGAAAATGTACATGTTTGCGATAAAATAGCTCAGAGGACAACAGAATCGTCGATTTACTTCCTCACTTAAGTTACATAAACGGTTTTTCGAAAAACAGTTAAGATCTGCACTTTTAACCCAAACCGTTTATGTAACTTAAGTGAGGAAGTAAATCGACGATTCTGTTGTCTTCTGAACTATTTGTTTGCAAATATGTACACTTTCTTAAACATATGATACTGATACACGTTTGTGTTAAAAAATGTCGTGGGAATTCTGCCTACAAGTGTAAAATAAGGAAACGAGAAAAATCGTACCTTCCGGATGTTCCGACATTTTGTTACCAAAACGGTTCGTTTTGGTAACCAGCGTAATCGAGTGGATCACCTGTGTATGTGTAATGAATTAGATTTTATGTTATAACTTGGTACAGTCAATGTACTAGACATTTTATTAGTGAGAACTGTTTGCTATGCATGATACATTTACGCAATGTAGCTTGGGTGGAGTTATTGAATTAATGAGTAGGCCTACTGAATTTAAATCTCGGCTTATCTCGGCTCTTTATATCCAGTAATTTAAAGAGTTGGAAATATTTAGGTAATTCAATTTGGAAAGTTGCATCAAATTTGAAAGAACGTACAAAGATATTGAAACTATTCAAATACCCTAGTCATATTGTTTTGGCCTTTTTTGAATGATTTTTGACACTGGTGTTTCCAGTGACTCTATTTGGTAGACTTTTGTGTTTAAGCTGCTTTTTTATGTAGAAGTAGGCCTCAGTTCTCCCTTCTTGTGTCAGTTTGTATATAGTGTTATTTTTAGCCCTCGGGTCAATAATTGATGATAAACTACTAGGACACTCATTAGGATATTTGAAGAGACCATGCAAATAAGCATAATGGCAACATACCTCTATTACACGTGCTGCACATTCTGTTGAAGTCACTGTAATGCTGTGGTCACATTTGCTCAGATTTTCAGTACTGATGCATGGCCGATAAATATTTTGTTTAAAATTGCATTCAGTTTTGAACAAAATACTCATCAGCCAGTCGTCGGTGCTGGAAATTCAGGCAACTTATGACCACAGCATATTTTAACTATATCATGGCCTCTTTTTGGACAGTCTTCAAACTCTCAAAGATTCAGTGAAAGAATATGTCTCAATAGGCCTGCCTTATGCCTGGCTACACACATGGCATTACATGTATTTTATTATTTCTCTTAGATTAGTGGCTTTTATCCATGACATCATGTTTATGAGACATACTGTTCTTAATTACATGTACATTTTATCAATTATTATTTATCACCTCATTTTCATATACCATAGCATTGCGAGTCTGCAACAAGCAAAGCTGCAGTTAGGGAGCATTTCAAAAGATCAATGTCAGAAAATTAACTATATTTGAACAGTTATGGGGGAGGGGGTCATTAACCTTAAAAGTGAACTTTCCGACATTGAATGATTATAAAAACTGACTACATTACATATTATGTTAGATATAGTGTCACATTCTATATAAGGCATATCAATATTTCCCCGAAACAGTTATGAGGGGGGGAGGGAGGGGGTCATTAACCTTAAAAGTGAACTTTTCGATATTGAATGACATTAAAAATTGACTGCATTACATATTATGTTAGATATAGTGTGACCTTCTATATAAGGCATATTAATATTTCCCAAAAACAGTTATGAGGGGGGAGGGGGGGGTTCACAGATTAACTGTTCATATACAGTTAGTAATCCGACATTGAACTTTTGAGATGCTCTCTTAGTATACAATTGTTTTAGATATACACATTAGTTACAAATCAATCTTGCTATTATACTATTATCTGTATTGTATCATAGTTTAATAATCTCGTAGCAAGGTTTAAAATAATTTTATTGTATTATTTTGTTATAGTTTCATAATATTATGATAGTTGTGTATTGTTAGCCTTTAATGCTTTATTATGGACATTGAGAAACAAAGCTTTGTTAATTCATGTAATATTGGATAGTTGGTAATTTATTTGAATATTTGAATTCATTGAAAGAGAGTAAATATTCGTTAAACAAATCTAGCTCAAGCATTGGTCTAGTTTTGAAATAACTGAATCTTAAGATGTTGCCATACTAAGTTGTTTCACAAAAATAAAATATTGCTTTTTAAAGAACCAACAGAGCATTAAAGTTGGGGATATCTTGGTTTTAACAATTAATGGTTGTAAAATTTTTATCACATTTCTCTTCCTTCCAAAAGATTTGTGTGTTAAATGCATAAGAAAAAGTTATCAGAATATGAGTGCCAATTTGCACAGAATTGATTTGACATTACTGAGATACACATTTTTGTATTTTGGTGCATTAAATATACATATCTATTTTTGTTTCTAAAGATTATTAACATTTTTCATGTTGATGTACTGGCAAAGAATGTTAAATATGATGAATTTTCATCATTGTTAGGAATTTACAAATGCAAATGCAACATTTATTCTACAGAAATTTTCATAAAAGTTTGTGATTTTGCTGTAATGCTCTATTTTCACTATGCATATGCGCTTTACAAATAATATGCCTTTACCTTTCTGAACTACATGTTCAGTACACTTATTTGTACAAATATGTATGGCATGCCAATAGCTACTTGGTACACTTTAATCGAATGAAATGTAACTTTTGAGATTTGAGTACCTTTAAGTGCCAACTCAGTAACTGAAAACACAAATATTGACTTAAAAATACAAATGAAAGAATATGAACCCTCTACATGTAGGGTAGGCCTTGGTTAGACTTTATAACAGCAAATTATATTACTGTTCTTTGCTTTAAAATGTGTTAATGTTGGCCTTGATGAAACCCATTGGTATGTGATAGGGGTCATGCATAGGGTTGGGATTAATTGATACGGTTATACAAAAATTGGCTTTAACGGAATAACCCTTAATGGATGCAATTTGTTTTTGAGAAATGACTCTTTAAAGGTGTGAATTCACTAATACTGTACATAATAGCATTCACATCTTGAAGTCCTTTTAATACAATAGTATATTTGTAATTGGAACTTTTATTGATTTAATATCTAAGTCTCAAGAAAATACATGGCCCCTATTAGATTTACCTGTTTTGGGTTGTGTATAAAGTATAAAAACTAACCTAGATGCAATATTATATAACTGTGGCCTGGTGCATGCATTTGAAAGTTGTTTGATATTTATTCATTAAATAGTCATATAGCATAATTATACAACATATTTTAGTCATTCTTGTATTTATTATGTTAAAACATTATATATGATATTTATATTTATTCCATGGGTGATGGGTAATATGTTATGAAAGGTATACCATATTCTAGTATAAGAAATATTAAAGGTTTACGTGAATCAAAATGAAATAAATGTTATTCTGTAACTAAATTCAGCATTCTAGAACAGCAAGACTAATGTCAGTGAATTAATTCAATTCAATTACAATTCAAACAAATGTCAAAATATTACTCAATATGTGTTATATACTTGTTTATCTAACCATATTTCCATAATTCAATTGTGTTGAATGTATGAAATAAATAATACATTATATAATGTTTTGAAAATTATAGTTTTGTTTCGTGTCATGTTTATTTTAGATCCATCCTAATATGGCACTATTGTTGTATTTTTATGGAGATTTTTATGATTATCCCTTCGAACAAAGTTTGTAGGGATATAGAGAAGCCAACTAGCTGTCCATCAATTCGTTCTTAGCGCTGAGGTATTTCATGGTATATGTTTTGTTCGGTGAGATTCACATCCCGTGGAGTTGTCTTCAAGTTTATCCATTCTCAAAATTAATTTTGTTCCTTGCGTATCTTACCAAGTTACCACCTCATAAGGTATGGGAAAGAGGCACAATAGACTTCATGCGAGTAGAAATAATCTTGATTTACGTCATTAATATTCAAAATTCAGTCAAAGCGATGTCATATTTGAAATCTGCATGTAAATGTACATCTAGAAATATGGTTTCGAAAATTGTCTATCAACTTTGAAAATTTAATTTTTTTGAAAATGTGACTTCTTGTTCGGGTTGATTCCTCATAGACCCCATGTTAGAAAATCACAAAAAGTGAATTATCTTTTCTTGTATTGGACAGATAACATTTTCTTTTACTGGACATATTTTAATTGCATATAACTATTAGATACATAAGGGTTATATGAAAATTGAACCACGCAAATAGATGTAATTTAAGTTAAAGGGAACTTTCTACTATACCTGCCATGCTACCTGACCCGAACGAGCCACCTGGTGGTGAATCTGGTAACTACCTACTCGCATCTGCGTTATTGGACTAAACAAGAGCTGGAGAATGAAGTATACCTTTCTATCATCAGTTAATTGTATTGCCCTGCCATCTATAAATCATACTCACAATCATAAATAGATAACTATGCTCTTCAGCCAACTTTCATTTTTACTTTATTAATCTGATGGGTATGTTTTGTGAACTGAAATTATTCAGGCATATATTGATCAGTATATCTGTACATGGACACACTGTAATGTGTAAATTATGTCATGATTTGAATTAAAATGATAAGCAAGAAAAATTCTGCATTTCTTGATAACCTACCCCTCTGTTTTATGAAACTACAGTACTCCACTTTAGGTGTGTTATAAATTGTGTATCAATTGATGATGATGTGTATCACTTATTGAACTATCATGTTGTACCCTGAATTCTGTTTACACCCTTAATCCAAGTCATAATTTCTGGCCATTCTAGAATACTCATACTGTCTGTGTCTCTGTAACAGTACAAAAACTCATGTTTTTATCTTCATGAATATTGAGTTTGGTAAAACCTCTGAAGAACAGCTTTGATAACTCTAAAAAGTGTTCCACTTACTGAAGTTCATATAAGTCAATGAGTCACAGGACTTTAACAGGTGTTCCACTTACAGAAGTGCTCTACTTGACATTTTTCTGTGTGATGAAGAACAATAAAAAACTAGGAAAATAAGGACCAAATCCAGGAGAAAATCAGTTCTTCAACTTAAAAATGGAAAGAATTGCTCTGAGATTGCACTGCCTTGATGTTGTATGTACAAAGGGTTTCAATGTAAATAAGGAAATTGAATGCCACGTGTTGTTTGTAAACAATACAGGCTAAGTGCTCATGAAATATCTCTATTCAGGATTGGATATACATGTAGATTAATATTGACTGATTTTTGCCGGGATTTTTGTATGTTGTAACAGACTAACAATTGTATGTTTTAACAGACTAAATCAATTCCTACCTCACTAATTAATGTCATATATGCACTGTGCTGGGTCCACTTAAACTTAATTTCATATTTTATGGGAACAACAGAATACATCGACTCATGACAATTCTATAAATGTAACAGTAATAGAAAATTGAGTAAGCAATGACTGAAACTTACTCTCTAATTTACAAGCCTTGGAAAAGGTACATGTATTACAGTATTAGGAATGGCGTATGTACAATTCTTATGTCTATGATCCATGGATGTGTAGATACCAGCTGAAATCCTTTCCAACAGTTAGTTTGTACACTATAAATGAGGCTAGTCCTATTGACATTTATAAAAAGAGAAGAAAATAAAAAATAGTTATCTTTATTTTCAAATAAGTAACGCATGGAACCATGAAAATTGTTCAGCATATGTGTAAAATGTTAATTGATATATATTCAGTCTACTCCAATGTAATATTTTGCATTTCTCATGTAGTTTGATATAGTTTACACGTATTGAAAAGTACCATCTCTGTGCAAAATTTGTTTACCTTCGCTAGGTCACGTGACTTCCTACTTCCGGATTCAGCAAGAACGTTGTCAGGTAAGAAGTTTCTACAAATATTATTTGTTTTCATCACATTATAGATGTCAGATGCATAATGGATGGTATTGTCTATCCTTGTCAAAGAACACTTTCAAGACTCTCAAACCCAGGCTTCTTCAGTAATCTTCATTTTTCAATGAATCTTCATCAATCATCATCATTGATTTTCATTGATAAAAAAGTGTTTAGCACAGGATCTGGTTATACAGTAAGAGGAGGGAAAGCCCCAGAGTTTAAAGATGACAGACATAATTACCTCTCTTGCTTACCACCTTCGTTCGTTTGAATTTTCATCGGCTATAGTTATCACATACTGCACTTCGATGGGATGTTTTAATTGATATCCCAGATAGCACAAAGACGTCGGGCCAACGTCGCTATTGGTGGCCATTGGTTGGCATGGTGGCAGTTGGCAAATCGTAGTTGGGCCAACGTTGGCCCGTCGTTGGCTGCCGCTAATACCATGGATCAAAATTGCAGTTGGCAAAGTGTAGTTGGGCCAACGTTGGCCCGTCGTTGGCTGCCGCTAATAACAGGATCAAAATTGCGGTTGGCAGATTGTAGTTGGGCCAATGTTGGCCCGTCGTTGGCTGCCGCTAATACCATGGATCAAAATTGCAGTTGGCAAATTGTAGTTGGGCCAACGTTGGCCCGTCGTTGGCTGCCGCTAATAACGGGATCAAAATTGCAGTTGGCAAATTGTAGTTGGGCCAACGTTGGCCCGTCGTTGGCTGCCGCTAATACCAAGGATCAAAATTGCAGTTGGCAAATTGTAGTTGGGCCAACGTTGGCCCGTCGTTGGCTGCCGCTAATAACGGGATCAAAATTGCAGTTGGCAAATTGTAGTTGGGCCAACGTTGGCCCGTCGTTGGCTGCCGCTAATAACAGGATCAAAATTGCAGTTGGCAAATTGTAGTTGGGCCAACGTTGGCTGCCGCTTATACCATGGATCAAAATTCATTTGGCAAATTGTAGTTGGGCCAACGTTGGCCCATCGTTGGCTGCCGCTAATAACGGGATCAAAATTGCAGTTGGCAAATTGTAGTTGGGCCAACGTTGGCCCGTCGTTGGCTGCCGCTAATACCAAGGATCAAAATTGCAGTTGGCAAATTGTGGTTGGGCCAACGTTGGCCCGTGGTTGGCTGCCACTAATACCAGGAAGCCACCTATCGATAAATCAGTGCAAAAATGCAGTTGCTGCTAATACCAGGAAGCCACCTATCCATAAATCAGTGCAAATGCTATGCCTAAAAATAGACCAGCAGTCATTAAAAAAAATTAAGATAAATTTTATGAAATATTTTCTTTCAAAATTATCTGACAATGTTGTTTACCTCAGAAATATGGATTTTCGCCTTGTAATACAGTTGAAACCACTAATAAGGCTACCAAATATATAGTATGGAAAAACAAGCCACCATATTTTATTGATGTAGAACGGATATTATATGTGAACACATTTACAGTAGCAGTATTGAATGCCCAGATATCACAAAGACGTCGGGCCAACGTCACAACTGGTGGCCATTGGATGGCATGGTCTCAGTTGGCAAATTGTAGCTGGCTTGCGGCCCATTGTGGGCTGCCGCTAATACCAGGGAGCCGCAGTACAAAAAAGTAAATTGTGTCATGGGTGGGCCAACGATGGGCCAACGTTGATTCTTTGGTGGCTGCCAACGTTGGGCCAACGTTGGACCAACGTTGGCTGGCTGGACACGCCAACGTTGGGCCAACAATGGGCCAACGTTGGTTCTTTGGTGGCTGCCAACGTTGGACCAACGTTGGCTAGTTGGACATGCCAACGTTGGGTCAACGATGGGCCAACGTTGGTTCTTTGGTGGCTGGACACGCCAACGTTGGCAGCCACTGTTGGCCCACTGGCCGGCATGCCGTTGGACCAACGTTGGCCCAACGTCGTTGTGCTATCTGGGATAGGCATATTCCGTACACGTTTCTTTATCTTGATGTGAAATGAGAAGGTATGATATTGGTTAACACGCCAGAAATGAACATAATATTATTCGAAGCGTATTTCGAAAATTTTGAAACCGTCATTGTTGACGTCATTTGTTTGTCGACTTTTGACCAATCAGCGACGATGTCATCTCAATACAGATTTACATTATAAGTGTATGTCATCTTTGAACCCTGGTGTTTCTCCCCCTCTGTTATACAGTAGTGAACATAAATAATTACTAACACTATGAAAAAGACATTCTGTCACATATGTCATAAATTCTTACCTCAGTGAATTGGGTGCTCTATTTTCTCCATCCTGGAACTTACAAATATAGTGGAATTTATGTCCATAATGACAAATAGATCTAGCTTAAAAATTTGAAGCGATATTCACATGTAATGCAGACTCTTCAAATGTTGATGATGTGATTTTCGAGCCCGATTACGCCGCAAGGAGGATTGGCTCCCAGAATGTAACATGACACCTGCCAGCTTTCAAATTGCCGTTCCGCCATTTTGAAACCTGTCACAAGTAAATAAGGTTACTGATGTTGCATTCTGGGAGTCAATCCACCTCGGAACACAAACATGGCAATCCATGAAAACATTCGTTCAATTTGGTAGGGATTTATCCATCATTTGCAGGTATGAAGCTTTGGATTCATTTATTGTGCTACTTAAAGTGAATGGGAATTATTTTTCTACCGCTTGGGTGAGTTTGAGACATGAAACTTAGAATTTAGCTCATTGTGACAACTTTTGATGGTTAAGGTTTGTTAATGTCTCCCACTGTACCGTAGTAAACAGAAGCTGCCCTGTCAACCCTCACGCATTAGGCGTGATTGTCACACATTTACTGGAAAAAATGAAATCACGCATCAATTTTTGCGTGTGTGATAAAATGTCACAGAAATCATGCATTATGCTGATATTTAAAAATTGTTTTTTTCTAAAATGCCGATACAGTAAAAAATCAACAACGAAAAAAAGCGAACGCATTCCTTCGGACTTTTCATGCTATTTTCCGTATATATGTCACACATTTCCTTCAAAATATGTATGTATTTCATACTTGAGTGGGTTTGGGGTAGATATCACCCGGCAGGATATATTGTATATGTCCCGCTCTAGGCCAAATGCGGGCAGATATAATATATCCATCCCGCTCCCGGGAATTTTTTCAAAAGTTTAAAAAAGTTTAAAAAATTTAAAAATTTAAATTTCAGAAGTTTAAAATTTTTCAAAAAGTTTAAATGTTACAATTCTGTTGTATTGAACTGAAGGAATATTATGAAAATGTTAAATATAAATTGTGCTTTTACAGTATAGGCCTATCTTGTCATTTGAAAAAGATGGTAAAGGTTATATCTACCCCAAACCTACTCAAGTATGAGATACACCAGTTATGTACGGTCAGTTTTGGATACAGTGTTTATCCCGCGGGAAATATGTGTATCTCACGAGGTCCCTGCGGTCCCTCGTGAGATACACATATTTCCCTTGGGATAAACCCTGTATCCAAAACCTCCCAGTACATAACCCTTATATATGTCACACATTTGCTTTGAAATATTTTGTACCTATATTTCGATCCCCGGTTCAGTGACTGAGTGGTCCTCAACTCGTACAAAAGGCTGTAGTGTATATACATGTATGTGCACATAAAAGAACACAGGGCTCCTTCAAGGAGGGGTTTCTGGGTCTATCTTCAAGGTTAATTAAATAAATTATGACCGTATATATCTGGGATATTCCCAAGAGGTATTGCTCACCTTAATTGGTGGTAAACAAAATACAATACAATACAATACAATACAATACAATACTAAAGGGGGTTGTTCCTGGCTGGGGGTTCCATTTATAACGAAAGGGGGTATAAGGAGAAGGAGGGGGGGGGGTGCACGAGCCCCATGAACCCACCCTGTCTACCCCAATGATCATTGAAACTGGAGTCAACATTATTTATCAACAACCTCATTTCATCAATAACGCAACACCACGACCACGTTTATTGCCCCCTTTATTGCAGCTTTTATCACGTCCACTAGAGCCCTAAGACATCTTGGTTTGGAATGGACAAACATAAATTTTGTAAAATACAAATTATTAAATGTTCATATGATAATTTCTCCTCAATTGTTTCAGATTTAATTCGGAATGGTGAGCTGTACCCTGAGCTATATGTATAGAAAATGACACCACAGAACCTTCTGCATCTGGCTCTGTATTCTGTACACACAAATGGGCAAAATGTACAGAACCTACAACAATATGGTATGTATATAGATATTTCATTCTGTGTTGAGAATTATAGCGAAACAAATAAATTTGTATATGGTAAATCATGTTGATGATATCTTACAGTATGGTTTTATTTTTGGCTGATGTAAAAAATTTTATGATTATGAAAATGCTTTTCATTGGATATTACATGTAAATTCCGAGCTCTTTGGATGCAAAAGCAATCTGTCTCAATCAAACTCTTTGTATAGAGGAACTGCTTCTGATTTTACATAATTTTGGAGGAATTTGTTCAAAAATATTTTCAATGGAGTTCCAGAGGGATCCTACCCCCTCCCCTGTAATAGTACTGTGTGAATAAGAATTGACTTACTAATATCAAATATCAACTGATTGTCAGAGGTCAACATCAAATTTTAGGTAAAATATGAAAATATGATGAGCTCTTAGATTGTATACTCTGATCTCGTATTTCCCTTTAAAAATCATAGTAGCCCGCACTTTGATAGAGTCAATAGAAATCTTCTTTCTTGTTAATATTCTGTAGTGCTTAGAAAATTACCTTGCCTTAAGAAAGTGACATGACACATGCATAAAAGGTGCATATGTCCCTTATTATTAAAAAAGGTAATTTATAAACATATAACTAATGTCAGCAATATCTGTTCAAACTGTAATTATAACGAAAAATATGGTTTTCATGAAGTATTTTACATGCAATAAATGGTGCAAAACATAGATATTTAATTTGCAGTTTTTAGACTGGTGTTTGGCATTTGCAGTCAGCTTTTGGTATCTGTAACAAATTGTTACATTTTTGTAATCGTTTACAATAATATACTTAGTCACTACTCATATTGATGCTTTGCTTTATTTTGTTTTATATCTGGATCATACAAGGTGTTCCAAAAGTAACAGGACTGGGGCTAGCATTTTGGTAAATCTGCACCATGTACCAATTGTCTTTTACAAATTTTTAATGTACTTTCAAATATTGCGAATAAATCTGTTAAGTTTCTAAAAAATTATGAAACTCAGGTAGAGTAATGGTTGCTATGGTCACATGAAATCGCAGCACCTGTTTTAGTTGCATACCTCGAAGTACGATTTGTGAAAATTCGAAGACACTTGGTGCAGAATAACACAATCCATCACCAGTCCCGTTACTTTTTGAACACCCTGTACATTGGCATCTTGCCTCTTAAATAGTAATGCAGCATTAGAGGTACATAAAAAAATTAGAGTAAAAAGAAACAAACTTTTCACATGCCCCTCGTACATGCATACATTATATATTGTTTTCTTCCATTTTCATTCATTGAGAGATCTATTGCCTCTATTGAACCATGATGATGTCAAATGAGGCCATGTACAGTAGTTATTATGCATTTAATCAAGCCATTCAGGCAGATGTAATTTTGAGGCAGCACTTTCTTGGATGTATTGATCTGAAATCTGATTATTCGTTGTACAATATCTCCTGATTGATTATTTAGAGTTCAAAGTGGTAAGATGTTCCCTAAATGATAAATTGGTTCATCTCAAAAAAAAGCTGTATTACATCATAACTCAGCGTGCCTGTTGAGTTCAAACATTCAAAAATTAAGGGATGGTGTCGTCAACAGTGATAACTAAATATGAGTTTTGATTTGCTGATCATTCCCAAGACCAAGAAATGTGGCAAGTTCCTTTTTGTTGGCATCTTTACTGAACAAAACTATTTGATTGCTTAGCCATTCATGTGACATTATAAGATTCATGTCACACTTACTGCATGTTGATGCTTGTAATATTACAAGAATTTATAATGAGAGTTATAGCTGATAATGTCATGATTTGGAATCTTATAACATTGTGTAATATGATCTCAAATTGACATCATATTCAGTCCATATTTTTTTTAACTTAGAGGATAAAAGAATGGATCGATAGATTTTAATTAAGATGGAATGAGGTACAGAACAGAAGTGAATTATTACAGGAGAAAATACCATCAATAGATAGGGATCTCATGTCAAGAGTAGTTTGCTATCATTGATGTCTGTCTTGATAGCAGCGGAAACCTCTAAAAATCAATATTCTACACGAAACCATCATTTCCCCTCCCATACCAAAAATAAACTTTTATAACCGTCGACATTTTGACACTGTCCCTAATACACAAGAAATGTTTCTAAAGCCTGGAGGTTCTAAAAGTCAGTGTTAAAAGGCATCATACTGATTGACTTTCTGGTAATGTTTCTTTTCTATCTATATCCCAAGTTTCCATGCATTTAACCAGGTAGTATAACTTGTCTTACAAACATAAGCATAAACAGCATTATTAGTACATAGACTAAAAATCACTGATTCCGTGAAGTTATCACATCATAGCCCAACTCTGGCGTCAGACCTAAAAGTGGAAACATATTATGTTCAATACAATTGCCAAGATTTTTAAGGAGGTTGATACATCCTTGAGAATATTACGAAAGTTATTGAGAGGGCTGACTTTTAACATTTAAAGTGAAATAGCTTGCTTTTCATTACTGGCGATCAACACTACCAGCATACTAGGTAATGTTAGACAGTTTAGAAACACACATCCAATAGGAATTACGTTAGATCTAATGAGTCTGTGTGAATTTGGGCCTCAGAAACTAATCAACGATATTAATACATGTGTAGGTGCAATATAACACAGATGTTTCTTGAAGGTCATAAGGAACACACCCCTTTAGTACCATCGAATGGAGCATATAAAGCTTTTTCAACCATCTTCATATAAGTTTAGGGAGAGAGGAGATCAAGAAATTATTACTAATAGGGACACATAAGGTTTCTACAGATTATCTGTGAGCTATAGCAGCAATATCAGTTATTACGCAAGTACTAGTTGGATTTATAGATTTTTCATCCAGAATCTAGTTAAGAATTGAGGTTCATAGAATAATTTAGGAAATAAATCTCAGAGTTTCTTGCTGTATACTGTACGTGGATTTTGTTTTCATGTCACCACTAGAAGTGTGGTGATTATGTTGTTATAGTTATTTTCTCCAACTTTGTTTTGGATGGTATTCAGTGATTGGTGTCTGTAACAAATGGCAGATGGTGATATTTTGTGTGTTTATGCCTTGTTTGTACTATGCTATTTCACAATGGAAAAGAAACAAATAGAAGCAGCAACTGTCGTATTGTATGATGGATAGATGCTAGCATGTATCTAATGTTTTGTTTTTGTTGAGGCTAGGAAAACAAACTGTTATAGGCATTACCATAGTAACTAAAATATGTTGTAATTTGAACACCTACCTTATTTTGATGATTATTAACATTCATTTTTTAATGTAAGAATTATTATTCTGTCTCATCGTAAAATATACAATTAAGAAAGGTTAGGTGGTCATGGTGTTCCAACAACTGTATTTTACCATTTTCTATGCCAACACATCTACTGTATTATTTTGGTATGTTGTATTTTGATAATTATTTTGTCAACACCGCCAGAAGTGGTGACATAGAGTTATAGTCTCCAACTGATTGGTGTCTGTAACAAATGGCAGGTGGTGACATTTTGCATAGTAATGGCTTGTGTAAGCTTGGCAAATGGCATTCCCAATGTGTGCCAAAATTGATAGTAAGATCTTGGAAATAATACACCAAATTATTGGAAATTAAGTTCTTTTAAGTGAAATTTGTTTAATTTGTTGGATTCTACAGATTTTTGTTTTCATATCTTTTTTATTGTCCCCATACTGAGAAGATAATCTCTTGACACTCTTTTGTCATATCAAGGTTGTTTCAGGATAATTAGCTTTAAGTTCAGAAAAACAACTTCTCATAGATATATTTGTCATGATTTTCTATTTTTATTTTATTTTTGCATTAGTTCCACCCTTCATTGTGTTATTACAAGGCATTATTGCAAAAAGTCATAAAATTCTATATCTGGACTGTTAGCCATGTTACAGTTTCCACTGTACCTGGTATATAACTTAATGTAATGTATATATTTATTCTTCGTGGGATATTTTTTCATTCACTATTTTTTGTTGTCACCACTAAAAGTGGTGACATATTGTTATGGTTTCCAACTTTTCGTAGATGGTGTTCAGCAGTTCGGTGGTCCGTATTCAGCATCTGTAACAAATGGTAGGTGGTGACATTTTGCATGTTTGTACCTTGTTTAAATTACCTATGCTTAAATACTTTCAGGTGAATCCTATAAAAGGGATGGGTCAGTGTTCCAGTGGTAAAAGTGTGAATGATGACAATATGGTAAACATCGGCATAGTTGATGCAAACAGAGAGAAACTTGCTTTGGATGAACGAATAAGAATGGAGGGCAAAGCAATAGTGAAGGAAAAAGAGAAAATCTTTAGAGAGAAGTTAAAACATATACATTCTCATGATACCAAGATTGTGATAAAAACGTTGGATGAGTTGAGAGAAATGTTAGTCCAGGCTTGGTCGACATTGAGTCACGGACGGGATATTGCTATCACTCTTTTGGACATTCTCCTTGATGAAGGCTATGTGAAGATGATACTCACGTTCATGAGAGATGGAGAAAAAGACCTGAAGATAATAGCGGCACGCTTACTTGAACAATCATTGACCACTAGGATCAGGCAGTATGTGGAGAAATATGGCTTGCAAGCGTTACTTGATTTATCAAATGATAAAAGTGATGAATTAGAAGATGCTGGCATTGGCCTACTTGAGCATATGCTTAAACTAAGTGAGGCAGCCTGTCAGAGGATTATCTCATTAGGAGGCCTCGAAACCATCATAGAAGCATCCAAATCTGAAAAGGACAGTTTAAGAAAACATGCAGCCAAAGCAATGGCAAATTTAGCCATGTATGGTGGCTTTAAAAATCAAAAGGAAATGATTAAACGCAATGCTCACCAATGGCTATTTACTTTAGCATTCTCTAAAAATCCCTCTGTGACTTATTACGCTTGTATCGCTATAGCTTTTCTTGCAAGCAATAAAGAAATTGAGCAGGAAATCAATGAATCTGAAACTCTGAAACTTGTAAATACATTTGTGGCACATCATGACCCGAAAGAGTTTGGAAAGCTGGACAAGTCACAGCTACAAGGGAGATCAATGGGATGGTTGGCCAAAATGAAGAAACTACTAAAGAGTCACAACCGTGAAGCTCAGACTCTTGCAGCTTTCCACTTCGCAATGGAGGCCACAATCAAAAAGACTCAGGGAAGTATTCATGTAAGTATAAATAAACATTGCTAACAGGTGCCTTTAACAAAATACAAGTGAATGCTTACAGGTGCCTTTAACTGAATGCAAACAAATGTTTTGACTTTAAGAAGCAGATATGATAAAGTGATACATGTGTGCTGATATGTATGACAATGATAATGCATTAGTAAAACAAAATATTTTGACTTTTATTTCATTTTGAAGCTTATTGACAGGTGTGATGTTATAGTTATCATACTACAGTGTCATAAAACTGCTTCATCTTAAAAATATAATATGTTATGTTCCAGTGATCTCCTCAGGATGTTTTCTAAAGTCCTATATACATGTTTTAGACAAAACTGCTCAATATGCTACTCTTTTAACATTGGTGCTCAGATTGATGCTGAGGAGATCTATATGCACTATATTTTAGATATCCATTAAATCCATATTCACTTTCGGTGTTTGGCAGTTGGTGTTCAGTCCTTGGTGTTGGGTGGTCAGTGTCTGTAACAAATGGCAGGTGGTTTGCATGTTAATGCCTTGTGTTATGAAATGTTTTTAATATTGTACTTAATCATTTACATTTAATTATAGGAACTGTATGAAATAGATGCTGTCTTACCTATCAAGCAGGTAGCTTGTTTGTCTGTCAATGATGTTGCCTGTAACTTGGCATACCGGGCACTGGAGACAATAGGGGAAAAATGCCCTCCAAATCTTAGTAATGATATAACAAGATGGGACAATTTCGAAGTGAAATGGTGGCTGGAGGCTTTAGGTATGTGTCCAATATGTGTGCTCTTTTTCTAGATTATATATGTCATCACCAGCAGTAAACATGGGGTGACATATTATTGAAGCCACTGCTTTTTGGCATCATTTATGGTCTACATTTGGGGTTTGTTTGGCATCTGTCACAAAAAACTTTGTAATTTCACCAAGCGTTGACTTGTATCAATGCTTCTCTTTTGTTGTCAACATTACTGTAAACATAATTTTGATAAGATTCAGTATTGGGATGTCACGGGACAAAAATATTTCGGGACAGGACGGGAATTATCCATTTCGAGATGGACGGGACATAACCAATAAAATAGATCATAAGTTTAAAACAGTTCAACAACTTACATTTTCATTCTACGTATTTCCGGTTATGCTTATGCAGTGTGGATCTTTTGAACGTCATCCAATGAACATCTTTGTTATTTTTTAAATTCAAGCATATTTCAAAGGGAAACACTGTTATCGATAAAACTACATGTTCTGTCCTGAATTTTCATTTATTATAATCACTTATAGTATTTGCCACTAGATGGCATTTACGCAGTCCAGCAGATAAGTAGTAAAAACGAAATAAAATTCTAGTTTAGATCATATTTATCGTGCATTTGGGACGTTTTAGGGTCATATACAGGAGAAATAGTATATCCTGAACATGGACTGAAATCTTCGGTACACTAGGGTTGTCCCATCCCGTCCCAAGACCAAAGTCCGAGGGACAATATCGGGAAACCGTGACATCCCTAATTCAGTATCGGTGTTACAATTTATTGAACATTGAGAATGCTTGATCAGTTGATTGTGACACATTTTTACCCAGTTCTATATCTATCAACAGAAATAAGTTCTTGGGCATTTTTGTAAACCTTTAAAAGGCACGTCAATGTGTTTGTAGGTTTTACTGAGTACATCAATGCATTTGCAAAGTTGAAGGTTGATGGCGATCTACTGCTGACGATAAAGGAAGATGATCTGAAAAATGATATCAAGATGTCTGCTGCAATAACTAGGAAAAGGTATTTAAATCATTGCATTAGATTGATAAAAATGAGTTACATTAAAAGTTTATCTGCATACATGCTTGATTCCTAAGTTGACTTAGTTAATATATGATATTTTCATATTTTTGACTGTGCTTTTATTTGTTTCCCATAGAGCACACTATATTGGATTATATTGTATCAAAATACATGTTTATCCCACATTTTTCAACATTTTCATCCAATTTTTAAAAAAAAATGTCAAAATTTGTGAACAATTTTCAAAAAAAAATTTCAACATTTGTTTGCAGGGTATTGATTCCCCATTGGATAAACGGACAATCCTATGGTTTTCAACAATATCAATTATATCCTCTCATTGATATACTACATGATATTTTTTTTAAAACCATAGGATATTCCTATAATATCCATGTAGTTTATGATTCTTTTAATCTCTCTCTATATTTCTCATTATATAAAGTACTAAAATTATAACAAAGACATATTATGCAAAGTTACATATTTCAGGTTTTTAAGAGAATTATCCAATCTGAAGCAATTAGCAGAATATAGTTCCTGTGACCATGACGATCTGTCAAATCACTTATTCAGTCTGGGAGATGAATATGTACAGTACACATACAATCTACTACGGGCAGGCATAACCCTTGATAACATCACCTTAGCAACTGATGACATTCTCAAACAGGATTGTGGGATAGAAAATGGTGTGCACCGAGCTCGGATTATGGAGGCTGTTAAAGGTAAATGTTTGTTAAAATATTGATCTATACAAAAAAGCAAAATCAGAAAAATCCCAATAAAAGCGTTTATACGAGTATCCAATATTATATATAGGTTTTTCTTTCACTACCAGAATTTTATGCAATTTTTCATCATGATTAACGATGGCATCTTATTTCTTCTCAGCCTTGAGAAGCTTCCGGTGAAACAGAAAGATGCTATGAGTATCAGAATGGCAATTTTTCATCTTTTGACTTGTAAGATATCATTCCATGACCTGAAGCAAATTGATACTTCTTGAATTATACATTAAATTGATTATAAATTGAACTTATAGCCAAACACAGTCGAGTTGCATTTAGATCTCGCAGCACATCCAGTTTGCGCAGCTGTCTGGGGGTCCCTGGTAAAGCAGCATGATTTGTTACATTGAAGCATGTCTTTAATATGTCAAGTCATGTCTTGTTTAGTCCATGGATATTTGAGGCGTGTCTGCTCCAGTTTATCCACCAAGGCATGTTTCCATTCCAACTCTCTAAGGCATGTTCCCATTCCAACAATGTCTTGAGTTTAATGCAACGAATCATCAGTCCATCAAAGAAAGTCATCAGGCCATAGAGGCATATCTATCAAGGCATATCTTCACTATAAAGGCATGTCATCAGTTTACCAGGCATGTCATTGGTTAATAATCCAGGCATGTCATGAATTCATCAAGTATTTGATATGTTCTCATAATGGAGTTGTTATCAAGGGTTTTATTCAGTACTGTATGCATGTGCTAAGGGTTATTGAACCTGCATGTTAGATTCAAGTTGTCATGTTATATTACTCCAATAAAAGAAGCTTCATGATTTATCCAGCCGTCTGGTTAAAAGGGAGTTTTAGCTTGCAATGTTTTTCACAACCTAACCGTGAAAGGAAAATATTTAAGCGATGCATTTATATGGGCGATTGGTCATATGTATAAGTTGGTGTTTCGATTTTATGTGCAAGCTTAAACTCCCTAATAACTCAAATATAATAGTGGTAGTCGTTTAAATTTCGATTTTGTTATTGACTGAAATGTTCTTAAGATGACCTCTGCTTTCAAGAGGAGTGTTTTCAAAATGACCACTCAGCTCGAAATGGTTGCAATTCTTTTAATTTTGGATTTTCTGTCCGAAAATCTTAACAGTACTCCCTGTTTGCTATTTTAAAGTGGTATATAAATTGATTTTTACAATTCAATATTAACATGGCTTAAGAAATGTTAAAAAGTAATTCAAGATTTATTTCAAGTAAATAAGAGCGAAGAAACTTTTGAATGATGAATTCAAAATGTATCTATTTTCAAAGTAAACAGGTTCAAATAATTCATTCAAAAATTCTTTTCCATGCAATGTAAACAGAGCCAAAAAAGCGTAAGTTTGTTGTGAATAAAAGCTTTTAATTTGCTTGGGCTAACACCAAGTTTTGAATTGTTAACACTAGCAGTTTGGAGAGTTTATCTTTGTGTTATATTATGTGTTCTCTACAATATATTAAAATTGAGTGATGGAAAAACTTTCACAATCTGGATTTGTGAATCCGAGTGCTGCTATTATAACAGAGTGATAAGATCAGGGTGCCCATTTAAAATAATGATCTTTATATAAAACTGGGAGGTGAAAATGTGGTACCACCACTTGATGTTGCCTGATATAAAACACTGAAAAATAACTGGATTGATCTTTGAAATACAGAGTGTCTCAGAAGTCATGACATTTTTTTAACTTTTTTTGATACATAAATTCAATAATAACTGATTTTCAGACATGTAGACATTCTACTTTTATAATTTTTCTTTGTTTACATATGTTTCTATAGGATAACAGAGGCTGCTCTTTCAAGCAATTCAACAATGTATATGATGAGTGAAACCACTTCTCTTTCAGGTGGTAATGCATTCTCCCGCAGTACTTCCCATACATTTAGCAGGACGCGTAGCTTGGCCTCAATCTCCGGTTCTCCAGTACTCGATGCCACAGAGAAATCACTTGATGTCTTCATCAGCTATAGGAGGTCCACAGGCTCACAACTCGCTAGGTTGGTACAATAATTTAAAAGGAATAACGTTACAGAAACTTTGATTTACAGATTCATACATGTATGAACAGTGAAACCTGTTTATCCATGCACCTTTCCAATATGAACACCTCTCATTGTGACCACTTTTTCTCAGTCCCAAATTTCTCTCATTGACTCACTTTAATAAAGAATGAGAAATGAGAAAACCTGCTAATCCAAAGAGTTTTGGTCAGTCATAATGGCATTCAGATTAGACATGTTTTACTGAATATTTTCATGTCACCACCACAAGTGATGACATTATAGTCTCCAAGCGTTTGTTGTAGTCTCCAAGTGTTTGGTGGTTGGCATTCGGTGTCTGTTTGTCATCTGCCTTGTGAAGTTAACAAAAATGAAATAGATTTGAAATGTTGATTTCTACTACGAAAGCTAACTTAGAATTTGTGTCAGACTGAGAATTTAATGAGGATTGTGATATGACTTGATCTTTAAAGTGATTTTGCCAGACTAGTGTACTCTATGCTTTTTGTACTCTGATTATATTTTATGCGCTATTCTTGTGTTTTTTAGTTTACTGAAGGTGCATCTACAATTGAGGGGATTTTCAGTGTTTATTGATGTGGAAAAACTAGAAGCTGGCCAGTTTGATAATAATCTACTCAACAATGTTCGTCGTGCTAAAAGTTTTGTTCTGGTGCTCTCTGACTCAGCCTTAGACAGGTGTATAGGGGATACTGAGAGCAAGGATTGGGTACATAAGGTAGGTAGGTTTTTCCATATTGAAGTGGAGAGTTGCACAGTTCATGTATAATGCATATAGCCCTTTTATGAGAATGGCAGGCAAGGGGGTAGCCAGAGGGGGTTAGAGCCCCCCTGCCAAAGAATTCTTTCAAAATCATGCATCATTTTGTGCACTTACAGTGATTTTGGGCCAAAATTAAATGTAAATGGTTTCATCTCTGCTAGCTCATATGAACAAAGAATAAAGGGACCTGATATCAATCTGAATTAGATTGAATTTTTCAACAGCACTGGTATTTGAACTTGTGTAATGTTTTTTCTAATTTATATTTCAGGAGATCACAACTGCACTCCAGTCTCAGTGTAACATAGTACCCATACTGCACCAGTTTAAATGGCCACCTCTCGATAGTATTCCAGAGGATATGCGTAATGTCTCATTCTTCAATGGTGTCAAGTATGTAATGCACCGTGCCTTATATTATATTATGATTTGAGGTATATAGTTCAAATGGGATGTTATTGTGCCTAAAGGCTTCTCCATCAAGACGATGCTGTATTTGTCTTTAATTGGCAAGCATTTTAAATTGGCAAATTTTGGTGAATAAAAACAGCCAAATTGAATAGTCGCCAAAACCCCCGGGAATTTGACATGTTTTTTGTTCGGTGCATTTTCAGTTATAAGAAAGATACCAAGATGGCCTGGCCATTTAAATTGATAGAAACAAAAAGAAGTATTGAAGAATTTATATGAACAACAAGAAATATTGAAGAAATTTTTTATCAACAACACTGACAATGAGTATTTTGAATTTTGTCGGACAGGAGCATGTCGGGGACACTTCAAAACCGCCAAATTAAATAGATGCCAATTGGCCCAAAAATAAAAATCGCCATATTAAATAGCCCCAAATTACAGGCAAATACAGTATATGGGATACAGTTATGGCTCCTTTGCTGTGGCCACAAGCAACTGCTATTCAGTTGAGTCTGTTAGGTTGTGTGGTAAGGCCATATGATGGCCTCAATGAAATATGTACAGTGAAACCTGTAAAGGGGAACACCTCTAGTAGAGGACACCTCTGTTAGTGGAACACTTTTCAGAGTCCTAAAATGAGCCTCTATAAGTGGAACACCTCCCAAATGGACACTTTTAGGGGGTACTAGATGATTTCCACGTCGACAGGTTTTACTGTACATGTATTTGAATATAACCTCTGAAGGAGAGTTTGATGCAAAGTACATCCCTGTTGAACCCCTTTTATGAAAGGGGGCAAAATCTCTGCAAAATGTAACAGCTATGATCTTCAATAGTTATTCATTTATTAATTAGTGGAAAATATTAATCTTACTATTCCTTTGGAACAATCCTTTTCTTTTAAAGACATGATCAATTATTAGATGGTCTTTCTAGGTAGATTAAGCGAGATATGTTTATGTCATTTTTATTTCCAGGTGGATCCATGACTATCAGGATGCCTGTATGGACAAACTAGAACGCTTTCTTCGTAACCCAAAACCCCCAAAGCTGGATGAACCTGTAAAAGCAAATTAAAAAACTACAAGTGGTACATGGATCACTTCCCATGGCACCTGGTCCAGCCTGACACATTAGGATCTGAGTGAATCAGAGGAACCGTCAATCTTAGCTCAAAAATCAGGATTCGAGATCCAGAATAACTTTTCCACTTTCTGCTTTGGCTAAGCAATGTAGATGGAATTGTTGAATGACAAACAATTCAAACATTGAAGTAAAGGAAGAGTTATTATTAAGGCAAGAGACCTTATTATATGTGAAATATGACTGTTTGTCATTCTCTTTGTAACATTTTAACTCAAGATACTCAAAATATAGGAAAGTGTGCTATTATAGAGATTATATGAAAACAATTGGGCTGGAACCAGTTATATATTAATTAACTTATTGATTAAATTAACTTATTAATTAACTTATGTGTAACTTCGATTGTTTGTTTTTTATTAAATATTGTATTCTTATTTGGCTATTATTAATGCTCTTTGAGCCTAGCCAAAATGTTACTCTAATGATTAATGATTTTGTGTTAATGAAATACTTATTTATTGATTTTAGCAAAGTTTATTATGGTAGAATTAGATTTTCTTTTTATCACTGAATGTTGTTCCAAAATAGCTGCTATTCAGATGAGAACAAATGAGATAAGGAAGATTTTATTGCCTAGAGGTAATTGTTTCAAATGTATACTAGGTATATTTTTATCAATACTGCAAGTCACCTCACAAATAACATTTAGCCTTTATAGAGGTACATTATTCATGTTATATGTACCTAGTTAACACTAGGAACAAGAAAAGATCATCCTATGTAAACATGTACAAGCTAATTTTCTAGGGGCTTATAGTTAGGTAAAAATAGATACTAGGGCTGGTATGGAATAGAAGGGAATCGATTTTAGACCTTGGCATCAAAACTTTTGGAAATTTATTTCGTTCCAACGGAGGATGGCAGTTCAGAAAGTCCATTCCTAAAGGTGAAATCAGACATCATTTCCATACCAGTCTTACCATGAAATAACTTACGGGTATTTTATGTCTCTTAGTACTAATTATGTAGACTGCTCCACCTGGTAATTACGCAGACAGGTTTTACTGTAAATAGGTAAACCAGTTAAGTGCCATTATTTTTGCTTCATTATATTTTTATTGTACATTTTCAAATGATCTTACAATTTTAATTTTATCAAAAAATACTCATATTTGTTTTATTAACATTATTACTTTGATTATCTTTGAAAACATGTTCAGAACATAAACAAGTTTATCATGATATGTAAGCGAAAACAGGGAAGGGTATTTAATAGATGTGGACATTATTCTAAATTAAGTAATTTAAAGGGAGAATCGGATATGTTTCTATGATTTCAGTTATAGAACGCAAATGTTTTAAATAATTTTTTTCATGGATTTTTAATAATCAAATGAATAAATGAAACAAATTATTAATAGCTAAGAATATATTAATGTAATCTCTCATTTGGAATCCATTGCCAGTTGGAATCATATTTAGAAAGTATCTGATTCTCTCTTGAAATCTCTTGAAAGTTTAACACAGCGCCAATGGTACATGCTGAGACTAACATAGAATGATGCTCTCAGGTACATGTATATGTCAATTTCAATGACAATTAACTTTTTCATTTCAATAGATGTTTTTCCACTTCTAGTTAGACTAATAGAAACACATTGTTAGCTGATGAATGAATTGATTTAACCTAACCTATATATGACTGATTTCTGAAGAGGATTGCTTTTATATGTGCAAAACTAGAAGACTGTCCATGGCAAATACATACTGTATCTGGTGAAACACTTGAATTGAGCCAACACGCTTAATAGCCTATTCACACAATAACTAAGCAAGGTGTTAATTTAAAAATGTTAAAAAAATTAATTTGCTTCATGGGTGACAAAATATTTTCCTGGTGAATGTCGAGTCTCACATCATACGAATGTAATCTTAGGCGATCTATCTCACCCTATGCAGACAGAGCCTGTGGGAAATATTGGGTGCGGCGCAAATGAGCGGAGGGTGCGGAGCTAACGGTCATTTTTGAATTTAAATTTGGGATATTTCTGAAACTAAGCCGTTTTGGGACTTCAAATATACCAAGATATGTGTATTTGACACCAAATATCAATACAATTGTGAAAATAGTAGTGCAACTCATTTTATAGCGACGCAGTATGCCTTAAATATTTCCCAGACCTATATATTTTGAGACTATCCTTTTAATACTGCGTCCCCAGCATTCATAAAAAATGGTGTTCAAGATACACTACCCATGCAAATTATTTTTGCATCTTGGAAGCCAGGCAGTATCTGTGTGATTTTATAAAAATTCGGAAATGTTCTTCAGATATGAGCCCCCTCTAAATATTGGGTGCGGAGCTACGTTTATAAACGTAGCTCCGCACCCAATATTTAGAGGGGGCTCATATCTGAAGAACATTTCCGAATTTTTATAAAATCACACAGATACTGCCTGGCTTCCAAGATGCAAAAATAATTTGTAAAGATAGTGTACCTTGAACACTATTTTTTATGAATGCTGGGGACTCAGTATTAACAGGATAATTTCAAAATATATAGGTCTGGGAAAGTTTTAAGGCACACTGCGTCGCTATAGAATGAATTGCGCTACTATTTTCACAATTGTATTGATATTTGGTGTCAAATACACATATCTTGGTATATTTGAAGTCCCAAAACGGCTTAGTTTCAGAAATATCCCAAATTTAAATTCAAAAATGACCGTTAGCTCCGCACCCTCCGCTCATTTGCTCCGCACCCAATATTTCCCACAGGCTCTGTCTGCATAGGGTGTATCTGCATGGGGTGGTGTGTGAAATATCAATAACGCATTTGTTGTGTACAGTTGCTAAGCGATTGAGATCGAAATTGAATTTTCCAATATTTGGCCCTTGCAAAAAGTTTCATTGAAATATATTCTTTTATTGATTTTGTATCGTTTAGGTGATTTCATAGAAAATATTTTGCAATGTGTGAAAAGAATTTAAGCCCAAGACGCAATGCACTATGGCTGCTTCATTCCATTCAGATGTTGTTTCCTAAACTTTGCATCCCCGCTGCAGGGTCATGCAAAGACTTGAAAACAACATCTTCGTGGAATGGTTCAGCACACAATGCAGTCCAAGGCTTAAATCCTTCAATATAGTATCTGCTAGCATGTACAGATTCTATAAATACTCTTGTACAATTTTTATGGATTTATCACCTGCTCATCTTCTGTTATTAATGTAAGGAGAAGAAAAACATGAGATTAAAATGATATTTTAAAACCACATTCCAGTTTCTGTTTATTGTTTAAATTCAATTTTTTATCAAAACTTCCATTTTTGTTTTCGTTTTTACACTTTATCATATTTTTATTAGCTCACATGGTGAGCTATTGCAATCACTCGTCCGTCTGTCTGTCTGTCCATCTGTCTGTCTGTCGGTCTGTCAACAATTGGCCTGTTTCCCGTTTTAAGTTATTTTTGTTCAACATCAATATAGAAAAACTATTTGCTTTAAAACCTCTGTGGATAGGATTCCCGTTTTGAGTTATTTTTGTTCAACATCAATACAGAGCACTCCGCTATGACACCTGGTTCATAAGCTCGCCTATTTTCTAAATGGTCGCCGTTTTTGTTTCGCGAAATTCAGTTGGCCCATTTCCTAGCTTTACAAATAACTCCAGGTGTCCTGCATTGTAGAAAGCCATGTCACTGTAAAGAGAAGTTGTTTGAAATAATTTTGTCACAAAAAATCGGCAAAAATTATATTCGTTCTTTTTATTTTCTGCCATTTTAGCCATCATTCACTTTTTGAGCAACACCATGTGAGCCAAGTGCCCACAGTACTATTTATTTTATTAATTTCTCTCATTCAGACAATTCTGTTGACCGACCTCAATGGTTGTGTCACTATCCTTGTACATTATTAGGGTTCCGTATACAGTGGCATGGCCAGGAAGAAATAAAAGACGAGGCGAAAAATATTTCCAAATGTCTCATCATGGAGCGCTCCAAAAAAATTATTTCAATTATTCAGATTCTAAATGGTGGCTATATAACTCAGTAAGAAAAGTGCGAATGTAAATTATTCGTCAGAAATATATACATTTAAAACACCATTAAAGTCGAGCAGTTCGATGATGGCAATTTAATACAAGAACATGATGATGCTACGTGATGAGATTATGCATAATTGAATAAAAATTGATAAAATATATACAATTTTAAACTTATCACATAGGAATAGCTCTCAAAGGATGTTCTGGCTACATTACAGCCATCATGCTTTTATTTGAATTAAAAAAGTTGTATCAAAAAGCAAAAGTCTTTTCTGGGTCACTGCGAATGGCATGATTTCCTCGAGTCTCTTCAGTTGCAAGGCAACCATACTGGGACCGATTCGCGTCGTTCCACTACTGCCCTTGGTGGGGGCCCGCTACCATACTATATGACTCCCGGAGTTTACTAAAGCACGTTAGTGGAGGAACCAACCACAGTCTCACAATCTGTCTCCGGCAAGAGCGGCCAGAGAACCAACCCATGCCAAGGGCCGGTAAACGGTTGGACCTTCGGACCGGGTGTCCGTAGTAACAATGATCAACAACTCCGTACCTGGGGCTCGAACGCGGGACCTCCGTATCCCCCGGTACATTCGACCACAGTCTAACCCAACCGGCCAAACTGTTCAGGTGTCCAAACTGCTCGAAATGTAATATTTGTTTTACTATTTTGCTTGAATGAACACGAAAGTGCCTATAATAATCTTATTTTCTAAACCATTTGTTTGGAATTACTAATTACAAAGTTGGAGTTGAAGTTGGCTGTCGAGGTTTCGCATGACAATCACTCTGGAGAACATTAGGGATTTTAGGGATAAATGGCAATTCAAGAAAGAGAGCAATTGGAAGTATCACAAAATCAGCAGAGAAAGCATCAAAATGGATCTGGATCAAACGAGCAGATAACTGGAAAACAAAATAAGACACTAATAAGAAGTATTTAGCTTGAATAGCACACACTTGTCCCACACCACTCTAGTGGGGTTGTTACGACCCTCGTGTGGTAGCGTGGTTTGGGGGTCGTAAACAGAATACAGTCTTAGAATCAATAGTTTGATTTGATGTTTTCATTAACTTAGTTTCGGGACAAGTTCAAGTAAAAGTTGAAATGTGTATCCCTATTTATTTGAACAACATCCGTGTTCACAGTATCATAACAAAATTGGATCAAATTGGGATAAATTTTGCGATGAAAATTTAGGGATAATTTAGGGATAAAAATTTAGGGATAAATTCTGGGATAAAAATAATTGGGATGAAGTGGGACAATTTCGGGATAACAAAATCTGAATATAGACTAAGTAAGATTGGCAGTTTTCAATGTAAGTTGTTTGTCTCATAAAGGCGAATGGCAACAGACTCCAGATTCTGAATGTGCCCAGTGTTCAGTTGTATCAAATAAGTATAATGTTAGGGTGTGAGTATAACCAGGTAGAAGTCTTAGCCACTGGGGGCTACAATGGACTTCGAGCTGTATATAAAGCTCACTGTTCACACTTAAAATGGGAGATTTTGTAAGAATTAAAGTAGGGCTATTTCAAATCAAGAGTCTGTCAAACTCATCAGGGGATAATATTACTTGTACACCATTTAAACAAGCAAGTAAGAAAACATTGGAAGTAAATGATGTTTGAGGTAACGACTTGGAACCAGGGTGAATGAAATTCTCACTAATATTCTCAATAAGACAAAGGTTAAATAAGAAAGTAAGATCCTGGATTGTACTTTAGCTTTGCACTATTGCATAGTTTCTGGGAAAATATATGTATGACTTATTGTGAGTGATTGTTATTCAAAGAAGCCCTTAGCAAATATGAGCTAAGATAAAGCTTGTTGCTTGAATGTTAGTATCACTTAAGTCACCTGGAATTTAGTCGGAATCTATTTTGAATCCAGAATCTACTTTAGATAAAATGAGGGGGGATTTCTAACATATATATAAACAATTGAACACAAGAAGTGATATTCTGTGGATTTTTATATAATGTATAAAAACGACTCTATTTCTATGTACTAATCTACACAAACATTACACAATTCAGTACTGCCGAGATGGTATATCAAGTAAATAATCTCTCAAACCAAACATGCATAAAACAGCACAGCTAATGGAAGTTCAGTTAAACAATTTGCAACAAAGCCTAAAATGTGTCTTTTCCCAAAAATGTAACTCAACAGTGCAATTTTATATAATCCCTGGTGGGGTTGAAATCAGCTCTCTATACTACTCACATGAAAAGTGGAACATCATTTTGCCACTATCAGACTATGGTACAATTGGCAAACAAATGGGAAACAGTATTTTAAAAGTATTCTAGTATCTATAATGAATTAGAATGTGGTTAACATAGAATTAGACCAGACATGGAAAACTAGAAGGGGAGGGGGTGTCTTAAGTCCGAAAATGGGCTTCGAATGACCATGACCCTTAAAAGTACTTCAATGATCAATGATCAGTTGTTTGATAATGGTCCCATAAGCCCGGGATTTCACCTTTAAATTACCCAGAATTTAACATACAAATATACAAAGGAGTATTTCTAGTGTATCAATAAAATTTACCCTGTGAACAAACTAAATACAGTCCCAAACTGGATGGGGGGATGTCGTATAGAGGTGTCTATGAACCCCAGGAATTTGCAGTTGACTCTGGTTTAGAGCAAGTTACATAAGGTTCGTAAAGACCGTAACTTTTCGTACACCTTGTCAAATATTCCTAAACGATTCCCTGTGGGGATTAACCTTGCGCTAACCTTGTGAAATGTTCCTTAACAATCCCTGGGACAATTTAAAAATGGGATGTTCACAAGGCAAATAAATAAAATGAAGGAAAAATCAAGTGTACAGATACTTCTTTTCAAAGACTAAAACTCTGCAAAAATACAATTAGATCAAGTCAATTACCTTTACCAACTCGTACACCTAAGTTGGTTTATCTGCGGCAATATAAATATCCAATTTTAGTGACGATTTAATGTTTAAAATTCCACAAAATGTTTTCCATGTCTGGCCGGCTTGAATTCGAAGCATAAAAGCACAGAAAAAGACAATTCACTTAAAACGTGCTTATTTACTTAAATCAAGCTTAATAAGCCTCACTTTGGATTTTGAAAACAAACCCAGACAACTGCCCTTTCTAAAAAGTTTGTAACATAACATTAAACATGAAACTGGGCCTAAAACCTTCAGATTAAACTCTTGTTATAAACAAAATATATATGTTGACATTAATCCTGTAAATAATATTACATGAAAAACACAAGAGAAGGTTATTAACCTAAATATAAATATAGAGTAAAATTATTAAACTTTAACCATACTTTAAGAGAATAGCCAAAGTACTACCCTTTTACAGAATTTAAATTATTTCATAACTCTTTAAATATTGAGTAACTAAAAGCACAATTGATAAAGTGAAGAGCAAAAAGTTAAACAAAGTGACAATCCTTCAAGGCGATTACATAACCATGCTCAAAGTAATCTGAAGGATCGTCACAGGGTCACCTGGTAGTGTTATACAATGTTGAAAGACCCGAAATAACAATGAAACCAGGCACATTGCTGATGATGGGACAAGTGCATACAGCAACACCAAAGTATGTTTTAAAAAGACAAACAACGACAATCAATGCGCACAAGCGTGCAATTGGCTACTTACGCGTTATTGCGTCTTCTGAGATGTCATATGCAACAGAAGAACAAGAGTGAATTCGATTATTATAACATTTTACTTTTGAATCAATCAATTTTCAGTGTTCATAAGCAGGTTTTATTTCAGTCCGACGGAGATTTGTACTTTAAGAACTCAGAAAAAAGTTGAGTCTAATTGTATATACCAGTCACCACGACGCGACATTCTTTAGAATAATCGTGTACATCGCAGTGATCGAAATATTTTCATGGATCATCCAATATTTTGGATCAATGTTTGTCACATGTATTTGCTTTTGAGATATCAATCCGCCCTCTTCACTGACTTGATCGATACTAAACTATAGTCTGGACAATAAATAAAATGTGTAGTCGATTTTCCACCACCGCTTCCAAACCACGGTAGTTTGAAAGCCCATAGTTCCCAATATTGTCTATATATTAGGGAGTTTAAGCTTGCACATAAAATCGAAACGCCAACGTACCAATCGCCCGTACAAATTCATAGCTTAAATATTTTCTGTTCACGTTTAGGTTGCGAAAAACATTGCACGCTTAAACTCCCTAATATCTACGTATCTCCTAAAAAGTATATTTTACATTTCAGCAAATCCACTACTCATTTATTTATTACTCAGACTGTAATTACAAAATTATAAAATGCAATCACGTCTAGATTATTGGCCCTTTTTGATGAATTGTATTTGTAAAAATATTCATTTTATTATTAGACTCGTACGTTCGAGGACATTGTTGCACTGGTTGTTTTCGGCCCAACAACAAGCCAAAAATCGGACAACAATGTTGCCGAGTAGTTCGCCCGATTTCTATTCATTCATGACAATTTACTTTTAATTGAAAATTGTTTGAATTGAGTCATTTTAAACACAAAAAAAAATTTGAGGAATAGCTTTTCTTAAAATATGGTAAAACCATCATACAATAAGATGAACTAAAATTAAAAAGAAAGCGACATTTTCTGGATGAATCCACTGTCCCACGCAAGTAGCTCACATCTTCCAGGTATAAATTCTAAAGCAGTAAGGTAACTTTTTTTAGAACGACCTGGATAGCTGAGTTCATTGGAAGAGAGTGATATTAGACGATTCCTTGTCGTGTCAAAGTAGTGGGTAAAATATGATGGCGATCTATACGTGTCCAGAATATAAAGTATTCCATTTGCCATGAATGCATTTCCAGCTCTCCTCTTCTTTACATCGAGCTGCCATGTTTCAACAATGACCAATGTATCAATGTCCAAAAGTGCAATTGCAAAATTTCCTTCATTTTGTATAGAACCATATATGGCATAAAGTCTATTTCCATTGTCCAAAGCAAGATCAATGTCCGAGAATCCTCCCCAATCGTAAGGATATGTATTCTGGAAACCAGCATCTTTCAAAGTCACTTCACCAACGTTTTCTTTAGTACTAATCTGAATTTTCACCACTCTATTTGAGCTTGCCAAGTTGCAATAGAAATAGCCTGCGTATATGGCATGTCCTGTTCCGTCACACGATTGTCCTGAAATAAAAAGACAATTTTGTAGGCTTCATGAGTTTCTAAATTCACCATAACACATATTGTATACTAAAGCAAACATCATATTGATTCCAATATCAAAGTTGATACATACTAAGAGTTATATTCTTTATAGGATTGCTCAAAATTGACATCTCGTTTGTGTACCGCTCAAGAGTATTGGCCTTGTCGTAGCCTTTCATAACCCACACTGTTGAATCTATGGGGTCCACAAACCACCAACCATGTGTTCCTAGCCCAGAGCTCAAATCCATTGAATTACCAATGCCCAGACTAATGCTCGATATTATCTTAGTAGAACTACCTAATAAGCAAAACAACAATCATTGGCATGATTAAAGTGGCAGAAAAAGATGCCGAATGTAAATATAATGTTTGGAACCCGGGTTTGGAATAAGCGAAAAAATCAATCTTTTTACAATAATTGAACCAAGACTTAAGATAGCTTATCATAATATCGTTTCTGTACATAATAGCGTTACACTGTACATGTAAAATAACAAACTGCAAAAACACCACAGAAATCAAAGAATTTTCATGAAATGGAACGTGAGCGTAACCATGACAAAAATAGTTGATAGACATACCACAAGACAGTGTTGGTAAATCACTCGTGGTCCTTGGTGTTGGTTTAGTTGTCAACTCGGTGTAATCAAAGGTTATTGGCACTTTCTGGAGAAATCCATGGTTCCATACTAACAACTCACAACTTCCAGGAACATATTCCAAAGAGGTAAGATATTCATATTCAGGTCCTGGGTATCTGAGTCCGGCAAAGGATAGTGATGTAAGAGTACTTGTTGCCGTGTCATAGCGATAGCTAAAACTAAATGGATTATTATACGAGTCCAGAATATATAGCATTCCATTTGCCATGAATGCATTTCCACTTCCCTGTTTCTTTACATTGAGCTGCCATGTTTTAACAATGACGAATGTATCGATGTCCAAAAGTGCAATTGCAAAGTGTCCATCATTTTGTTTTGAACCATATATGGCGTAAAGTCGATTTCCATTGTCCAAAGCAAGGTCAATGTCCGTATATCCTCCCCAACCGTAAGGATATGTATTACGATACCCGGCGTCTATCAGGACAACACTTCCAACTATTGTTCGAGAGCTAATCTTTATTTTGACGACTTGATTTGTATTTGCCAAGTTGCAGTAGAAATAGCCGGAATATATGGCATGTCCTGTTCCAACACATACCTCTCCAGCTAAAATATTTTTCGCAAGGTACAATACGTAGTTTTCATACAGTTGTACATACATATACATGTTGTAGCACAAGTTCAATACCCTTTACATTCGTTCGAATTAAAGGAAAGAGCTTAAAAGAGAGCTTCATCTTCAGTAGATTGTAACTAGACTCTGCGCTCAGAGTACCTTTATTGAATAGTGAAAGCAAGGGCAAGATAGTTCATTTAGAAATTTAAGTAAAGGAACTGACTTATTTCCTTTAATGAAATGTATCATCAGTCATCAGTACAACTATCTCTGAACTTAAAATCTCTGAGCTTAACCGATCCTGTCTAGGTTTTATTTACATTATTAAGAAATACCTAAATCAATTTTTTCTATGGGGCTCCCTGAAAGGGACGCCTCATTTGAATACTTCTCTATCACAGTGTTGCTCTGGTAGCTGCGCACAAGCCAAACTGTTGAATCAACGGGATCCTTAAACCACCAACCAAAGGTGCCATATCCAGATGCAACATCAATCGCATTGCCTATGTACGATATCTCCCCTTTGTGTTCTTCTAAGAAAAAATATACTTCCATTCTTATTTGAAACTAGCTAAGTTGTGGCGCCCGCTCGCACAAATCGATGACAATAACCCGGGGACAATAAAGCACTCTTTTAAGTGCGATAAAATATATTGACTCATCACAATGCATTCTTGATCTCAGTTGTTTTCGATCGGTAAACTTAGATCGCTAAACTTAGATGAGCTAGTTAAGGCACGAAGAGAATGGCTTTCGCATTGTGGAATCCACGAACTGTACTATTACTGGAGTAATACCAACTTAACCATTGGATAAACGAATCTGATAAATTGAAATTATTTTATGTAATTCCACTACTTACTAAACTGTGAAGTAGATGCTTTTCCCGAACTGTTGAACCTAAGTGGCACCTTCTGTAGAAGGCCGTTGTCCCAAACATATAGCAAGCCTGTCCCTGGCATATAAGCAAGTTGAGTAAGATAACCATTGCTTGGTCCGTTATATGGAATATCAGTCACTCTCAGAGTTGTGTTTCCATTGGTATTTGTATCAAAGTAAGATATATAAGTTGGTTTGCTGTGGCTGTTTAACATATAAAGCACTCCTTTTACTATGAATGCATTTCCAACCTTATTCTTATTAATTGACGTATACCATGTTTGTAGGATACTAAGAGAGTCCATATCAAGTTTGCTCACTGCCATAATTCCAGCTCTACTAAAAGATCCGTATATGACATACATGACATCGTTGTCATCAAGGGCGAAATCAATGTTAGATAAACCGCCCCAGTCGTATGCATAGTCATCTTCGGAACTGGCATCTTGGAGGACTGTCTCTTGGACAATGGTTTCAGTGATTATGTCGATCTTCACTATTTTGTTTGTGTTAGCTCGGTTGCAATATAAATGACCTTTGTAGATCGCGTGTCCAGTTCCGCCACATGTAACTCCTTTTATTAAAAATAAGAACACCATTTATATAAGGACAATAGGTAGTCAGGATCAGGCAGTATAGCAAACAATTTTGGACGTTGATTTTACCTGCAATATTTTTTATTGAACGCGTTGGATTTCTTTTCTTCAGTTCTCTTTCGTTTGCATATTCTTTCAATGTTGATCTATTCTTCCAGCCATAGCCACGAATCACCCAAACGTTTGATCCCTGTGTGCTCGGATCTATTGACCACCAGCCATGCGTACCCAGACCTGTCACATTTATTGCATTTCCAAAGTCGACGTCACATGTTGAACACATTTGGGTCTTTGTGAAACCTGTGATAAAAATTGATTTTAAAACATGACAAAAGCAATTTTCAATGATCAGTAATACCATGGACACCAAATTAGATATTACCTTACCTTAAATTTCTATCTATAATTGGATTCTGAAAATTTTTGAGACTCCGTTGAACGAGTCGAGGATGGTGCTCCTACATTCTGATACGCATCAATATGTTACGTCATCTTATTCCAAAAGTTAAAAAAACATATATACACTGTAAAGTATATGGAATGGTACTTTTAAAGATGAACCGATGTACTAACTGCATTTTGGAATAGTTCCAATCAGTGGACGAGATGTTTGTTCCAATGTCTGTTTAGAAGAGACTGGGGTATCGGTGAACAATGCCTGGTCTCCTTCTTGGACGGGGCATGTCGGACATTGTTCTTGATTCGAATTCAGACGGGGCTGTGTCGGACATGGCTGTTCCGCATTTGTTTTCGACGATGATACAGTATGATCATCAATCCATTCCCTGAGATTATTGCATAAACGTTTATAATTGGCTAGGAAGCTCATCCTGTCTGCTTTCGACTTTTGTTTCTTCATATTTTTGAGGATCAAATGAAGTTCTTTCAAGATATCTCGCCTAAATATTCGAATGGCGGTTGCTTGTTCTGAGCCTTGAGGTGATGTACTTGCAAATTGAGACGATTTTGTCTAAAATAAAGTGGACTGTTGAAATAGTATTATGGAATGAATTATTTTTGATCAGTTAAAAAGAAATAATGCTGCAGCCTGAACGTTTAATTTAAAACGTTCGAACAGAGAAAGCATGAATCATCGCGAGTCAAACTTGAACATCGTTAATTTATCACTTAGTCAAAGAATACAAAAAATAATTGTGCATTTATGATAAAAATAAAACTCTTATATCATGCTCTCACCAGCATATACAAGACCATCGACTTTGCCACGCCTGACCACTTTTTTACTGTTTTCCAGGATGATTCATTTTCAAATGTCTCCGTGACTCTTTCTAAGTCTAGTTTCAGTTCGATTGCTATTCTAGCCAACTCTACCAGCCTAGGATGGATTTTGTTGTCCGTTTTCTGTCCAACAGCATATTTATCTTTAACATGAAAACCATGCAAACAAATCTATTAATTTTACCTTTTATACAAAGAAGATGTGTTTGTGGCTGGGCATTTGCATTATCAGCCACGTTATATGATGAAAATATAAAACAGAATAAGGTAATATTAACATAGGGGATGTATTTGTGGAGAGTAATAGTTGTGGTAATGACCTCGACATTTTCACATGCAAACATATAGAACATACACTTATAATTCATTCACAGTATCGTTAGTCATGGACGGATAAATGAAATAAAGACGAGCACACGCGTCTCGAACTCGCAACCTCGTGGTTACGGCGCCCAATCGCCTAGCCTGAACGTGCTGGCGCTTATATATTCCTATACATACACACGTTGCTCAACTGTCCTTAACATAGTCCATTTTACGATAGCGGTTACGTAATACATGTTTATTCTCACATAGTTATTAATATACAGTCAAAAGGATACTCACCATGCAGAAATGCAACAAAAGCAACCTACAAAGAATGAACTTTAATATTATGTTGCTCGTGTTATGATATTAAAATCAATCGTAATTATATTATATTGAGCAATGCTTGAATCTTTGTTTCATTCCTCAAGTTAGACAAAGGGGGAGTGTAAATTGTTTACTTCAGCTCAAAATTGCATCACACATTTGGAGGGGATTGTTAACCTCAGCTCAAAGTTGCATCAAACATTTGGAGGGGAGTGTTAATTGTTTACTTCAGCTCAAAGTTGCATCAAACATTTGGAGGGGAGTGTAAATTGCTTACGTTTAGCTAAAAGTTGCATCAAACATTTCAAGATAAGTGTTAATTGTTTACCTCAGCACAAAGTTGCATCAAACACTTATAGGGGTGTTTAAATTGTTTACTTCAGCTCAATATTGCATCAAACATGTGTAGGGGAGTGTAAATTGTTTACACATCAGTTCAAAGTTGCATCAAACATTAAGAGCGGAGTGTAAATTGTTTTACTCAATTCAAAGTTGCATCAAACATTTGGAGGAGAGTGTAAATTGTTTACCTCAGTTCAAAGTTGCATTGAACATTTGGAGGGGAGTGTAAATTACACTTGTATTTATCTCAGTCCAAAGTTGCATCAAACATTTGGAGGGGAGTGTAGATTGTTAACTTCAGCAAAAAATTGCATCAAACATTTGGAGGGCAGTGTAAATTGTTTACCTCAGCTCAAAGTTGCATCAAACTTTTAGAGCGGCGTGTAAATTGTTACCTCAGTTAAAAGTTGCATTAAACATTTGGAGGGGAGTACAGGCCTGTCAACTTGGGGACACCTAACATGAGTGACTTGGAAATGTTGAACACCTCCCCTCAAAATGTGGACACCTTGGTACAAATCTGGACACCTTGATCCAAATTTTGAACACCTTGGTTTTAATTTTATTACATCTTGCCAAATTTTGAACACCTCAAATTTTTCGCGCTCGCTACGCTCGCTTTTCAAACATCCGTCAACGGGGGGGGGGGGGGGGGGGGGGGGGGGGGTAGGTACGAAAATTTTCGAACGGAATGCGTGACATATACGTAATTCGCGTGAAAATTCCGAACGAAATGCGTACATTTTTTTCCCGCGTTCGTATTTTTGCTGTGTAGACGATCTTTTTTAGAAATTTTTCTACAGAAATATTTTTGCTTGACAATTACCAGGTAAAATGCGTATTTGCGTGACATTTTCTGTCACGCAAAAATAACTGGCGTGACTTCAAATTCTTCAGCAAATGCGTGACAAATACGCAAATTGCGGGACAGTTGACAGGCCTGGGAGTATAGATTGTTTACTTCAGCTAAAAGTTGCATCAAGCATTTGGAGGGGAGTGTAGATTGTTTACCTCAGCTCAAAGTTGCATCAAACTTTTAGAGCGGAGTGTAAATTGTTACCTCAGTTAAAATTGCATCAAACATTTGGAGGGGAGTGTAGATTGTTTACTTCAGCTAAAAATTGCATCAAACATTTGGAGGGGAGTGTAAATTGTTTACCTCCGCTCAAAGTTTCATCAACCATTTAGAGCGGAGTGTAAATTGTTTAACTCAGTCCAAAGTTGCATCAAACATTTGGAGGGGAGTGTAGATTGTTTACTTCAGCTTAAAGTTTCATCAAACATTTATAGCGGAGTGTAAGTTGTTTACCTCAGTCCAAAGTTGCATCAAACATTTGGAGGGGAGTGTAGATTGTTTACTTCAGCTAAAAGTGTCATCAAACATTTGGAGCGGAGTGTAAATTGTTTACCTCAGTTCAAAGTTGAATCAAACTTTAGAGCAGAGTGTAAATTGTTAACCTCAGTTCAAAGTTGCATCAAACTTTAGAGCGGAGTGTAAATTGTTTACCTCAGTTCAAAGTTGAATCAAACTTTAGAGCGGAGTGTAAATTGTTAACCTCAGTTCAAAGTTGCATCAAACATTAGAGCGGAGTGTAAATTGTTTACCTCAGTTCAAAGTTGCATCAAACATTTGGAGGGGAGTCTAAATTGTTTACCTTGGCTTAAAGTTGCCAAAAATTTAGAGGGGAGTGTAAATTGTTTACCTCAGCTCAAAGTTGCATCAAACATTTTGAGGGGAATGTAAATTGTTTTCTTCAACTTCCAGTTGCAACAATAGGATTAAAAGAATAAATGAACAAAAAAAAGTTACGTACCACTGCTAGTATTCGTAGCGCTACTGATAGACTCATGTTCCTGAACGATAAGTGTATATATCACTCTGTGAAGTATGAACTATTGATCCAAACTTACTGGGCTAATTTTAATGAGTCGTTTGCGTCAACACAACAATTTTCATATTCTCTATGCACACTCTCGTTTATGCATTCTATCAGAGGCAATACTAAATGATTCCCCTTCTACCAACTTCCTGCAATGTTCTCTTTTTGTTTAAATTTTAGAATCTGGTATACTATGCTGAGATACTCTATACAGTTGTAGTCTATTGGCAGTAGGAGATCCAAAGGTTATATTGTGCTTCCGGTAGCGACGATGTATCTACTTCTGCAGTCGGATATACAGGGTGAGCCAAAAAACAATACCCAACTTGAAATCATGATAAAAATAGTTACGTTCAATATGGTACATTGGCTTATATATCATTTTAAAGGTCAAATATTTTGAAACAATTTGGTACATTACACTATGTTATAAAATCAGTAGTAAAGGTATATTATACCTATTTTTGAGGCTTTGTTGCTTTTTAAGGTCTCTAGATTTTAGGGAGAAAACAGTAAATCTCTGGAATTATGTAAACTTTTCATTTATAGAATTTCATTTTGTTAGGTGAATACATGCTTGTATATTTGCATCATTGTGTGACTAAACTTATTGTTTATGAATTTCAGTGTTGTTTAATAACATATTACTCTTTATCTATTTTAACAATTGCTCAATATGCCCTCCCCCTCTGCGTCAACAATAAGCTTCAAGCGGTAGCGCCATCTATCAATAGCCTTATTGACAGAATTTTGTTGCAATACATTCCAGTACTTTAAGATTCTGCATTTTAGCTCATCACTACTTTTTATTGGATGCTCGTGATTGTACACCATTTCCTTGAGATGGCTCCATGTATGGTAATCCACCTCATTAGCATCAGGGCTGTTCGGTGGCCAAGCATCTGGATCAGTCAAATTGACACCTTGTTCGTAAAGGAATGTCAATGTCTTCTTTGATCTATTGGACGAAGCACTGTCTTGTTGAAAAGTAAAATCCTCAACACATATACGTTTTATGTCTTTTAACAGACCTCTTTTGAGTACTTGTTGATAATAAACAACACTGAATCTCATAAACAATAAGTTTAGTCACAAATGAAGCAAATATTCAAGCATGAAATTCTATAAATGAAAAGTTTACATAATTCCAGAGATTTACTGTTTTCTCCCTAAAATCTAGAGATCTTAAATAGCAACCCAACCTCCCAATTAAGTATAATATACTTTTACCATTGATTTCATGTCATAGTGTTATATACCAAATTGTTTGAAAATGTATTACCTTTAAAATGATATATAAGTCAATGTACCATATTGAACGTATTTTTATCCTGATTTAAAGTTGGGTACTGTTTTTTGGCCCACCCTGTAAAGTCCATACATATGAAAAACTAAAATTTTGAATATACAGTAGTATATGTAGTGTATCATTTTATCGAAACGGATCGCGTTTGACTTTTTGTTGATATATTCACGACGTTTCCTTATACGTTTTGTGAATTGTGTACGATGTTTGTAGAGATGTAGATCCTTGGTTAAAAGTGGTTATACAATGGGACATACTAGCTATTGTAGGAATGCATACATATCGTCGGCCTATCTTTTTGATTATGAAATTTTGAATTCTTTCTCCACATAATCAATCTAACAGTACCATCAACCTTGGTAAAGATATCTTCTTTTAGTGGATGGACATACTCGTTTCTAAGTTTGATTTTCAAAACAACATACTTTGAAAATCCAAGATGGTGGATGGAAGGGAAGACTGAATCCAGTCCTTATCATTGTTTTACTGCATAATGTATTTTTTTTATTATAATATAATAAAATGATATTTTAAAACCACATTCCAGTTTCTGTTTATTGTTTAAATTCAATTTTTTATCAAAACTTCATTCTTGTTTTCATTATTACACTTTATCATATTTTTATTAGCTCACATGATGAGCTATTGCAATCACTCGTCCGTCTGTCTGTCGGTCTGTCAACAATTGGCCCGTTTCCCGTTTTAAGTTATTTTTGTTCAACATCAATATAGAAAAACTATTTGCTTTAAAACCTCTGTGGATAGGATTCCCGTTTTGAGTTATTTTTGTTCAACATCAATACAGAGCACTCCCCTATGACACCTGGTTCAAAAGCTCGACTATTGCAATCACTCGTCTGTCTGTCTGTCCGTCTGTCTGTCGGTCTGTCAACAATTGGCCCGTTTCCCGTTTTAAGTTATTTTTGTTCAACATCAATATAGAAAAACTATTTGTTTTAAAACCTCTGTGGATAGGATTCCCGTTTTGAGTTATTTTTGTTCAACATCAATACAGAGCACTCCCCTATGACACCTGGTTCAAAAGCTCGCCTATTTTCAAAATGGTCGCCATTTTGTCTCGCGAAATTCACTTTTGGCCCATTTCCTAGCTTTACAAATAATTCCAGGTGTCCTGCGTTGTAGAAAGCTATGTCACTGTAAAGAGAAGTTGTTTGAAATAATTTTGTTATAAAAAAATCGGCAAAAAATTATATTCGTTCTTTTTATTTTCTGCCATTTTAGTCATCATTCACTTTTGAGCAACACCATGTGAGCCCAGTACCCAAGGTACTATTCATTTTATAAATTTCTCTCATTCAGACAATTCTGTTGACCGACGTCAATGGTTGTGTCACTATCCTTGTACATTATTAGGGTTTCGTATACAGTGGCATAGCCAGGAAGAAATAAACGACGAGGCGAAAAATATTCCAAACTACGAGGCAAGTGCCTCTCGTCTGCCTCATCATGGAGCGCTCCAAAAATTATTTCAATTCAATGTAAATTATTCATCAGAAATATATACATTTAAAACACCATTAAAGTAGAGCTTAGTTCGATGATGGCAATTTGATAGAAGAACACGATGATGCTACGTGATGAGATTATGCATAATTGAATTAAAAATTGATAAAGGTTACACAATTTAAACTTATAACTTATCACAAAGGAATAGTTATCAAAGGATGTCCTGGCTACGTTACAGCCATCATGCTTTTATTTGAATTAAAAAAGTTGTATTACGTCTTTTCTGGGTCACTGCGAATGGCATGATTTCCTCGAGTCTCTTCAGTTGCAAGGCAACCATACTGGGACCGATTCGTGTCGTTCCACTACTGCCCTTGGTTGGGGCTCGCTACCATACTGTATGACTTCCGAAGTCTACCAAAGCACGTTAGTGGAGGAACCAACCACAGTCTCACAATCTGTCTCCGACAAGAGAGTCAGAGAACCAACCCAAGCCAAGGGCCAGTATACGGTTGGACCTTCGGATCGGGTGTCCGTAGTGACAATAATCAACAACTCCGTACCTGGGGCTCGAACGCGGGACCTCCGTATCCCCGGTACATTCGACTACAGTCTAACCCACCCGGCCAAACTGCTCAGGTGTATAAACTGCTCGAAATGTAATATTTGTTTTACTATTTTGCTTGAATGAACACGAACGTGTCTATAATAATCTTGTTTTCTAAACCATTTGTTTGGAATTACTAATTACAAACAACGACAATCGATGCGTACAAATTTGCAATTGGCTACTTACGCGTAATTGCGCCTTCTGAGATGTCATATGCAACAGAAGAACAAGAGCGAATTCGATTATTATAACATTTTACTTTTGAATCAATCAATTTTCAGTGTTCATAAGCAGGTTTTATTTCAGTCGGAGATTTGTACTTTAAGAACTCAGAAAAAAGTTGAATCTAATTGTATATACCAGTCACCACGACGCGACATTCTTTAGAATAATCGTGTACATCGCAGTGATCGAAATATTTTCATGGATCATCCAATATTTTGGATCAATGTTTGTCACATGTATTTGCTTTTGAGATATCAATCCGCCCTCTTCACTGACTTGATCGATACTAAACTATAGTCTGGACAATAAATAAAATGTGTAGTCGATTTTCCACCACCGCTTCCGAACCACGGTGGTTTGTAAGCCCATAGTTCCCAATATTGTCTATATATTAGGGAATTTAAGCTTGCACATAAAATCGAAACGCCAACGTACCAATCGCCCGTACAAATTCATAGCTTAAATATTTTCTGTTCACGTTTAGGTTGCGAAAAACATTGCACGCTTAAACTCCCTAATATCTACGTATCTCCTAAAAAGTATATTTTACATTTCAGCAAATCCACTACTCATTTATTTATTACTCAGACTGTAATTACAAAATTATAAAATGCAATCACTTCTAGATTATTGGCCCTTTTTGATGAATTGTATTTGTAAAAATATTCATTTTATTATTAGACTCGTACGTTCGAGGACATTGTTGCACTGGTTGTTTTCGGCCCAACAACAAGCCAAAAATCGGACAACAATGTTGCCGAGTAGTTCGCCCGATTTCTATTCATTCATGATCATTTACTTTTAATTGAAAATTGTTTGAATTGAGTCATTTTAAACACAAAAAATAAATTTGAGGAATAGCTTTTCTTAAAATATGGTAAAACCATCATATAATAAGATGAACTAAAATTAAAAAGAAAGCGACATTTTCTGGATGAATCCACTGTCCCACGCAAGTAGCTCACATCTTCCAGGTATAAATTCTAAAGCAGTAAGGTAACTTTTTTTAGAACGACCTGGATAGCTGAGTTCATTGGAAGAGAGTGATATTAGACGATTCCTTGTCGTGTCAAAGTAGTGGGTAAAATATGATGGCGATCTATACGTGTCCAGAATATAAAGTATTCCATTTGCCATGAATGCATTTCCAGCTCTCCTCTTCTTTACATCGAGCTGCCATGTTTCAACAATGACCAATGTATCAATGTCCAAAAGTGCAATTGCAAAATTTCCTTCATTTTGTATAGAACCATATATGGCATAAAGTCGATTTCCATTATCCAAAGCAAGATCAATGTCCGAGTATCCTCCCCAATCGTAAGGATATGTATTCTGGAAACCAGCGTCTTTCAAAGCCACTTCACCAACGTTTTCTTTAGTACTAATCTGAATTTTCACCACTCTATTTGAGCTTGCCAAGTTGCAATAGAAATAGCCTGCGTATATGACATGTCCAGTTCCGTCACACGATTGTCCTGAAATAAAAATACATTTTTGTAGGCTTCATGAGTTTTTAAATTCACCATAACACATATTGTATATTAAAGCAAACATCATATTCATCCCAATATCAAAGTTGATACATACTAAGAGTTATATTCTCTATAGGATTGCTCAAAATTGACATCTCGTTTGTGTACCGCTCAAGAGTATTGGCCTTGTCGTATCCTTTCATAATCCACACTGTTGAATCTATGGGGTCCACAAACCACCAACCAAATGTTCCCAGCCCAGAGCTCAAATCCATTGAATTACCAATGCCCAGACTAATGCTCGATATCATCTCAGTAGAACTACCTAATAAGCAAAACAACAATCTTTTTACAATAGTTGAACCAAGACTTAAGATAGCGTATCATACACTGTACACGGAAAATAACAAACTGCAAAAACACCACGGAAATCAAAGAATTTTCATAAAATGGAACGTGTGCGTAACCATGACAAAAATAGTTGATAGACATACCACAAGACAGTGTTGGTAAATCACTCGTGGTCCTTGGTGTTGGTTTAGTTGTCACCTCAGTGTAATCAAAGGTTATTGGCACTTTCTGGAGAAATCCATGGTTCCACACTAACAACTCACAACTTCCAGGAACATATTCCAAAGAGGAAATATATCCATATTCAGGTCCTGGGTATCTGAGTTCGGCAAAGGATAGTGATGTAAGAGTACTTGTTCCCGTGTCATAGCGATAGCTAAAACTATATGGATTATTATACGAGTCCAGAATATATAGCATTCTGTTTGCCATGAATGCATTTCCACTTCCCTGTTTCTTTACATTGAGCTGCCATGTTTTAACAATGACGAATGTATCGATGTCTAAAAGTGCAATTGCAAAGTTTCCATCATTTTGTTTTGAACCATATATGGCGTAAAGTTGATTTCCATTGTCCAAAGCAAGATCAATGTCCGAGTATCCTCCCCAACCGTAAGAGTATGTATTACGATACCCGGCATCTATCAGGCCAACACTTCCAACTATTGTTCGAGAGCTAATCTTTACTTTGACGACATGATTTGTATTTGCCAAGTTGCAGTAGAAATAGCCGGAATATATGGCATGTCCTGTTCCATCACATACCTCTCCACCTAAAATATTTTTTCGCAAGGTACAATACGTAGTTTTCATACAGTTCGCAAATTACATATACATATACATATTGTAGCACAAGTTCAGTACCCTTTACATTCGTTCGACTTCGAATGTAACTAGACTCTGCGCTCAGAGTACCTTTATTGAATAGTGAAGGAAAGGGCAAGATAATTCATTTAGAAATTGAAGTAAAGGAACCGACTTATTTCCTTTAATAATGTATCATCAGTCACCGGAACAACTATCTCTGAACTTAAAATCTCTGAGCTTTAACCGATCCCGTCTAGGCTTTATTTACATTATTAAGAAATACCACGGGCCCATGGAAATACCTAAATCAATTTTTTCTATGGGGCTCCCTGAAAGGGACGCCTCATTGGAATACTTCTCTATCACAGTGTTCCTCTTGTAGCTGCGCACAAGCCAAACTGTTGAATCAATGGGATCCTTAAACCACCAACCAATCTTGCCATATCCAGATGCAACATCAATCGCATTGCCTACGTACGATATCTCCCCTTTGTGTTCTCCTAAGAAAAAATATACTTCCATTCTTATATGAAACTAGCTAAGATGTGGCGCCCACTCGCACAAAATGATGTCAACAAAGCACTCTTTTAAGTGCGATAAAATATTTTGACACATCACAATGCATTTTTGATCTTGTTTTCGATCGATAAACTTAGATGAGCATCACTTGATTAAGTCACGAAGAGAATGGTTTTCGCATTGTGGAATCGCACTGTGGAATCCATGAACTGTACTATTACTGGAGTAATACCAACTCAACCATCGGATAAACGAATCTAATAAATCAAAATTATTTTATGTAAATCCACTACTTACTAAAGTGTAAAGTAGATGCTTTTCCCGAACTGTTGAACCTAATTGGCACCTTCTGTAGAAGCCCGTTGTCCCAAACATATAGCAAGCCTGTCCCTGGCATATAAGCAAGTTGAGTAAGATAACCATTGCTTGGTCCGTTATATGGAATATCAGTCACTCTCAGAGTTGTGCTTGCATTGGTATTTGTATCAAAGTAAGATATATAAGTTGGTTTGCTGTAGCTGTTTAACACATAAAGCACTCCTTTTACTATGAAGGCATTCCCAACCTTATTCTTATTAATTGACGTATACCATGTTTGTAGGATACTAAGAGAGTCCATATCAAGTTTACCCACTGCCATAATTCCAGCTCTACTCGAAGATCCGTATATGACATACATGACATCGTTGTCATCAAGGGCGAAATCAATGTTAGATAAACCGCCCCAGTCGTATGCATAGTCATCTTCGGAACTGGCATCTTGGAGGACTGTCTCTTGGACAATGGTTGCAGTGTTTATGTCGATCTTCACTATTTTATTTGTACTAGCTCGGTTGCAATATAAATGACCTTTGTAGATCGCGTGTCCAGTTCCGCCACATGTAACTCCTTTTATTAAAAATAAGTACACCATTTATATAAGGACAATATAAAAGGACCAGGTATAGTATTGCAAACAATTTTGGACGTTGATTTTACCTGCAATATTTTTTGTTGAACGCGTTGGATTCCTTTTCTTCAGTTCTGTTTCGTTTGCATATTCTTTCAATGTTGATCTATTCTTCCAGCCATAGCCACGAATCACCCAAACGTTTGATCCTTGTGTGCTCGGATCTATTGACCACCAGCCATGCGTACCCAGACCTGTCACATTTATTGCATTTCCAAAGTCGACGTCACATGTTGAACACATTTGGGTCTTTGTGAATCCTGTGATAAAAATTGATTTTAAAACATGACGAAAGCAATTTTCAATGATTAGTAATACCATGGACACCAAATTAGATATTACCTGACCTTAAATTTCTATCTATAATTGGATTCTGAAAATTTCCGAGACTCCGTTGAACGAGTCGAGGATGGTGCTCCTACATTCTGATACGCATCAATATGTTACGTCGTCTTATTCCAAAAGCAAAAAAACATATATACAATGTATAGTACGTGTATATGGAATGGTACTTTTAAAGATGAACCGATATACTAACTGCATTTTGGAATAGTTCCAATCAGTGGACGAGATGTTTGTTCCAATGTCTGTTTAGAAGAGACTGGGGTATCGGTGAACAATGCCTGGCCTCCTTCTTGGACGGGGCATGTCGGACATTGTTCTTGATTCGAATTCAGACGGGGCTGTGTCGGACATGGCTGTTCCGCATTTGTTTTCGACGATGATACAGTATGATCATTAATCCATTCCCTAAGATTATTGCATAAACGTTTATTATTGGCTAGGAAGCTCATCTTGTCTGCTTTCGACTTTTGTTTCTTCATATTTTTGAGGATCAAATGAAGTTCTTTCAAGATATCTCGCCGAAATATCCGAATGGCAGTTGCTTGTACTGAGCCTTGAGGTGATGTACTTGCAAATTGGGACGATTTTGTCTAAAATAAAGTGGACTGTTGAAATAGTATTATGGAATGAATTTTTTTTTGATCAGTTAAAAAGAAATAATGCTGCAACCTGAACGTTTAGAAAGTTCGAATGAAAGAAAGCATGAATCATCGTGAGTCAAACTTGAACATCGTTAATTTATCACTTAGTCAAAGAATAAAAAAAATAATTGTGCATTTATGATAAAAATAAAACTCTTATATCATGCTCTCACCAGCATATACAAGACCATCGACTTTGCCACGCCTGACCACTTTTTTACTGTTTTCCAGGATGATTCATTTTCAAATGTCTCCGTGACTCTTTCTAAGTCTAGTTTCAGTTCGATTGCTATTCTAGCCAACTCTACCAGCCTAGGATGGATTTTGTTGTCCGTTTTCTGTCCAACAGCATATTTATCTTTAACATGAAAACCATGCAAACAAATCTATTAATTTTACCTTTTATACAAAGAAGATGTGTTTGTGGCTGGGCATTTGCATTATCAGCCACGTTATATGATGAAAATATAAAACAGAATAAGGTAATATTAACATAGGGGATGTATTTGTGGAGAGTAATAGTTGTGGTAATGACCTCGACATTTTCACATGCAAACATATAGAACATACACTCATTCACAGTATCGTTAGTCATGGACGGATAAATGAAATAAAGACGAGCACACGCGTCTCGAACTCGCAACCTCGTGGTTACGGCGCCCAATCGCCTAGCCTGAACGTGCTGGCGCTTATATATTCCTATACATACACACGTTGCTCAACTGTCCTTAACATGGTCCATTTTACGATAGCGGTTCCGTAATACATGTTTATTCTCACATAGTTATTAATATATAGTCAAAAGGATACTCACCATGCAGAAATGCAACGAAAGCAACCTACAAAAAATGAACTTTAACATTATGTTGCTCGTGTTATGATTTTTAAACCAATCGTAATTATATTATATAGAGCAATGCTTGAATCTTTGTTTCATTCCTCAAGTTAGACAAAAGGGGAGTGTAAATTGTTTACTTCAGCTCAAAGTTGCATCAGACATTTGGAGGGGAGTGTAAATCGTAACCTCAGCTCAAAGTTGCATCAAACATTTGGAGGGGAGTGTTAATTGTTTACTTCAGCTCAAAGTTGCATCAAACATTTGTTTACTTCAGCTCAAAGTTGCATCACACATTTGGAGGGGAGCGTTAATTGTTTACTTCAGCTCAAAGTTGCATCAAACATTTGGAGGGGAGTGTAAATTGTTTACTTTTAGCTAAAAGTTGCATCAAACATTTCAAGATAAGTGTTAATTGTTTACCTCAGCACAAAGTTGCATCAAACACTTATAGGGGTGTTTAAATTGTTTACTTCAGCTCAACATTGCATCAAACATTTGTAGGGGAGTGTAAATTGTTTACACCTCAGTTCAAAGTTGCATTAAACATTTACAGCGGAGTGTAAATTGTTTACCTCAATTCAAAGTTGCATCAAACATTTGGAGGAGAGTGTAAATTGTTTACCTCAGTTCAAAGTTGCATTGAACATTTGGAGGGGAGTGTAAATTATTTACCTCAGTCCAAAGTTGCATCAAACATTTGGAGGGGAGTGTAGATTGTTAACATCAGCTAAAAGTTGCATCAAACATTTGGTGGGCAGTGTAAATTGTTTACCTCAGCTCAAAGTTGCATCAAACTTTTAGAGCGGAGTGTCAATTGTTACCTCAGTTAAAAGTTGCATCAAACATTTGGAGGGGAGTGTAAATTGTTAACCTCAGCTCAAAGTTGCATCAAACATTTGAAGGGGAGTGTTAATTGTTTACTTCAGCTCAAAGTTGCATCAAACATTTGTTTACTTCAGTTCAAAGTTGCATCAAACATTTGGAGGGGAGTGTAAATTGCTTACTTTTAGCTAAAAGTTGCATCAAACATTTCAAGATAAGTGTTAATTGTTTACCTCAGCACAAAGATGCATCAAACACTTATATGGGTGTTTAAATTGTTTACTTCAGCTCAATATTGCATCAAACAGTTGTAGGGGAGTGTAAATTGTTTACACATCAGTTCAAAGTTGCATCAAGCATTTAGAGCGGAGTGTAAATTGTTTACCTCAATTCAAAGTTGCATCAAACATTTGGAGGAGAGTGTAAATTGTTTACCTCAGTTCAAAGTTGCATTGAACATTTGGAGGGGAGTGTAAATTATTTATCTCAGTCCAAAGTTGCATCAAACATTTGGAGGGGAGTGTAGATTGTTAACTTCAGCTAAAAGTTGCATTGAACATTTGGAGGAGAGTGTAAATTGTTTACCTCAGCTCAAAGTTGCATCAAACTGTTAGAGCGGAGTGTAAATTGTTACCTCAGTTAAAAGTTGCATCAAACATTTGGAGGGGAGTGTAGATTGTTTACTTCAGCTAAAAGTTGCATCAAACATTTGGAGGGGAGTGTAAATTGTTTACCTCAGCTCAAAGTTGCATCAAACTTTTAGAGCGGAGTGTAAATTGTTACCTCAGTTAAAAGTTGCATCAAACATTTGGAGGGGAGTGTAGATTGTTCACTTCAGCTAAAAGTTGCATCAAACATTTGGAGGGGAGTGTAAATTGTTTACCTCCGCTCAAAGTTTCTTCAACCATTTAGAGCGGAGTGTAAATTGTTTACCTCAGTCCAAAGTTGCATCAAACATTTTGAGGGGAGTGTAGATTGTTTACTTCAGCTAAAAGTTTCATCAGACATTTATAGCGGAGTGTAAATTGTTTACCTCAGTCCAACGTTGCATCAAACATTTGGAGGGGAGTGTAGATTGTTTACTTCAGCTAAAAGTTTCATCAAACATTTGGAGCGGAGTGTAAATTGTTTACCTCAGTTCAAAGTTGAATCAAACTTTAGAGCGGAGTGTAAATTGTTAACCTCAGTTCAAAGTTGCATCAAACATTAGAGCGGAGTGTAAATTGTTTACCTCAGTTCAAAGTTGCATCAAACATTTGGAGGGGAGTCTAAATTGTTTACCTTGGCTTAAAGTTGCCAAAAAATTAGAGGGGAGTGTAAATTGTTTACCTCAGCTCAAAGTTTCATCAAACATTTTGAGGGGAATGTAAATTGTTTTCTTCAACTCCCAGTTGCAACAATAGGATTAAAAGAATAAATGAACAAAAAAAAGTTACGTACCACTGCTAGTATTCGTAGGGCTACTGATAGACACATGCTCCTGAACGATAAGTGTATATATCACTCTGTGAAGTATGAACTATTGATCCAAACTAACTGGGCTAATTTTAATGAGTCGTTTGCGTCAACACAACAATTTTCATATTCTCTATGCACACTCTCGTTTATGCATTCTATCAGTGGCAATACTAAATGATTCCCCTTCTACAAACTTCCTGCAATGTTCTCTTTTTGTTTAAATTTTAGTATCTGGTATACTATGCTGATATACTCTATACAGTTGTAGTCTATTGACAGTAGGAGATCCAAAGGTTATATTGTGCTTCCGGTAGCGACGATGTATCTACTTCTGCAGTCGGATATACAGGGTGGGCCAAAAAAACAATACCCAACTTGAAATCATGATAAAAATAGTTACGTTCAATGTGGTACATTGGCTTATATATTATTTTAAAGGTCAAATATTTTGAAACAATTTGGTATATTACACTATGTTATAAAATCAGTAGTAAAGGTATAATTTACCTATTTTGGAGGCTTTGTTGCTTTTTAAGGTCTCTAGATTTTAGGGAGAAAACAGTAAATCTCTGGAATTATGTAAACTTTTCATTTATAGAATTTCATTTTGTTAGGTGAATACATGCTTGTATATTTGCATCATTTTGTGACTAAACTTATTGTTTATGAATTTCAGTGTTGTTTAATAACATTTTACACTTTATCTATTTTAACAATTGCTCAATATGCCCTCCCCCTCTGCGTCAACAATAAGCTTCAAGCGGTAGCGCCATCTATCAATAGCCTTATTGACAGATTTCTGTTGCAATACATTCCAGTGCTTTAGGATTCTGCGTTTCAGCTCATCACTACTTTTTATTGGATGCTCGTGATTGTACACCATTTCCTTGAGATGGCTCCATGTATGGTAATCCACCTCATTAGCATCAGGGCTGTTCGGTGGCCAAGCATCTGGATCAGTCAAATTGACACCTTGTTCGTAAAGGAATGTCAATGTCTTCTTTGATCTATTGGACGAAGCACTGTCTTGTTGAAAAGTAAAATTCTCAACACATATACGTTTTATGTCTTTTAACAGACCTCTTTTGAGTACTTGTTGATAATAAACAACACTGAATCTCATTAAACAATAAGTTTAGTCACAAATGATGCAAATATACATAAGGGTTATGTACCGTACATAACTGGTGTATCTCATACTTGGGTGCGGGGTAGATATAACCGTTACCACCTTTTTCAAATGACAAGATAGGCCTATACTGTAAAAGCACAATTCATATCTAACATTTTCATAATATTCCTTCAGTTCAATACAATAGAATTGTAACATTTAAACTTTTTGAAAAAAATTTTCTTCTGAAATTAAAATTTTAAAACTTTTTTCAACTTTTGAAAAAATTCCCGGGAGCGGGATGGATACAGTATATTATATCTGCCCGCATTTTGCCTAGAGCGGGACATATAAAATATATCCTGCCCGCTCCTCAGATATGATATATATTCCCGGGTGATATCTACCCCAAACCCACTCAAGTATGAAATACAAACATGTATTCACCTAACAAAATGATATTCTATGAATAAAAAGTTTACATAATTTCAAAGATTTACTGTTTTCTCCCTAAAATCTAGAGACCTTAAATAGCAACCCAACCTCCCAATTAAGTATAATATACTTTTATCATTGATTTCATGTCATAGTGTTAAATACCAAATTGTTTCAAAATGTATTACCTTTAAAATGATATATAAGTCAATGTACCATATTGATCGTATTTTTATCCTGATTTAAAGTTGGGTACTTTTTTGGCCCACCCTGTAAAGTCCATACATATGAAAAACTAAAATTTTGAATATACAGTAGTATATGTAGTGTATCATTTTATCAAAACGGATCGCGTTTGACTTTTTGTTGATATATTCACGACGTTTCCTTATACTTTTGTGAATTGTGTACGATGTTTGTAGAGATGTAGATCCTTGGTTAAAAGTGGTTATACAATTGGACATACTAGCTATTGTAGGAATGCATACATATCGTCGGCCTAATAATGCATAATGCATAATGTATTTTTTTTATTATTATAATATAATAAAATGATATTTTAAAACCACATTCCAGTTTCTGTTTATTGTTTAAAATCAATTTTTTATCAAAACTTCATTCTTGTTTACATTATTACACTTTATCATATTTTTATTAGCTCACATGGTGAGCTATTGCAATCACTCGTCCGTCTGTCTGTCTGTCCGTCTGTCTGTCGGTCTGTCAACAATTGGCCCGTTTCCCGTTTTAAGTTATTTTTGTTCAACATCAATATAGAAAAACTATTTGCTTTAAAACCTCTGTGGATAGGATTCCCGTTTTGAGTTATTTTTGTTCAACATCAATACAGAGCACTCCCCTATGACACCTGGTTCAAAAGCTCGCCTATTTTCAAAATGGTCGCCATTTTGTCTCGCGAAATTCACTTTTGGCCCATTTCCTAGCTTTACAAATAATTCCAAGTGTCCTGCATTGTAGAAAGCCATGTCACTGTGAAGAGAAGTTGTTTGAAATAATTTTGTTATAAAAAAATCGGCAAAAAATTATATTCATTCTTTTTATTTTCTGCCATTTTAGCCATCATTCACTTTTGAGCAACACCTTGTGAGCCCAGTACCCACGGTACTATTTATTTTATTAATTTCTCTCATTCAGACAATTCTGTTGACCGACGTCAATGGTTGTGTCACTATCCTTGTACATTATTAGGGTTCGTATACAGTGGCATAGCCAGGAAGAAATAAACGACGAGGCGAAAAATATTCCAAACTACGAGGCAAGTGCCTCTCGTCTGCCTCATCATGGAGCGCTCCAAAAATTATTTCAATTCAATGTAAATTATTCATCAGAAATATATACATTTAAAACACCATTAAAGTAGAGCTTAGTTCGATGATGGCAATTTGATAGAAGAACACGATGATGCTACGCGATGAGATTATGCATAATTGAATTAAAAATTGATAAAGGTTATACAATTTAAACTTATAATTTATCACAGAGGAATAGTTATCAAAGGATGTCCTGGCTACGTTACAGCCATCATGCTTTTATTTGAATTAAAAAAGATGTATAAAGTCTTTTCTGGGTCACTGCGAATGGCATGATTTCCTCGAGTCTCTTCAGTTGCAAGTCAACCATACTGGGACCGATTCATGTCGTTCCACTACTGCCCTTGGTGGGGGCTCGCTACCATACTGTATGACTTCCGAAGTCTACCAAAGCACGTTAGTGGAGGAACCAACCACAGTCTCACAATCTGTCCCCGACAAGAGCGTCAGAGAACCAACCCAAGCCAAGGGCCAGTATACGGTTGGACCTTCGGACCGGGTGTCCGTAGTGACAATGATCAACAACTCTGTTCCCGGAGGCTCGAACGCGGGACCTCCGTATCCCCGGTACATTCGACTACAGTCTAATCCACCCGGCCAAACTGCTCAGGTGTATAAACTGCTCGAAATGTAATATTTGTTTTACTATTTTGCTTGAATGAGCACGAACGTGCCTATAATAATCTTGTTTTCTAAATCATTTGTTTGGAATTACTAATTACAAACAACGACAATCAATGCGTACAAACTTGCAATTGGCTACTTACGCGTAATTGCGCCTTCTGAGATGTCATATGCAACAGAAGAACAAGAGCGAATTCGATTATTATAACATTTTACTTTTGAATCAATCAATTTTCAGTGCTCATAAGCAGGTTTTATTTCAGTCATTTGTACTTTAAGAACTCAGAAAAAAAGTTGAGTCTAATTGTATATACCAGTCACCACAACGCGACATTCTTTAGAATAATCGTGTACATCGCAGTGATCCAAATATTTTCATGGATCATCCAATATTTTGGATCAATGTCTATCACATGTATTTACTGTTGAGATATTAATCCGCTCTCTTCACTGACTTGATTGATAATAAACTATAGTCTGGACCATAAATAAAATGTGTGGTCGATTTTCCATCACCGCTTCCAAACCACGGTGGTTTGAAAGCCCATTGTTCCCAATATTGTCTATATATTAAGAGTTTAAGCTTGCACACATAAAATCCAAACGCCAAAGTATGACCAATCGCCCGTAGAGATTCATCGCTTAAATATTTTTCGTTTAGGTTGTGAAAAACATTGCACGCTAGTATCTACGTATCTCCTAAAAGTATATTTTACATTTCAGCAAATCCACCACTCATTTATTTATTACTCAGACTGTAATAACAAAATTATAAAATGCAATCACTTCTACAAGTACAATAGATTATGGGCCCTTTTTGATGAAATTTATTTGTAAAAATATACATTATTATATTATTAGACTCGTACGTTCAGGGCCCAACAAGTCAATAATCGGACAATAATGTTGCCGAGTAGGTCGCCCGATTTCTATTCATTCATGATCGTTAACTTTGAATTGTAAATTGTTTGAATTGAGTCATTTTAAACACCAAAACATATATTTGAGGAATAGCTTTTCTTTAAATATGGTAAAACCATCATATAATAGGAAGAACTGACATTAAAAAGAAAGTGACATTTTCTGGATGAACCCACAGTCCCACGCAAGTAGCTCACATCTTCCAGGTATAAATTCTAAAGCGGAAAGGTAACCTTTTTTAGAACGACCTGGATATCTGAGTTCATTGGAAGAGAGTGATATTAGACGATTCCTTGTCGTGTCAAAGTAGTGGGTAAAATATGATGGCCATCTAGACGAGTCCAGAATATAAAGTATTCCATTTGCCATGAATGCATTTCCAGCTCTCTTCTTCTTTACATCGAGCTGCCATGTTTCAACAATGACCAATGTATCAATGTCCAAAAGAGCAATTGCAAAATTTCCACCATTCTGTTTAGAACCATATATGGCATAAAGTCTATTTCCATTGTCCAAAGCAAGATCAATGTCCGAGTATCCTCCCCAACTGTAAGGATATGTATTATGGAAACCAGCGTCTTTCAAAGTCACTTCACCAACGTTTTCTTTAGTACTAATCTGAATTTTAACCACTCTATTTGAGTTTTCCAAGTTGCAATAGAAATAGCCTGCGTATATGACATGTCCAGTTCCGTCACACGATTGTCCTGAAATAAAAATACATTTTTGTAGGCTTCGTGAGTTTTTAAATTCACCATAACATATATTGTACATTAAAGCAAACTCCTAATATCAAAGTTGATACATACTAAGAGTTATATTCTCTATTGGATTGCTCAAAATTGACATCTCGTTTGTGTACCGGTCAAGAGTATTGACCTTGTCGAAGCCTTTCATAACCCACGCTGTTGAATCTATGGGGTCCACAAACCACCAACCATGTGTTCCTAGCCCAGGTCTCAAATCCACTGCATTACCAATGCCCAGACTAATGCTCGATATTATTGCAGTAGAACTACCTAATAAGCAAAACAACTATCATTGGCATGATTAAAGTGGCAGAAAAAGGTGCCGAATGTAAATATAATGTTTGGAACCCGGGTTTGGAAGCGAAAAAATCAATCTGCTTTTTACAATAATTGAACCAAGACTTAAGATAGCTTATTATACACTGTCCATGGAAATGCAAATCCGCCACAGAAATCAAAGAATTTCCATGAAATGGAACGTGAGCGTAACCATGACAAGAATAGTTGATAGACATACCACAAGACAGTGTTGGTAAATCACTCGTGGTCCTTGGTGTTGGTTTAGTTGTCACCTCGGTGTAATCAAAGGTTATTGGCACTTTCTGGAGAAATCCATGGTTCCATACTAACAACTCACAACTTCCAGGAACATATTCCAAAGAGGTAAGATATTCATATTCAGGTCCTGGGTATCTGAGTCCGGCAAAGGATAGTGATGTAAGAGTACTTGTTGCCGTGTCATAGCGATAGCTAAAACTAAATGGATTATTATACGAGTCCAGAATATATAGCATTCCATTTGCCATGAATGCATTTCCACTTCCCTGTTTCTTTACATTGAGCTGCCATGTTTTAACAATGACGAATGTATCGATGTCCAAAAGTGCAATTGCAAAGTGTCCATCATTTTGTTTTGAACCATATATGGCGTAAAGTTGATTTCCATTGTCCAAAGCAAGATCAATGTCCGAGTATCCTCCCCAACCGTAAGAGTATGTATTACGATACCCGGCGTCTATCAGGCCAACACTTCCAACTATTGTTCGAGAGCTAATCTTTATTTTGACGACATGATTTGTATTTGCCAAGTTGCAGTAGAAATAGCCGGAATATATGGCATGTCCTGTTCCATCACATACCTCTCCAGCTAAAATATTTTTTCGCAAGGTACAATACGTAGTTTTCTTACAGTTCGCATTACATATACATATACATGTTGTAGCACAAGTTCAGTACCCTTTACATTCGTTCGACTTCGAATGTAACTAGACTCTGCGCTCAGAGTACCTTTATTGAATAGTGAAGGCAAGGGCAAGATAATTCATTTAGAAATTTAAGTAAAGGAACTGACTTATTTCCTTTAATGAAATGTATCATCAGTCACCGGAACAACTATCTCTGAACTTAAAGTCTCTGAGCTTAACCGATCCTGTCTAGGCTTTATTTACATTATTAAGAAATACCATGGGCCCATGGAAATACCTAAATCAATTTTTTCTATGGGGCTCCCTGAAAGGGACGCCTCATTGGAATACTTCTCTATCACAGTGTTCCTCTTGTAGCTGCGCACAAGCCAAACTGTTGAATCAACGGGATCTTTAAACCACCAACCAATGTTGCCATATCCAGATGCAACATCAATCGCATTGCCTATGTACGATATCGCCCCTCTGTGTTCTCCTAGGAAAAAATATACTTCCATTCTTATCTGAAACTAGCTAAGTTGTGGCACCCACTCGCACAAAATAATGACAATGAAGCACTTTTAAGTGTGGTAAAATAATTTGACACATCACAATGCATTCTTGATCTTGTTTTCGAGTAATACCAAATCAACCATTGGATAAACAAATCTGATAAATCAAAATTATTTTATGTAATTCCACTACTTACCAAACTGTAAAGTAGATGCTTTTCCCGAACTGTTGAACCTAATTGGCACCTTCTGTAGAAGCCCGTTGTCCCAAACATATAGCAAGCCTGTCCCTGGCATATAAGCAAGTTGAGTAAGATAACCATTGCTTGGTCCGTTATATGGAATATCAGTCACTCTCAGAGTTGTGTTTGCATTGGTATTTGTATCAAAGTAAGATATATAAGTTGGTTTGCTGTGGCTGTTTAACACATAAAGCACTCCTTTTACTATGAATGCATTCCCAACCTTATTCTTACTAATTGACGTATACCATGTTTGTAGGATACTAAGAGAGTCCATATCAAGTTTGCTCACTGCCATAATTCCAGCTCTACTAAAACATCCGTATATGACATACATAACATCGTTGTCATCAAGGGCGAAATCAATGTTAGATAAACCACCCCAGTCGTATGTATATTCATCTTGGGAACCGGCATCTTGGATGACTCTCTCTTGGACAATGGTTTCAGTGTTTATGTCGATCTTCACTACTTTGTTTGTATTAGCTCGGTTACAATATAAATGACCTTTGTAGATTGCGTGTCCAGTTCCGCCACATGTGACTCCTTTTATTAAAAATAAGTACACCATTTATATAAGGACAATATAAAAGGACCAGGTAGTATTGCTATTTCGGACATTGATTTTACCTGCGATATTTTTTATTGAACGCGTTGGATTCCTTTTCTTCAGTTCTGTTTCGTTTGCATATTCTTTCAATGTTGATCTATTCTTCCAGCCATAGCCACGAATCAGCCAAACGTTTGATCCCTGTGTACCCGGATCTATTGACCACCAGCCATGCGTACCCAGACCTGTCACATTTATTGCATTTCCAAAGTCGACGTCACATGTTGAACAAATTTGCGTCTTTGTGAATCCTGTGATAAAAATTGATTTCAAAACATGACGAAAGCAATTCTCAATGATCCGGAATACCATAGACACCAGGTCGATGGCTGATAGCACTTTGTCCGTTTATATCTTCTTATTTAAAGTCAGAATCAAATCTAGGGCCCGGATGGAGGGGATGACGAAATTTCAAGCAATATGTACACTTAAACTGTAAATATATTCCTTACGATCTTAAATACAAAGCAGAATAATTAATTTCTCCCAATCGTATCTATAGGGAAATATGGAACGAAATGAGTCAAAAATTAGATATTACATGACCTTGACGTTTTATCTATAATTGGATTCTGAAAGAATGGGTATCGATATGGCGAACTTTTTGAACACACATTTCTCTTAAACCAGTCATCAAAAATTTCTGAAAATCTTATTAATTGTCAATTTAATGGCCATCTTTTGAATGGTAACACTATAATTTGAAATAGATATACATACTTTCATCTATATTGTTTTAAAAAACACATCAAACACTTGTTTTGCTCTTGGTCTCATGTTTCCAGAGTGAAATGAAACATCTTTCCGAACCTCATTGGAACAAAACGACATAAACACAACATGTTTAGGTCTCTCAATATTGTAATTGTACAAAGGAAATTTTGGTTGATTTTAAAAAAGTATCTTGTTAATGAAATAAAGGGTTTTTCTTGATTTTTCTCTATTTTGGGAGGATTTTGTTTAATTTTTTGAATACTTTTTTTAAATCAACCAAAAATTCCTTTGAATAACTTTAATATTGAGAGGTCTAAAAACATGTTGTATATGCTATTTTGTTCCAACAAGGTTCGGAAATACATTTTATTTTATTCTCAAGAATTGGTAGAAAGGAGCAAAAACAATTGCACTAAAAAACAAAAAATGTTAACGAAAACAGTTATATAAAATATTTCTAAATAATTTTCGCATAAAATTGTTGTCAATCAGTCAACATTACATAAAATACCATGTTTTTTTACAGAATGTTTTCAATGATTGGTTTAAGAGAAAAACATTGTTGAATTCAGTTCTCCATATCGAAACCTATCCTTTCTGAGACTCCGTTGAACGAGTCGAGGATGGTGCTCCTACATTCTGATACGCATCAATATGTTACGTCGTCTTATTCCAAAAGCAAAAAAACATATATACAATGTATAGTACATGTATATGGAATGGTACTTTTAAAGATGAACCGATATACTAACTGCATTTTGGAATAGTTCCAATCAGTGGACGAGATGTTTGTTCCAATGTCTGTTTAGAAGAGACTGGGGTATCGGTGAACAATACCTGGCCTCCTTCTTGGACGGGGCATGTCGGACATTGTTCTTGATTCGAATTCAGACGGGGCTGTGTCGGACATGGCTGTTCCGCATTTGTTTTCGACGATGATACAGTATGATCATTAATCCATTCCCTAAGATTATTGCATAAACGTTTATTATTGGCTAGGAAGCTCATCTTGTCTGCTTTCGACTTTTGTTTCTTCATATTTTTGAGGATCAAATGAAGTTCTTTCAAGATATCTCGCCTAAATATTCGAATGGCAGTTGCTTGTACTGAGCCTTGAGGTGATGTACTTGCAAATTGGGACGATTTTGTCTAAAATAAAGTGGACTGTTGAAATAGTATTATGGAATGAATTATTTTTGATCAGTTAAAAAGAAATAATGCTGCAACCTGAACGGTTAGAACGTTCGAACGAAAGAAAGCATGAATCATCATGAGTCAAACTTAAAAATCGATAATCTATCACTTAGTCAAAGAATAAAAAATAATAATTGTGCGTTTATGATAAAAATTAAACTCTTATATCATGCTCTCACCAGCATATACAAGACCATCGACTTTGCCACGCCTGACCACTTTTTTACTGTTTTCCAGGATGATTTATTTTCAAATGTCTCCGTGACTCTTTCTAAGTCTAGTTTCAGTTCGACTGCTATTCTAGCCAACTCTACCAGCCTTGGATGGATTTCGTTGTCCGTTTTCTGTCCAACAGCATATTTATCTTTACCATGCAAACAAATCAATTTATTCTACCTTTTTATACAAAGAAGATGTGTTAGTGGCAGGGCATTTGCATTATCAGCCACGTTATATGATGGAAATATAAAACAGAATAATCAAATATGAACATAGACACACCGGAATAGCCTGATTACGGTAAAGTCAGATACCGTTGTCACAAATGGCGGACATAACCGTCGCTTCAACTGTTTAATCACTTGGTCCTCATTTCATGGGATTTTATCGTTGCTAATTCTGTGCATGCATTAACCTCTTGTGATAATGTATCACATGAAATCCCATTTTCCATCAAATTGGGTCGTGAATCGCCACATTATAGCGTCTTCGATATCGTCAATGACAACGGAATGTGAATTTGAGTAATTTAGATAGACAACGGCATATGGTAATTACAGTGTCCGTTGTCCTGTATCTCATTTTACATCGTTTAAATTTAAGACTTTATTTCGATGGTAGAACATGATTAACTGTATAATGAGTATTAAGGCACTCTGATTGATTGTTGTTCCAAAGGAATTTAGTCTAGGTGCTCTATTAAACATACAGGTTATGAAAATCTAATTAAAGCGACGGTTATGTCCGCCATTTGTGACAACGGTATCTGACTTTACCGTAGTCAGGCTATTCCGGGGTGATAGAGGCTGTATTTGTGGAGAGTAACAGTTGTGGAAATGACCTCGACATTTTCACATGCAAACATTTAGAACATACATTTATAATTTATTTGCAGTATCGTTAGTCATGGAAGGATAACATAGTCCATTTTAAGATAGTGGTTACATAATTCCTGTTATTCTCACATAGTTATTAATATATAGTCAAAAGAATACTTACCATGCAGAAATGCAACAAAAGCAACCTACAAAGAATGAACTTTAACATTATGTTGCTCGTGTTATGATATTTAAACCAATCGTAATTATATTATATTGAGCAATGCTTGAATCTTTGTTTCATTCCTCAAGTTAGACAAAAGGGGAGTGTAAATTGTTTACTTCAGCTCAAAGTTGCATCAAATATTTGGAGGGGAGTGTTAATTGTTTACTTCAGCTCAAAGTTGCATCAAACATTTGTTTACTTCAGCTCAAAGTTGCATCAAACATTTGGAGGGGAGCGTTAATTGTTTACTTCAGCTCAAAGTTGCATCAAACATTTGGAGGGGAGTGTAAATTGTTTACTTTTAGCTAAAAGTTGCATCAAATATTTCAAGATAAGTGTTAATTGTTTACCTCAGCACAAAGTTGCATCAAACACTTATAGGGGTGTTTAAATTGTTTACTTCAGCTCAACATTGCATCAAACATTTGTAGGGGAGTGTAAATTGTTTACACCTCAGTTCAAAGTTGCATCAAACATTTAGAGCGGAGTGTAAATTGTTTACCTCAATTCAAAGTTGCATCAAACATTTGGAGGAGAGTGTAAATTGTTTACCTCAGTTCAAAGTTGCATTGAACATTTGGAGGGGAGTGTAAATTATTTACCTCAATCCAAAGTTGCATCAAACATTTGGAGGGGAGTGTAGATTGTTAACTTCAGCTAAAAGTTGCATCAAACATTTGGAGGGCAGTGTAAATTGTTTACCTTAGCTCAAAGTTGCATCAAACTTTTAGAGCGGAGTGTAAATTGTTACCTCAGTTAAAAGTTGCATCAAACATGTGGAGGGGAGTGTAGATTGTTTACTTCAGCTAAAAGTTGCATCAAACATTTGGAGGGGAGTGTAGATTGTTTACCTCAGCTCAAAGTTGCATCAAACTTTTAGAGTGGAGTGTAAATTGTTACCTCAGTTAAAAGTTGCATCAAACATTTGGAGGGGAGTGTAGATTGTTTACTTCAGCTAAAAGTTGCATCAAACATTTGGAGGGGAGTGTAAATTATTTACCTCCGCTCAAAGTTTCATGAACCATTTAGAGCGGAGTGTAAATTGTTTACCTCAGTCCAAAGTTGCATCAAACATTTGGAGGGGAGTGCATGTAGATTGTTTACTTCAGCTAAAAATTTCATCAAACATTTATAGCAGAGTGTAAATTGTTTACCTCAGTCCAAAGTTGCATCAAACATTTGGAGGGGAGTGTAGATTGTTTGCTTCAGTTAAAAGTTTCATCAAACATTTGGAGCGGAGTGTAAATTGTTTACCTCAGTTCAAAGTTGAATCAAACTTTAGAGCGGAGTGTAAATTGTTAACCTCAGTTCAAAGTTGCATCAAACTTTAGAGTGGAGTGTAAATTGTTTACCTCAGTTCAAAGTTGCATCAAACATTTGGAGGGGAGTCTTAATTGTTTACCTCGGCTCAAAGTTGCCAAAAATTTAGAGGGGACTGTAAATTGTTTACCTCAGCTCAAAGTTTCATCAAACATTTTGAGGGGAATGTAAATTGTTTTCTTCAACTCCCAGTTGCAACAATAGGATTAAAAGAATAAATGAACAAAAAAAAGTTACGTACCACTGCTAGTATTCGTAGGGCTACTGATAGACTCATGGTCCTGAACGATAAGTGTATATATCACTCTGTGAAGTATGAACTATTGATCCAAACTTACTGGGCTAATTTTAATGAGTCGTTTGCGTCAACACAACAATTTTCTTATTCTCTATGCACACTCTCGTTTATGCATTCTATCAGTGGCAATACTAAATGATTCCCCTTCTACCAACTTCCTGCAATGTTCTCTTTTTGTTTAATTTTAGTATCTGGTAGTCGATACTATGTCTGGTATACTATATAGAGTTGTCAGGGGCGGATCTGGGAACCAACAAGGGGGGGGGGGCCCAAACTTGTGGTCTGAGAAAAAAACTTCCGCGCTTGCGCGGGAAAAAATTTTGGGCCCCATAAACCCAAAAGTGGGCCCAAATTTTGAAATTTTGAGGCCCATTTTCTTTAAAATTTGGCTTAAAATTAACAAATAAGGCCTTACAAGGCCAATTTATGACCAAAAAGGCCTACTTTTTGGGGCCTTAAAGCCTTTTTAGGCTCAAAATTTTTTTTGGGCACAATTTTTTTTTCTGGGCCCACCCAAGGGGGGGGGGCCCGGGCCCCTGGGCCCCCCCCCCATATCCGCCAGTGGTTGTAGTCTATTGACAGTAGGAGATCCAAAGGTTATATTGTACTTCCGTTAGCGACGATATATCTACTTCTGCCGTCGGATATACATGGTGCGCCAAAAAACAATACCCAACTTCAAATCAGGATAAAAATAGTTACTTTCAATATGGTACATTGACTTATATCATTTTAAAGGTTAAATATTTAAACAATTTGGTATATTACATTATGTCATAAAATCAGTAGTAAAGGTATATTATACTTATTTCGGAGGCTTTGTTGCTTTTTAAGGTCTCTAGATTTTAGGGAGAAAACAAAACAGTAAATCTCTGGAATTATGTAAACTTTTCATTTAAAGAATTTCATTTTGTTGGGTGAATACATGCTTGTATATTTGCATCATTGTGTGACTAAACTTATTGTTTATGAATTTCAGTGTTGTTTAATAACATTTTTAATTTCAATAACTATTATTACAATTGCTCAATATGCTCTCCCCCTCTGCGTCAAAAATAAGCTTCAAGCTGTAGCGCCATCTATCAATAGCCTTATTGACAGATTTCTGTTGCAATACATTCCAGTGCTTTAGGATTCTGCGTTTCAGCTCATCACTACTTTTTATTGGATACTCGTGATTGTACACCATTTCCTTGAGATGGCTCCATGTATGGTAATCCGCCTCATTAGCATCAGGGCTGTTCGGTGGCCAAGCATCTGGATCAGTCAAATTGACACCTTGTTCGTGAAGGAATGTCAATGTCTTCTTTGATCTTTTGGACGAAGCACTGTCTTGTTGAAAAACAAAATCCTCACCACATATATACGTTTATGTCTTTTAACAGACCTCTTTTGAGTACTTATTGATAACAAACAACACTGAAACTCATAAACATATAAACATATAAAGTTTAGTCACAAATGCTGCAAATATACAAACATGTATTCACCTAACAAAATAATATTCTATGAATAAAAGGTTTACATAATTCCAATGATTTACTGTTTTCTCCCTAAAACCTAGAGACTTTAAATAGCAACCCAACCTCCGAATTAAGTATAATATACTTTTACCATTGATTTCATGTCATAGTGTTATATACCAAATTGTTTGAAAATGTATTACCTTTAAAATGATATATAAGTCAATGTACCATATTGAACGTATTTTTATCCTGATTTAAAGTTAGGTGCTGTTTTTTGGCCCACCCTGTAAAGTCCATACATATGAAAAACTAAAATTTTGAATATACAGTATTCTCGGTTTGGAGAACAGTCTTCTGGGCTAATATTACTCAAATTAAATTATGAATATTCAAAAGAGGACAATTAAATCTACAAGATGTAAAAATAACAAATTGGTCTGAAGCAGGTATAACGCTCAATTAGACCGATTCAATAAAATACAAGTCTCGATTTGGGAAAAGAGTTCATCAGTGTACTGCGCTAATTTTTTTTTGAAACATCTAGAAATATTTCCCAAAATAAATTATGACTATTCATAAGAAGACATTTAAATCTATATTATGTAAAAAAAATCAAATTTGTCCGAAGCAGGGATAATGCTCATTTAGATTGATGAACTTCGTTCTCCAAACCGAGAATCGTCCTTTCAAATTCTTTTTCCACATAATCAATCTAACAGTACCATCAACCTTGGTAAAGATATCTTCTTTTAACGGAAGGACATACTCGTTTCCCAGTTTGATTTAATGAAAACATCATACCTTGGAAATCCAAGATGGTGGGTGGAAGGGAAGACTGAATCCAATTCCTTATCATTGTTTTATTGCATAATGTATTAATCTTGGAAATTCAATTTTATAAGTCGGCAACGGCTGGAAGCAATGTTTTTAAAGATGTTTAAAATTGTTTTACTACACATAACACTGTACTAGGACACTTTTAAATAATTTATATACGTATTCCAGGGCCTAAAGTGTCAACTATGACTTGATTAGTAGAATCGCCGAATCATCAAAATGAACTATTTAGCTTATGATCATAACGATTGGAATCATTTTGACAATCAATTCGATATGTTTTAGAACCGCTGAGGATCAAGCCAAGTAACTCTCATTTTGATCAAGGCAAAATCATGGGCTTTGGTAACTGAAGATCTAGAAGGAAACAATTTGACTAAGAAACTAAAGTCATTCAAAACGCATTGTGGGATACAAAGTCTCTACCATCCCTTGAAATACAAGCTTTAGAGAGAGAGAGGCCCAGATGAATCAGAATGTGCAAAGGGTAATTAAATCATTTGTATTTATTTAGATGATCATTGATACAAATTATTTTGACATCACGTGATCAAGTCACGAAAATAATGGTTGTATGTATTGTTTACTACAGTGTGGAGTCCTATGAACCACTAATGCCAATCGGTACCTTCTGTAGAAGACCTTTGTCCCAAATATATAGTAAGCCCCACCCGGGCATATAAGCGAGTTGAGTAAGATAACCATTGCTTGGTCCGTTATATGGAATATCAGTCAATCTGAGAGTTGTGCCTGTGTTGGTATTTGTGTCAAATTTGTATGAAATGTGAGTTGGTCGGCTGTAGCTGTTTAACACATAAAGCACTCCTTTTACCATGAATGCATTCCCGGCTCCATTCTTTCTGAGTGTCGTGTACCACGTTTGTAGGATACTAAGAGATTCCTTATCCAGTTTACTCACTGCAATAATTCCACCTCTACCCAAAGATCCGTAAATTACATACATAACATCGTCGTCATCGAGGGCAAAGTCAATATCAGAGAAACCGCCCCATTGATATGCGTATTTATTGTGGACACCGGCATCTGGAAGGTCTCTTTCTTGGACAATGCTTCCAGCGTCCATGTTAATTTTCACCATTTTATTTGTTGCAGCTCTATTGCAGTATAAATGACCTTTGTATATTGCGTGTCCAGTTCCGTCACATGCAACACCTAAAAAATGCAACACTAAAAAATAAAAAACAAGTTCATCCTTTAAAGATCCACTTTGCGTATTTTCAATGTTTTTGGGTAGAATAAAGACTTTTATTTGAATTTTATAGAATGTACAATGTATTAATAAGAACCTTATCTTTAATTTGACATCAACAACAGCTCAAACGGACCACATCAAAGCTTACAATAATTAATCAAAAATATTTTCGATCTGCCAAGCTTTATACATTTTTTTATTTTTTTTATACATTATCAATTTATTTCATCATAATCATGTTTTACAAGAATGGCTTGCCAATCGCTTATAAAGCATTATAGGCTAAGCTATAAGATACATAAATTTAATTACAAATGTAAATGCATGTAATATGGAAGAATAGCAGCAATTTGGATAAGAAATGGGAAATAGGACAGGCTGGGGTCATGTGTCATAGTCTCAGTGAGGGAATAGTAGGCATAGATAATACTTGCTTGGAGTGTCCCATAGAGAATTATGATTATGTTAAGAAAAGTTTTATACATCAAGTTTATTGGTTGAAAAATAATGAAATAACAGATAAATTCCCAGAACTTAGTGATCGCCCTGTATATCTCTAACTAAAGAATATTGAAGAAATATTCTTCATGGTTGGTAATACTGATAGTCTCAAAGTACATGGAGTTTAACTGTAAATGTATGATGTCATTTGTGTCGCTTTAAAATTGACGTCGAAAAAATATGTGTATACAACAACGTAAAATGTTGTTCAATGGCATGTACAGAGACCCTCTTATAAATTTTTCAGTGTTATTGTACTGTCCAAGGTACATTATTAACCATATATCGCCATTTGTGACAATGACTTTTGCTGGAGCCGTTTTCTGGGTGTCCGGTGTGAATGGGTAAGACTGGTTTTACCTGCAATATTAGTTATTGAACGCATAGGATTCCTTTTCTTCAGTTCAGCCTCGTTTGCATATTCTTGTAATATTGATATGTTGTTCCAGCCATAACCACGTATCACCCAAACCTTTGACACTGGTGTAGCTGGATCTATTGACCACCAGCCATGCGTACCCAGATCTGATGTCACATTAATTGCACTTCCAATGTCAACGTTGCAGTTACCACCATCTGTAATTTAAGAAATGATTTTAATCTTGCTGTATTCCAAATACACTACATCTGAAGGTCGATTTTAAAATGGTTGAAGTTGTTTGTCTTAATACTATATTTATATCTTCTTAAAGAGAAGATAAAACAGATTGATTGTTATTGCCATTTTTCTGTAGAGTTAGTGCCTTTGAAGCACAAATTAATGGCATACTAAATATAAACCCCACCCCAAAAAATTATCATTATAATTTAATTCTGAAGAGTTTTAGAGACTATCAGCTGAATAAGTCTATAAGGGTCCATATATTCTGATACGCTTCAAATCTTTCCGTTTTGTTATTGCAAAATTAAAAAGTGAGATATATATGAAATGGTTTATCATGGCACTATTTACTATTTATCTGCCTACTTACCACAATTTGGGGTAGTTTTGGTTGAAACTTCAGATGTTGGATATGTATGAATAGTCGATACTTCGGATGTTTGTCCCAACGTTGTCAGTCCAGAACTGTTGAAGGCAATGGGTGCCTGGAGTAGATTACCATTATCCCAGATATACAATAACCCTCTCCCGGGCATATATGCAAGTTGAGTAAGATATCCTTTCATGGGTCCCTTATAAGGGATATCAGACGGTCCAAGACGCGATTGAGTATTAGTTTGTGTGTCAAATTTGAAAGAAATGTAAGTTGGATTGTTGTAACTGTTTAACACATAAAGTACTCCTCCCAATACAAATGAATTACCAACGCTGTTCTTCTTAATTGTAGTGTTCCATGTTTGTAGGATACTAAGGGAATTCCGATCCAGTTTGCTCACTACCATGTTTCCATTTCTTGTGATAGAACCATATATGACATACATAACATCGTTGTCATCAAGGGCAAAATCAATGTCGGAGAAACCGCCCCATTGGTATGCGTATTTATTGTGAACACCTGCGTCAGGAAGGTCTCTCTCTTGGACTATACTTGCAGTGTTTATGTTGATCTTTACTATTTTGTTTGTATTAGCTCGGTTACAATATAAATGGCCTTTGTATATTGCGTGCCCCGTCCCATCGCATGCTACACCTTATCAGTAAAAGAATCAAAAATCGTGAATCCAATAAAAGAAAATATGCATTTCTTTGGGTAGGTTATAATTAATGTTCTATTAGAGATTCTTTTTTATTTATCCTGTCAAGCAGCTTTTTGTTTCATTTCTCCTAGAAGCTCAGCCCGTTATATCAATTTTTAAATTGAACATTTCATGATGAGTGGCGAAATTCAGGGAATAGTAATTTGATGCTTAAAATGTAGGTTGAATAAGGACAACGCTTTATATGAAGTATAACTACACAAAGACATATTTCTAATGGCTAAAGGTAGCAATGTTATGTTAAGCGCTCTAAACTTGTTTTTACCTGCAATGTTGGTTGTTGAACGCATTGAATTGTTTTTGCGCAATTCAATTTCGTTTGCATATTCTTGTAATGTTGTCCTATCGTTCCAGCCATATCCACGTATCACCCAAACCCTTGAACCCGGTGTGCCAGGATCTACTGACCACCAGCCATGTGTACCAAAACCAGATGTCACATTTATTGCATTTCCAATGTCAACGTCGCAATTACCACCATCTATAATTTAAGAATTATTCTTATTGGTAGAGACAATGTCATTAATATGAATATGGCAGTTGTGGTTTGTCTATTTATATCTTTTTAAGAGAAGATAATAATAAACAGATCACTTCAATCTTACTGTTGAGTCATTGTCTATGGGTAATGCTATCCCTTCCTCTTTTTAGAGAAAAATAGTACTAAATCAGTTTTAAAGACCTGCTATGAAAGTAATCTTTGAAATTGCAAAACCAAAAAGGAAAATATATGAAATGGTTTATCATGAGACTGTTGAAGAACGGCATACTTACTGCAGCCTGGGGTAGTCGGATATTTAGAAACTTCAGATGTTGGGTATGTTTGGATAGTCGATACTTCAGATGTTTGTCTCAAAGTTGTAAGTCCCGAACTGTTGAAGGCAATAGGTACCTTAAGTATATTACCATTATCCCAGACATATAGTAGCCCCGTACCAGGCATATAGGCAAGTTGGGTGAGATATCCTGTCATTGGTCCCTCATAAGGAATATCAGACGGTCCAAGAGGCGATTGGGTATTAGTTTGTGGGTCAAATTTGTAAGAAATGTGAGTTGGGTTGTTGTAACTGTTTAACACATAAAGTACTCCTCCTAATACAAATGCATTTCCGACGCTCTTTTTCTTAATTGTAGTGCTCCATGTTTGTTGAATACTAAGGGAATCCATATCCAGTTTACTCACTACCATATCACCATTTCTTCTGACAGAACCATATATGACATACATGATATCGTTGTCATCAAGGGCAAAATCAATGTCGGAGAAACCACTCCAATTGTATGGATATTTATTGTGTATACCGGCGTCAGGAAGGTCTCTCTCTTGAGCAATGCTTGCAGTGTTTATGTTGATCTTTACTATTTTGTTTGTATTAGCCCGGTTACAATATAAATGACCTTTGTATATTGCATGCCCAGTCCCATCGCATGCTACACCTTATCAATAAAAAAACAAAAAGTGTAATTTCAATAGAAGTTACTTTAATTTTTTCTCTGGACACGTTTATGTACTAATATTGATTCTTTTGAAATTGAGTCAAGTAGTTTCCAATTTGAGATCTCTCGCCCCATTATATAATCTTTAAAAACATCAACCTTTGAAATGGGGAATATTTGCGTGACTTTAGTAGAAAGTAATTTTGCTGTTTGAAAGGTTGGTCGAATGACAAAACATATAAAGGTTATGCTGAAAAGTCGCAATATCATGGATCGTGCTGTTTTTACCTGCAATATTGTTTGTTGAACGCATTGGGTTGTTTTTGCGCAATTCAACCTCGTTTGCATATTCTTGTAATATTGTTATATCGTTCCAGCCATAACCACGGATCACCCAAACCTTTGATCCCATTGTACCTGGGTCTATTGACCACCAGCCATGTGTACCCAGACCTGATGCGACATTGATTCCAGGTCCAATACCCACTACAACACCTCCATTATCTGCAACAAATGACATAAAGCTATTCTTATTTCCTCGGGTGGTTTTCATATTTGTATTGCAATGCAAGGCTTATTTATAAAATAAGGAAACGGTTTTTGCCCCCATGGTTTTGTTAACATGGAGATACATATACTTGATAATTGAAAAAATGTTTAATTCTGATAATGATGTATCAATTAAATTATGTAAATTTGAGACTGGGGAGCGATTGTGAATATGTTATTGTTTTGTGTCTTATACACAGTGTTTCTGGTGATGGTCATAGTTTGCAGAATAAGATGTGAGAAAACAGTGCATATTTGATTATTTTCACCTATATTTGGAATAAGATGCTATGATAAACAGATAAAAAAAATTCCGTATACATGCATATTTAACCCAAGCTGTTATTTCAGGAGTTACTTTATTTACACACCTTCTGTTTTACAAAATAATCTGTTATCATCCCTCTTATTTTCTTAATTTTTCCTAGTGTTGATATATGAATCATAGTTATTGAAATCATAGTTAATTCTTTTCAGACTTCGAGAATTTACCTTTACTTTTTTCATTTTCTGCATTTCACTGATCATTTATAATAAGTTCTTCACAACGACTAAGTTGAATTACTACATTAGTTGGTTTCTACATTATGGAGACCCTGAGATTAATTTTTTGGCCATGTGTGTATTGTTTACTTGGATTCAGCTATTCAAGTGTTTTTCTGGACAGTCATTCAATGCATCTTCGACTTCCAAGGTGTGATAACATACTAAAGTTGGACCTTGTGAATCAATGTATTCAATATTGTTTTCAGTAATTTGGACATGTTTTGTTTTGTTTCTTAAGATTGAGTTTTAGTTTATTTCTTAATTAGATTTTTAATTCAAATATTATCAGTTCTTAGGATTAAAACATTGAGTAAACAATACTTCTTATTCGATTGTTTCAATTTTGAACTAATTTTTTATTTACCTTGCAATGGAGTTGTCATTTCAATTGTCTGAGTGGAAGAGACTGGGGTATCGGTGGCCAATGTCGGACATGGTTCTTGTGTCGGGCACGTCGGACATGGTTCTTGGGTTGGGCATGTCGGGCATGGTTCTTGGGTTGGGCATGTCGGGCTTGGTTCTTGTGTTGAGCATATCGGGCATGGTTCTTGTGTTGGGCATGCCGGGCACGGTTCTTGTGTAGAACAGGGCTTTTGTGTGGGGCATGGTTCTTGAGTTGGGCATGGGATTGTTGTTGGACATGGCTGTTCTGTGCTTGTTTTAGACGTTGATGCAGTATATTCATCAATCCATTCCTTGAGATCATTGCACAATCGTTTATATTTGGTTGAGAACTTCATCATGTCTGCTTTTGACTTTTGTTTTTTCATATTTTTGTGGACTAACTGAAGTTCTTTCAATATATCTCCCCGAAATTTCCAAATGGCAGTTGCTTGAGGCGAGCCTTTAGGTGATGTACTTCCAAATTGTAACGATTTTGACTGAAATAAAGATTTCACGTTCATCATTATATCATTTGATTGGTCAAAAATGTATCGCCAAAGAAAGAATACTCGAACACGATAGTTTATAACAGGGCAATAAAATATATTTTTTGTTCCTTTCTACCAATTCTTGAGAATGAAATGAAATGTCTCTCCGAACCTTGTTGGAACAAAATAGCACATACAACATTTTCTTAGACCTCTCAATATTATAGCTATACAAAGGAAAGTTTGGTTGATTTAACAAAAAGATTTAAACAAAACCCCCAAAAGTAGATAAAAATTAAGATAAATATTTTATTTCATTAACAAGATACTTTTTTAAAATCAACCAAATTTTCCCTTGTACAATTACAATATTGAGAGACCTAAACACGTTGTGCTTATGTCGTTTTGTTCCAATGGGGTTCGGATAGATGTTTCATTTCATTCCGAACATATGATACCAAGAACGAAAGAACTGTCTGATGTGTTTTCTAAAACAATATAGAGAAAAGTATATATATATTTCAAATTATAATGTAACCATCCAAAAGATGTAAAATTTTCAGAATGTTTTGATGACTGGTTTAAGAGAAACACGTGTTCAAAAAGTTCAACATATCGATACCACTCGTTTACGATAATTGATATTTTCAAAATCAGTTGTTGAAAAGTGGTAATTCACTTCGATTGATCTCTGAACTTCAAATGCTGTTTTCTATGCAAGTGATTTTTTTTCACTTCAGTATTGAACCAAACTAAAGTTTTTATCATATTTGATTGAGTGTGTGGGTAACAGATATGTCTTGGCATACAGGGGTTTTCACCCAAAACAATGATTATTCAGTGGTACATGATTGTATATGAACAAATGACTTATCATTGGAAAGAGGTGACATGTAACTTCATTTAGAAATGAAGCTTCATTGTAAATTAAATGAAATTGATGTAATTATCACTGGATTTGTAGTATTACAATGTTGCTGTTTGTTGCGTTTTTGTGAGACGCATTGTATATCACATGTCATGGGAAACAGATGTGTTGACATCACGATAGCACACATATGTCATTGATATCAATGCACATGGGGCAGGATGTGGTAGAATAGCAGAATTCATAGGATTTTAAAAATATCAATAATCGTAAATGTGTCCACATCACACCGGAATAGCCTGACTACGGTAAAGTCAGATATCGTTGTCACAAATGGCGGACATAACCGTCGCTTCAACTGTTTAATCACTTGGTCCTCATTTCATGGGATTTTATCGTCGTTAATTCTGTGCATGCATTAAGCTCTTGTGATAATGTATCATATGAAATCCCATTTCCGATCAAATTGGGTCGTGAATCGCCACAATATAGCGTCTTCGATATCGTCAATGACAACGGAATCTGAATTTGAGTAATATAGAAAGACAACGGCATATGGTAATTACAGTGTCCGTTGTCCCGTATCTCATTTTGATCGGTTAAATTAAAGACTTCATTTCGATGGGAGAACATTATTAAGTGTACAATGAGTATTAAGACACTTTGATTGATTGTTGTTCCAAAGGAATTTAGGCAAGGTGCTCTATTAAACATACAGTTCATGAAAATCTAATTGAAGCGACGGTTATGCCCGCCATTTGTGACAACGGTGTCTGACTTTGCCGTAATCCGGGGTGCACATGTACCGTTGTTTGTCGAGTCTATTGCTCTTCTATCATTTTCTCTAAAAAAATACGTTTGCATTTAAAATATAAATAAATTACAGCTCACCAACATATACATTAGCATCGAATTTGCCACGCCGATCCACTCTTTTACTTTTTTCCCAGGTGAATTATTTTCCAATGTCTCTGTTACTCTCTCTAAGTCCAATTTTAATTCGACTGCTATCCTGGCCAACTCTGCCAATCTTGGATGGATTTTCTTGTCAGTCTGCCCAACGGCATTTTTATCTTAAATATAAAAGCCAAACAAACATACGATACATGTATGGGACAATTCCACAGATAAATGCTCTAATGTAATCCAATGGGAAAATATTGAAATCTTTGGATTGATTATGAAAAAACGAGGATTTTCGGTCCATAACCCCATATACCACGGGATAGCTCAATATGTGCCCTTTCAAATCAAAAAGAAATTTGCATAGATAACCCATTGAGAAAAAAAGATATGACCGCTTTTTCCGCCATCTATCCGAATTTCAAAAATTTTCAACAGATTTCAAACTCAAGACCACCGTCACAAAAAGTCAAATATTTGAAGTGAACCGAATCATTTCGTCATTCTTTTTGTAAAATTATATACACACAAGATAAACAAAATAAAATATAAAATCTGAACATTTTCACTAGTAATTGCACTGATAAATCTTGATTTCAATCAACCATCATCCCGATTTTAAATTTAGATTTTTTTGTCTTTTCACTAGCACCATCTGTGGAGTTATCCCTATACGATATGGAGTTATCCCTATACGATATACATTAACGATAACATTTACAATATATATTATATGATTCTGTATACAGTATATACAGGGTGGTCAAAAATCGGCAACCCTGGCGCTATTTTCCCCATATCATTTTAAAGAAAGAACTCCCTGTGATATTTGGCACATATGTACAGCATTATGTACATCGCTTAAACTCATAGTCAAACCCAATACAGCCCTTAAGACAACATGTTCCAGTGGCCACCATTGCGCTATGTAAACCCTGTATTTGGTATATCATATTCAAAAAGTTTTCGAAAAATTCCAGGGGGTTCATATTTAACAATTCTTTAAAGAAGTGGGGTCAAACGAATGCAAAGGGTATCATCAATTGCTCCCGAAGATTACGGTTATAATAAGCATTTGTTCTCATTTTTAGTAAAATACAGAATTGAGAAGGTACTCACCATGCAGGAATGTAACAAGCGTAACCTACAAAGAAACGCACTTTGATAATATGTTGGTCGTTATCCAATTCTAAAACAAATTTTAATCATAACGAAAATAAACTTCAAAAATCTCCAAGCTGAAGTATCGATTGCATATCATTTAACAATGTATATTATTACAAAAGGAATTCATTTATAGACGTACCCTACTATCACACCAAACTAGTTCTCACTACGTTCTTAAAAACGGGCTTCAACTGTGTACGAACGGACTGGACCTACTAAGAACCGTTTGGGATCTATTAACAAACTTCATCGAACGTACTCGAACGGGTAGGTCCTCTAGAACTTAGGCAATGCTCAAAATGTTCTCGTGGTCGTCACGTTCTACAATTAGAACGAGTGACAACGTACTAACGACGAGCTGGACGTACTACGAACGGAACCGTCGTACTTCAATCCTACTAGGGACGTTTTAACAACGAGTTGAATTGTCTGAGGACGTGTTGAGAACGAGGTAGAACTAATTGCAAACGGGTTTAAACTGATTGAGAACGTATTTAACACTGCTTATGAACGAGTTAGCAAAAATATAGCTATCACACCAAACAAGTTGCCACTGCGTTCTTCAAAACTGTGTGCGAACGGAATGAACGTAGCTGCAACTTTCTAAGGTCTATTTACGAACTTTATGATCGTTCTCAGACGGGAATGTGATTTTAGAATTTTGAATCGATTCAAAATTCGATGGCGACCATAACGTTCTGTAATCAGGTCATGTTGACCTTCTAGACTAAGGGACGCGTTCTACTACGTTGTACACCGACGTGGTGCGACCTGAACGAACTGCGAACGAGAAGGACGTATTGAAGACTGTTTAAGAACGAAGAAGCTAATTATTTCAGACATATTTCCCAACCACAGCCAGATTGAGCCCGTTTTACGACGTTTTCGTAGGACTGGCAAGAACGGGTAAGAACGAGTTTGGTGTGATAGGGGGGTTACGGTGAAAACGTGTTAAGCAATATGTTATTTTGTTTCTCAGTTACAATGGGTCGAGCGAATTGTTGATAGGCTTCAGGTGTCCGAACATTTTGAGGGGAGCATAAATTATTTACTTCAGCTCCAAATTTAAAAAAAGTAATGCATGGGATGTAAGAATGGATAAATAAACAAAATAAAATAATCAAATTAAACAAAGTTACGTACCACTGCTAATATTCGTACGGCTGCTGACAGACCCATGCTCTTTAACGATAAGCGCGTCTATATCACGACTATTCTAGTATCACACCGTGAAGTATTCTCAATGATCTATTGCGACACTCATTTATATAGGTGGACAAGGATGTTTGTTATTTTCGTTGAAATGTCACAGGCTAGTAGTTTTGCATTTTTTCTTTTCAGAACGCTCATCATTCACTTATCTCTTAAGTGTAAATAAAATCTAGTTCAGGGTTATAACTCATTTTCATATGCATGTTTCAACTTTCAATTACTCATTCTTTGTAAGAAAAATGGCGATCGAAATGTATGTTCTATATTTCGAAATTGTTTTGGAAAAAATGTCACGTTTTAAACGCACATTATGGTTTTCAGTGGATCGGTAAATACTAAAAAATGAATAGTTGAATTATGAAGTTTTTAATGTTTTGTGAAACGTAAAATTGTATAATGTGTTTATTATGTTGATAGTCAATATAGAATCTTACTTAAAATCCATTTGATAGGTTTATTTATTTATTTTTATTTAACGTTATTTGTGTTTCCTTTTTTCGAGAATTATGAATCATTCCATTTCACCTGAACTCGTTTTATTTTCGTTTTCTTTTTAATTCTGTGTTGAACAAGTCTAGTTGGCTATGCCGCTTGAAGTACGTTGTCACACATCTAATTACAGAACTCTATGGTTGCCATCGAATTTTGAAATGATTCAAAATTCTAAATCACCTTCCCGTCCGAAAAAAGCTATGTTCATCTTTTCTGTTCTCTCCAGAACGCATTGGCATTTAGTTTGGTGTGCTAGCTATATTTCTGCAATCTTTAATACGTCCTTAACCCCCCTATCACACCAAACTAGTTCTTACCCGTTCTTGCTAGTCCTACGAAAACGTCGTAAAACGGGCTCAATCTGGCTGTGGTCGGGAAATACGAGGGGTGATCAATAAGTAATGGACACTTTTTTACACAGATACTTTTTAAGGACCAATCCCTTTGATTTTCCTACCAGTGATACATCATTCAATTATCTATCAATTCTGAAGATTTGAAGACAAAATATATAATACATATTGATATATCCTTATTTCCGTGAAGGAGGTACAGGTACCCCGGGACCGACATTTACGTCACATATTCAGATTTTAGCCAGTTTGGTAAATTTCAGTTAGATTTGAACATTTCATATGCAACACGTGTTGTGTTGTTTAAAAAATTTTGCTGACTGGTAACATATAAACAGAAAGTATTGTAACGTCAGAGTATTGTATGGAAGGTGTTTGCAGGTCAATTTGAGAAAGCATTGTGGAAGAAAGGGGTGGCGAGAGAAGGGAACACCCTACTCCATATGGACAATGCACCTGCCCACAGATCTCAAAATGTTCAGAAAACAATATCTCTGGACATCAAAATTGAGCCCTTGGCCAATGCACCTTATTGTCCAGATCTGCTCACATGTGACTTGTTTATTTCTAAACTACTTATTTCTATAGAGAAAGGACGCAGGTTTATTGACATTGATGAAATAAAACAACGCGTGCAACTGCATCGTGCTACCATGTCAGAGAATGGATTCACCCTTGTCTCACAATCTTGAGTTAAGAGGATGAGGAATTGTGTACATGTAGCACTTGATGGAACCTATTTAGAGGGCCCTGTGGAATGAATGTGGCATGAATACCACATAGTGATGATAAAATATTCAAAATCAACTATGTCATAACAAAATGGGGTAATTCATGACCATAGTGGTTTGTTTTGTTCAGCCTGCATTCAACTGTATTGCATTCGCAGTTCGTCCAGGTCGCACCAAGTCGGTGTGCAACGTCGTATAACGCGTCCCTTAGTCTAGAAGGTCATCATGACCTGATAACAGAACGGTATGGTCGCCATCGAATTTTGAATCGATTCAAAATTCTAAAATCACTTTCCCGTCTGAGAACGTTCATGAAGTTCGTAAATAGACTTTAGAAAGTTGCAGCTACGTTCATTCCGTTCGCACACAGTTTGAAACCAGTTTTGAAGAACGCAGTGGCAACTTGTTTGGTGTGATAGCTATATTTTTGTTAACTTGTTCATAAGCAGTCTTAAATACGTTCTTAATCAGTTTTAACCCGTTTGCAATTAGTTCTACCTCGTTCTCAATACTGAACCCTAATTCTTGGGAACGTACCAGTGCATTATTAAAACCCATGTACATATTTGAATAATGAAAATGATAACATCACAAGAAACACAATTGGCAAAAACATGTCATGTACTGATACTGATCGCAATATAAAGACTGGATTTTCAGTTGTGTGTCGTGAATTCGAAAACTGGAAATCATATTCAACATGATTTTATAGGTACTATTTTATAGGTATTTGTATATCAGAGTATAAATTGCTACTAAATTGCAAAACTGAAATATTTTTTCAGTGTCACAAATCATCACGACCTTTTTAGACTCGACCAAAAAACGCCTTAACCTGAAACGGTCAGTACATGGACTTTTGCAACGGTGGAACATGCCCTGATGTTAATACGGAATGCGAATTATAACCTCATTCGAAATGCATATTTCATTCTAAACTTCTACGAATAATGTCAGTCATAATCTAAATAAGGTAATATATATTTGATAATTTCACAAAATGCAAAGTATCTAAACTTACAAAATACTAAGATATTTTAGTATAGTATTATAAGTTATTGAATGATTTGAAGTGCAATACAGGATATATTCATTATTCTGAGAAATTTTGTATTGGACGAGACGAAGTCGAGTGCCAATACAGAATATCGAGACAGAATATATCCTGTATTGCGCTTCAAATCATTCAATAACGTTTTTATCGTGTGATCCTCCGTATTGCTACTTAGATTGTCCCCTCCGTACCAATATTTTCTGTATTGCGACGGAGATGATCAACGGGGACAATCTCAGTAGCAATACAGATTGGTACGGCACAAGAACTGGCCAATCAGAGGGCTTCATTTAAAGATCATACGATAAATTAACATATTTTGTACTTTTATATGAATAACTACATTATTTCCTATAAATAACGAATATTTTTGAGTCATCAACTATATTTGAATGGAATGCTACTCTTTTTAAGTTAACCCAACCCATGGCATGTACATAAACAATTCTGCGAAATAATCATCACTACGGAGAATATAAAAGGGAAGGTTAGTTTATCAAGTACAGATCACTATCATTCACGTTTGTTATTGGCGTGTTTACTTCTACGAAGATATCAAAATCAAGGTATTTTTTATAAAAACATGTACACACCAAACTGTCGCTAAAGAAACCTGGGACAATCTTACAAATAATGTTGAAATGGGAAAAACACCAAATGCAATATCTTCGTCTGAAAAAACATGAATATCTCAAAAAAAGTTTTGCATCGATACAGGGCTTGATCATAAAGTTCTCATAATATCTTTCTGATTTCTTTAATATAATCTGATGAAATTCACAGAATGTGCAACATATATTGACTTATTAATTCAGTAAAAACTATTAAGTAAAACAGACCTATGCTACACATTCTGTGAAATTTCATCAGAATAAACAAGAAATTAGAGAGATATTACGAGAACTTTATGATCAACCCTCGCACCTAGACTATAAGATCTTAAAATCAGACAGCACAAAAAGAGGCAACATTAGAAAAACGAAAAATACCATCGTCTCAATGCATAAGTCAAAAATTACAATTCGAAAAAGGAATATGACAATTATATAATCGACTGACTGACTGGGCATATGCGAGTAGTTAGGAAATACGTACCTGGAGGTATATCAATGATTCATTGCTGCAACAGCGCAATACCTCTATATAAAATAAGGTACAGATAGGTGATATATGTTCATATATATATTGTCAGCATCTCCATGAATGTACAGGGTGGGCCAATAAAAATTAGAACATTCTTCTATTTATTCAATTGTCTTTATTTTTGCAGTTCAATACACAAAAATTCAGATAGTGGTAAAATAATTATTTGTGAAAATGTTAAAGATAAAAATATGAATGTATGATTATTTTTGGCTTGTCATGGTCATGATCTGTATTCTGCGTGTGTCATGGAAAATTTCCAAATTTTCTCTGCAATAATAAAGAAAATTGAGTAACTAGAAAAATGTTCCAATTTTTATTGGCCCACCCTGTATATAATGCCACGACTCAGAATATCTGTGGGTTGCGTGAGATTTTTTACTTGTTATTCTTCATTTATGTACTTTCTTAAGAAGATTACAGTCAATTGGATCCTGTTTGAAATTCTCCAATTCAATTTCTTAACATATACAAAAATACAAAAACATTGTTATCACCTTGTTTCATAACTGTATTTTCATGCTATTTACACTATTGCAGACTTAGGAACCTCTTATAAGTTTGAAAATATTGACTAACTCCACTAACTCGTCTTATAGAGGGATTGTACACAACTGACATATTTGAACATAATTTAACAATCTTTTAATTTCAGAAGGCACTGTATAACATGTATTTGGTTGCTATTGAAAGTGACTACATTTATATAATGTTGACGTTTTACTTTATGGCCATAACGGGTTATGTATAAAAATATAAAACACGATAAAACATGCAAATGAAAGTCCTATTTAACAGCATTTTTACCTTGGAGAGATCTACTCCCCAGTCTGACCAGCATACTAAAAGCTAAACACTCTTTTATTTCAGAATTAAACAAAACAATTGGATTTATAATAATCCTGTTTCTGTACGAGGGATGATCCAGAAATTGCAAGACAAAAAACAATTAGTTTCTGGGTCAATCCTCGAATAAAGATAGCTACATGAACAACATCTTCAAAGCGATTGATACTTTTCATTAACTTGATTAAACTGATTATATATTTAACCCTAGGACCCAAAGTTGTTGACCACCCATTTATTCTTCTTATTTTCAGGAACACAGAAATCCATTAAATAAAACTATAATGGTTGATTTCTATGCAGGTGGAAAGACGCTGTATTGACTTACTCATCCGGATCTGACTTGACTTATATTCCTGCAAACAGCCAATCACAGTTTTTGGTGGGTAAGAAACTTTGGAAGAATTGTTAGTAGTCATACTTAATGGCTACTACGTGTGTCTGTGTTTCCAGTCATATGAAAGGCCCAGCAGAATATAATGTCAATAAAATATAACTATCAGACTTTCCATTACAACTCCTCTCATCAGATGACCTCAGATCAGGAAAATGACCTTCTAAAATCAGAGTAGCTATACTCAAGTGTTGCACGGTGGAATAATGATGATGAGTCCGAGAATGAGAAAAGTTTTTACGCATGAATTTATAATAGTGTGTACATGTCATG